TGTCGTCCATTTGAGAGGCGAGTGGAAAGGAGCAAATATATCGATCATTATAAATTTCCACTCGGCAGCTAACGGCGGCGGCGCACGCGACTCGCTCGCAGAGAATAAAATTTATAGATGCGGAACTCAAAAACCGATTGTTGCGCATAGTGGAGAGATACGTCAGTTACAACGGGATATATTCTAGATTAGAATTAAGCGATATCCTAAAACAACTATAACTGAAATTTATTTAATATAAGAATGAAGATTTTAATAATGGTGAGATAAGATAAAAGATAGCATGCCCGGTAGTTCCTTGAAAATTATAGAAGTAATTATTTAATTAGATACTGTCTGTAGTTTACGCGTGTAGTAAATAAAAAACACTTTCAACGGTTCAAAAACGCATAATGTATTAGTTTTACATACATAATATTTTAACAACGATCGGACGTTTCGGATGCTTTGTAGCAGCCGCCGTCAGTGGGTGACTAAAGATGGAGAGAGTCTTTAATATCAAAGCAAGAGATGACGCTAGAGTAGCAGTCAAAAAAATGTGTAAAAAGGTTTAATTAATAAATTTCGTGTTTTAAACCGTTAGAAGTGTTTTTCTAATGATTTAATCGTTATGTTTATCTCGTAATCTTGTTCATATGTTTACGTTTTATTTATATCTAAATTAAAAATCTATCTTTAATATCCAGATTTCCAGACGAAGTCCAGCACGATTAAAAAATATATAAATGGAAAAATAAGTAACATGATGAGCCACACATTGCTACCAATGGAGCAACGGAATTGAATCCGTCAAAACAAATTTTATTTAAAAAACATTGTGTTTCCTTAGTAACGAGTAACAGAACCATTCGTACGTTAAATATAACACCATATCTGTTCATTTTATCTAATCTATGCTGACCGCAGATCATTTCGTGTTCCGCGCGCCATCTATAGATCACTGCGCTTGCGTTGTTCGCTCACACCCAATAGATATTAACCTCAAACGGCGTGTACTTAATCGTGAACTTAAACTCCGGGGACTAAGCTTTTAATTGCATTGAGTGGAGTGATAAAAATGAAAAATTTTAAACTGTAAATTTAGTAGCGCGATCTTTCATACATTTTCACGTATTCTCTTAACAGTTAGGATTTATGCTATAGCTTGAAATATAAACAATTTAATAGTAACTTTATAATTATTATTTAATGTTTAGATAAAAAAACTATTGATAATGTTTACAAAACTTGTTATGCTAACAAGTTATATAAAAATAATTATTAATAGAAGAAATTAAAATAAAAAATCGATTTTAGAAAAATTCATGACATTCACGGCATGGAAAGGTATGGGTCGCCGGTTCAAAATCTGCCCGTGTCGTAATTTTTTTTCATCCAAAATATTTTTATTTAAATATCTCATATGCATAACATTAAAAATATAACAGTCTTTAAAAGAAATTTATTTTTAAAGCCCTGATTAAATTAAAAAGGTTACGCGAAATAGTGCAAAGCAAACATGACATTAAAGCATTTTCTACCCTCATTTTTTATATTGTTCAAATAACCTGTCTATAGTTTACGCGAGTGGAAGACATTTAAATAAAACACTCGGCCCGGTGCGCGGGGGGTGGGTTAAATTTCATTTTCAAATAAGTTTAACTAATATATCGCGTTTTAAACCGTTACAGTGTTTTATTCAATTAAAACCTGTTTCAGAAGTATTCGATATTTAAAAAACAAAGGAAGAAGGTAACTCATTGTACACAATTCCGCATAATTCACACAGATAGCACAATCGTTGAGACCCAAAGATTTCAGTGTGTGCACAAAACGCATTGTAAATCGTACGCACTGCTGTACCGCTGAGCGTTCCGCAAATTTATTAAAATCATTAGTTAAATAAATATTTACGCGCGCACTCTGCGCTAAATTACAATCAGCAATGGAAATGTAATTGATATTATTGCCAATTTCACAGATATCGTGGTCGCTAATAATTCGAAACTATATGCTAGATATTTTGTTTGTTGAGATTATCTGTGGGAATGTGACAGACTCGCTGGTTTAGTTCGCTTTGAAATGATAAAATACTTTAGGATTTATGTAAAATTAAAATTATTAGACATTTAAATATAATAAGTATATTTATATATTAAAATCAACGTCCATTGAGAAGTAATGTAAAGACGAAATATTAATAGATTTTTCTTATGATAGAGAAAACAGACAAGCGTGGGTTGCAGTAATGATGCAATACCCCAGCCACAAACGTCGTAATAAGATGCGCTCTGCTTTTTTTGGTTTATCTTAAGAAATTAACAGGTAAAAATCTAAACGCGATTAAATTTCTCGACATTTTCATCTGTGGACGATAGTCCCGGGTTCGTGATCCGAACGGAGTTCCTTTATTTTTACCAACCATTTAATATCTAGATATCCCAAGAATCGTGAGTGGAACATGTTTCAGATAAATATAAATACTGCTTAGAAAAATGTTGGGCCCGGTGAGGATCAAATCCACGACGTATGACATAACATTCAGAACAACGAACACGTCCAAATGACATTGACACAAACGTGTACAAAGGCCTATATGAGGCCATTAGAGGCAGAGTAGCCTAAATGCAATTTTATGAATTGAATTATTTATATTTTAATAGTCTAAAAATTTGAAAACTTTCTTATTTTTTACATGTTATTGCACATGAAGGCACTATCCGATATTTAAATAAATCGTTTAAATTAAAAAAAAAATTTTCGTCTCGGGCAAGACTTGAACCGGCATCGTCAGCGTTCCGTGCTGTTGCTCTACCAATTGAGCTACATATAGTCTAAAAATGTTAATCTACAAAAACGCAATTACCGAAAATTGTTAGCAATTAATTTTTACACAAATAATATAAATTCATTTTGGCCTAAATTAATCCCGCAGTTTTATCTCGTGTTTTTGTTATTAGGCCACTCTGCCTCTAGCCTCATATATAGTATAGATTAGCAGAATTATTTTCACTATTAGCTAGGTTAAAAGGCAGTTAGAATAATTAAGAGGCAATTCTGCAATCAGTTAGCGCGGACAGTGGATTTCGCTCCTGTAAGACACGCGCCGCGCGTTAACCCCCCATGACCGGTAACACTTAATGCTATTTACTTTAAGTGATTTACTTAATTATCCCAGTGAGTTCATTACAATGAATTTACTTATATGTGTTTAGTCTGCACAGCTTATATGTCATTTAACCGCAACTTAAATTTAAAGACTTAAATACTGTCTATAGTTACGCGATGTATAACCGCGTTTTGAACTTTAATATTAAATTTAAAGGGAATTATTGGTAAAATGGTAGCAATATATGTTGAATTAGCAACGAGTCGTGGGTTCCCTTTGGGTCAAGCATACTAAACTCTGAAAATAATGGATCGTAGGTTCGACTACAACCTAGGCCAACTGTCTTTTTATTAAAGCAGTTAGTGTGAGATTTGAAGCCTCGTTGAATGAAATTAAAATCGAAAAAAGTTAAATAAAACTCTCTAAAAACGAGAAATATAGTTAATTTCATTTTATAATCTACGGCCCGATATTTCGGATGCTTTTCAGCGGTTGTGGTCATAGGGGGGACTATAGCTGGTGAAGAGTGACTTAAATGTAAAAGTAAAATCATGTGATGCTTGCATATATTATTAAATATGTTTATGTAGCGTTTTAAACCGTTAAAAGTGTTTTATTTAAATGCACTATGGGCGTAAATTACAGCCAGTACTTATTATGTAGCATTTGCTTTTATGAAATTCTTAAGTAAACCAATTTAAAACACAATAAAACGATAATTGGAATCAGTACATAACATTACTTAAGTGGAGTGAATCTCAACATTATTACTTATTACACAATGATCGCAGGTCGAAATAATTACACAGATGTAATCCGACACGTTGTAAATCTCGCGTTCTAATAGAAAAGACTTTAAAACGGAAACGAAGTCACAACCTTTGCGCCGATCTTATCGCGATTTGGTTCACGCTGATAAGCGAAGCGATAATTCGAAGAACATTTACAAGACGCGTGTTCGTTGTTTTCACAGTTGAATCATTCGGTTTCTGACAAATCCAACAGTGATTTATCTAATTGTTTTAGAAAGAAATTAATATAAAATAAATAAAAAAACTATATTTTAATTTAGATCACTAGTTTCAATTCTAAACAGTCCACGAATTTATCGGGCTGTTGGTGTAATGGTAGTATTGTATGACTAATCGACACGTAGGCCCGATCCTCACCGGGTCTTCATCTGTAAATGCGTATATTAAAAATGTAGGTAATAATTCGTAAATTCCGTCCGGGTCAAGAACCATCATCGACAGATGAAAAAAGGTTAAACGTTAATTTTCGAATATCGAAAGCCGAAATAGATCCATAGCGTATCTTGTTGTGATGTTATAAGGAAGCATCGCTTGATTAATATTTTACTTATTACGTAAAGAAATGTTTTAAAAGAAAATACCTAAAACGAGCTGAGTACCGATATTTGAAACGCAGTATTTTAAAGTACAATAATGTGATTACTTAAATGTACTAAGAATTCAAAGTGTTACCTTGTGAAAATAAAAATAGTTGTAGCTGTAACATTGTTTATTACATTGGACTAAGTATATAACCTCATTTTAATAAAACACTTTAACGATTTAAAACGCGATATATTAGTTAAACTTATTTAAACGTCGGGTCGAAGTTAAAAATTATTTTTAAATAAGTTTAACTAATATATCGCGTTTTAAACCGTTAAAGTGTTTTATTTAAATGTGTACTACTCGCGTAAACTATAGACAATATCTATATAACCTGTTTAAAATAAGATTTAAAAGTAATAAGGTTCGTTAATCAATACAATGTGCATCCAAATCCGTAGCAGACTCGAGTTGTTAATAGGTTTGCTCTTACGTAGAAAAGGTTCAAAAATCGCTACGCCATCTTGTATAACCTAACCGTTAATGTAAATCGCTTAGTGGGTTTATAAGAGTAATTACGGGCGAGACAAAAGGCACGCGTCGGGTGCGCCCGCGCAATTAGATTCGCTCCCAATGAATCTTAGATCTGAGAACAATGCTGATGGTATCGGACACCGCGGTTCTGCTTTGAATTCGCTATAACCTTTGTGAACTGTACGTCTGTAACCTTAGTGATAAAATAATTGTTGGCATTTCGCCCAAAGTGTTTTACTGTTTTAAAATTTAATTAGTGTTTGCCGAGTACTGTCTGTAATACACATTTAAATAAAACTTTAACGGTTGAATACGCGTAATATACCTATTAGTTAAACTATATATGGTCCGACGTTTCGGATGCTTTGCAGCAGCGTGGTAGCGGAATAAATTGTAGGTAAAGTAACAATATATTTCACGTTTTAAACTGTTAAAAGTGTTTTATATAATTATTTTATGCTATTGCGTTGAATCAAGGAAGATGGAAGCAATATCCAAATACTAAGAAAAGATTCTACTTGTTGGGGAATTTACACCTACCATCAAGTAATACCGCATGCCTGTCTGTTTACCACTATCATAAAACACTGATGAGGTTGGCACTATGGTGTAAAACTTACCTCTACTCATATTCTGGTGCCTCAGCTGATCAATGATGCTCGTTAATCTGGTCTCCCGTTGAGGTCTATCCTCATCATCTGGCACTGTCACTTCACGTTTTATCACTTTATCACTTTCCATTTGCGATGCACCTTTGGACATGGTTTTAATTTTGCTTGAGGTCACTATAACACGTCACTTTTAATTTGAACTACGACTGGTGTATTTAAATAAAATCAAAAGGTAAGAAATTAAAATGAAATAGACTTAAATACCGTTTATACTTGTTATTACGCGAGTAGTACACATTTAAATAAAACACTCTAACGGTTTAAAACGCGATATATTAGTTAAACTTATTTGAGAATGATTTTTAACTTCGGCCCGATGTTTCGGATGCTTTGCAGCAGCCGTGACCACGGCTATATCGCGTTTTAAACCTCTTAAGTGTTTTACTTAAATGAAATAGATTTACAAAATAAAACCCTTTCTTTATAATAAATAGGATGCATTTGCGATCTTTATCGTTACCAAATAAATTATTATGTCTGAGTTTTGCAAGTTGCTTTCTAGAAAAAATAGATGGCGTTACCAATGCCAAAATTTTACATATATACTAGTAAAAGCTACTTCAACAAATAAATGATTAACACATAATTGACATCGACGTTAACTTTTTTTTCAACTATGACCCGCCAAATTGGCCCTGCAGCACCTGTGTTAACGCATTTCTTAAAACTCTTAAAGTCGTTACTTTCTTTAACCCTTAAGCATCACGTTATCTGAGGTTTCGTGTTTTAATCCGTTAAAAGCGTTTTAATTACGAAGATACACTACATGATTTCTCTATCTAATGCACTTTTCTATTTACCTACTAAAATCAAAAAATCTTAAAAACTTGTCTATTTATGTATGTTAGTGTAGAGAAACAAACAAATCACTTTTTCATATTAATTTCACTCATTGATATCGGCTAGACCGTTTCATTGATGTACCTGAAACGCAAACAGGGCGTTTCGTGTGAAATTCGCTATCTTTATCTGTCCGTCCGTTTAAGGGCAAATGTCCATTTTGCGATAACATAGTACTGTTCCGAATGACGTATATATCAATCTACTTAAATCCACATAAGTCTACTATTGTTCACATAACGTTTATTTTTAGCTCAGGCAGTATTCACATAAAGTATTGTTTATGGAGAAATTGTTAAACGTTCTCTAAAGTTTACGCTAGTAGTAAACATTTAAATAAAAGACTTTTAACGGTTTAAAACTCGAATTAATTAACTTATTTTTCATGTTTAACTAACATATTTCGCGTTTACGCCGTTAAAAGTGTTTTATTTAAAATGATACGGCTCTATGTGTTAATTCATATCTTGAATTCTTTAAGATTAGTCGAAAAAAAATGTCGTTTGCAAAAACTTAACACAAAAAAGGTATTTTTACTACTAGCGAAGTTACTATAAGTTTATTTATAAATATATCTCAAGCATATTATTAGTTTAATGGAAATAATAATTAATAAAAAGCTAATATGTTAGACCTGAACGAACTCGGTGTGCCCGAATGCCGACCTGTTCGTTTTTCTTTGGAGTACAACAACTCGAGAGTCACAGTTTTAGACTTACTTTTAAGTAAGTATATACGTAAAATTCTCGATGTGTCAAGTATCTTTAAACAAACTCTTATTAGGAACCAAAACACAACAGAATCTAGATTTACCACAAGCTATTAAGTGTCTCTTGAAAAGGGGAGTTACCATATATGTATTTATACCCAAAAACTTCCTTTACCTCTTAGTAATATTAATGGATTGATCAAATATAAAGCACAGCACAAACCAAAAACCAGTAAGCAAGATTGATTTTCGAAAAAAAAACAAATACACTTAAGGTAAAAACAGGTAGAGTACGGCGGTTTATCGCGACGTTCACTGATAACTGAGGTGTCAGGTCAAACGAGCAAATGGGGCACGGTACGACCGAATGATAAGAGCCGATAACGGGCTCTTAACCTTCCGATGCCTCATAGGCCCTTATGTAAAACGCTATTACGATCTCACTGAAAACACAGTTTTTTCACAAGAGAGGTTCACTTGATAAAATACCCCAGCCATAAATAAGATGCACTGCCGGCCTATTTTGGCTTTGGATGTTCGAAAATGCACAGACTGAAACCGAAACGCGATTAACGCGATTTGCATGTACCCTACCTATTTGCGGGTAGTTGTGTGTTTTTGTATATAATTCAGTGTTAATTCAGCTGATGTTGTTATTGCTTTACCAGTTAACTAAAATGTTGTCAGTTTTCAGACACACATGTGATTTTTTAGGGCAGGATAAGGATCAAGGGGCCATTGACACACAATCGTGTGCCACATGGTTTTTCAGGGAAAACAATTTAGCTCGTTAGAAGCCTCGAACGCCTTCTTTTTAACATTAAAGGATATAAGATAGATAAATATATACTAATATTATAATGAATTAACGACCGCCACTGTGGCAAAATGCTTAAACGCTTAAACGGCTTGCCTAGCATTACGTTATGCGCGAGAGGTCCTGGGTTCGAATCCCAGGGGAACAAAAAAAAGTTGTTCCGATCGTTGTAGGGCACAGAAGTCTGAATTACTTGCCTGTTAAAAAGAACGCATCAGTGAAACGGACACAGAAATGTGTTCGCCCCACGCCCCACGAGGCGGAAATGGAATTTCACGCACAATATTATAAGGCTCTACAGTTTGTTTGTTTAAACGTGCTAATCTCAGGTACAAATTGAAGAATTTGTGTTGGTTAGATCATTTATCAATAGGCTTTAGGCTATAAAACGTCACGTTCCGACCAATCGGCGAAGAAACTGTGGAAAAATCTGGGATTAATCATTCAGCTTTCAGGGGTCTTGCTGCGTACGCTGCGAGAACGGTTTAAAATATCCAATAAATGAATGAAAAAGAATGATATTCCTCTTTCAATGATCTGAATGATGAAAAAAATGTCCGCAATACTACATATCTATCTTTTAAGATTAACTTACAGCTGTAATTGATAAAGATTAGGTTGCATTAGTTAATATTATTTGATGATGTAGTTTTTAGTTTGGATTTAGAGACACCGTGCATCTTTAGTCTCCCCGTGACCACGGCTGCTGCAAAGCATCCGAAACATCGGGACGTAGTTAAAATAATGTTCAAATAAGTTTAACTAATATATATCGCGTTTTAAACCGTTAACGTGCCTCATGTAAATAGTACATAGGATATCGTATTGTTGATGTGTCAATCTCAAATATCACAACGGTAATGATACATGAAAGGGCGAAAATGTTGACGCGACCGGTCACACTGTCGTGACTCGTGATAAGGAGATAACAGCTGATAGCGAACTAGGGACAAAGCGAGACTTATCGTGCTTCAAGAGATTGGGCTGAGCGTTTCAAATGCTGAAACAAATGAAAATCTATATCACTCGATAAGGAAAAGGAAGAATTTCTGTAAATAGACCAAGATTTCTCCTTTTTGAAGTAAAAATGATCACGGGCTTATTTTTAGGAAATTATGGCTCGTGGTCCACTCCCGCCATGGGAACATATGAAGCCTTATGAATTTGCTTTTCAGTTACAGTGGATCTATCCCCATCGGATCAAATTCCTAATCAATTCATGTTTTTTCTGAAACACGTTATACTTTGGGTTGGCTGAAATAGTAAATATCGAAGTTCCGTCCGGGTCACGAACCAACCGTCCACAGATGATAAAGCCGTGGATTTTGATCGCGTTTCGGTGTCCGTTCCTGGATTTCTCATTATTCCAAGCCAAAATAGACCGACAGCTCATCTTGTAGAGACGTTTTATGGGCTGTTTTACTTTTCATTAAGTGAATTCCTTCGAATTCGAATGCTTGTCTGTTCTCCAATATAAAAAAGTCTCTAACAAACTAAACAGATCTAGTACCTACAACATTATTAGATGCTATTAACTAAACTTCATGCTTGTCTGTCCTCCTTTGTTTGAAAAATAACAATAATACTTCCACAAAGTGCACACGAAGGAGAATCGTTTGCTCATACCAATTACTTCTATCTTCTATAGTCTATATCTCGACTATAATTCTCATTAACTCTGTGGCATATTCAAATAGTGCTTATGTCATAATTATAGGTTATGCGCGGTCGTGTTGGCGCGCATGCGTTGTCGTCACGAGCTAATTTCGTCGGGGCGAGGTCATGACCCGCCCTGCGCACGAACACCCAAATATAAACATCTCGCGCTAACTAATCTTATTGAAACTATAACGTTTGAAACGAGGTGGATATTTGAAGACTTTAATATTTTTCACATGTTATTGCACATGATGGCACTATATTAATTTAAAGTCGATTATAAATTGAGCAAATTTACGACACAGCTCATAGAGACTAATATATATAATAATATTGACTTTTTAATTATAGGAAGTGCTCAGTGATCAGTAATTTTACAAAAATAGTTCGAATAGTTACTTTGTGCATCAAATTATTTATTGTTGCAAACCTTATGAGATTCATAAATTATAGCCCTATATATAGAATTTCCCAATTCGAAACAATAGTTCCTGAGATTAACGGGTTCAAACAAACTCTTCAGCTTTATAATATTAGTATAGATTCGTAGCTAGTTTGTTCTAGATATAATGTTAAATAATCCTGTATCAAAAATCACCAAATTGTTTTGTTTAAATTAGGCCTGTTTGTAAAATATTTGTTTAATTACAATTGGGTATGTTGTAATAAAAAATGCTTACTACATTAAACAATTTAAAATACACCTAATGTTAATTTTGTCATTTGTTCAACGAAGTAGTTAAATATATATTTAACGTATTTACAACACTTACTTCTAGTGAATAAGTTAACTATGTAATTTTTAAACCGTTAATTTTTTAAAGCGTTTTTATAATATATTTTAATTGTAACAGCTGAAAATTATATAGACAGACATTTTTTTTGCTAGCTATTGGTCCAAGACAGTACAGAGAGTGAGCTTAGTTACTTTGACCAAAAGCGCTAAGTCCCACGACACAACAGGCAAGTTTGGCCAATATCCAGACCCGGTCGGGTATTTTAGTAACCCAACGAGGTCATGACCCGTCAACCTGCGCTCTCGCAATAATAGAAATCTTGCGATCAAGCCAAATGTATATAAATTAAGAGTATAATGATATAAATTCGCCTGATCCTACTATTACTACTGTTAAAAAGCGCTAAATATATTATTCAATTTATTTTTACTACGACCTAACATTTCGGATACATTGCAGCAGCCGTACAATCGAAACATCGGATTGTTATAATAAGTTAACTCAGTTTAACTACGACCCGACGCGTCGGGTATCGCGGCGTTTCGAAATCTTTGCAACAGCTGTGGTCACGTGGAAATAGAGATAAAGGTTGTCCCTAATGTCAAAATCAAATCTGGTACGCAAGCGCCTTCTGTAGACTTATAGAGAGGGACAACATGCTCTATCGACCTCTTTAGGCTTTGGATATTAGGAAATCCACAGGCTGAAATCGAAATGCGATTAAACTTCACGGATTTTTCATCTGTGGGCCGTGGTTAGTAGATGGAATTTCGATATTCCTCGCCCAATTAATATCCAGATTTGCAGACGAAGTCCAACATGAGTCATGACAGACAATAGGTTACGCGAGTAGTACACATTTAAATAAAACTACTTTAACGCGTTAAAACGCTAAACTAATATATCGCGTTTTAAACCGTTAAAGTGTTTTATTTAAATCATTAGAAACATATTGGACGCGGTGGGGATCCAACCAATGGCCCGTTGATTATTAGCTATATATTTCTACCATTACATCGACGAGCCTGTCAAATGACTATTTACAGTACTACTGGACCGACGATCTTGTTGAATCAGTGTATGTAACTTCTATAGCATTTTGGTTTGACGTTTTTAATTACGTAAGGCAACAATAGCTTGAAAATGCATTGAATTTCCTTAGCCACTCCGTAACACCTGTATACACAGTTCACTTGGCTACAGTTCTGCTGATTTTAATTAGCACGTAACAATTATTGAGAAAATATGAATAAATATGGATAAATTTGTAAGTGCTGTTTGCATTAATGATATTTCCGAAAGTGTTAGGATATATAGGTTCATTTGATAGAAGGTGAAATAACTCATACAACAATTAAAGAAGATGTGCTATACACTTATGTTGGCTTTGGGGATTCGGTAATCCACAGATTGAAATCGAAACGCGATTAAATTTCATGGCTTTTTCATCCATGAATGGTGGTTTGTGAAAATATAGATTTATTAGAAAGATACTTTGGGAATCTAACCTAGGAACACATTGCTTCTTTTAGACCAACCAGCTTCTTAGATCTAAGACCTAAATAATGTGTTAATTTTAAGTTTAAAACAATACAATATACAAGTAGATATATTTTCAATATTCTTGCTTTTCGTGTTATTTTGCAATATTTTCATGAGCAGTTTTATGTAAATAGATGTACATATAAATTACTCCTACATTTATTTCTTTATAGATAAATGTATTGCTAAACGACACAAAACACACCTACAAGAGGTATTCCGATGTAAATCCTAAATTAATAATACTTAATTTTTCAGAAATACATCGCCGCCATCTTGTCTTTTGTGGCAAACAACGCCGCACAACAATATCCGCCATTTTACCAAAATCAATACGGCCATTACGATATGGACCCCTACGATGATTACGAGTCGCCTGAATGTTTCTGCTCTTGCGAAGTATGTGAAGAACTACAGCCATGTTGTAGAAATATTTGTGTGAACTGCCAGCCATCGTCCAGTATTGTCCTAGTACCATACCCTTATCCCCTCATCATATCAACGAAACAAAAGGAATCAACCCCTCAACCTCCCCCCACAACAACAGAAACAACACAAACAACAACAACAACATCAGCAACAACACAGACAACAACGCAACCAGTAACTGCGATACTAAGAAACAACGATGCGTACATAAACGATATTTTATCGAAAACTCCGAACTTGAACAAGAAAAGTAAGTTCGTGTTGACGAATCTTAGACGGACTAAACCAGATTGCATGCCTAAGTACGGGATAGTGCCGATACCAGATAATTTAGCGGAGAAATTGATGCTACAACTGCGTAGTATGAGGGTCTTGCATCCCAAGAAGGAAACCTTTAAACCAGCTGACGTGTTTTCTTCTTTGGAGAAATTATAGTTATGTTATTCTAAATACCGTCTATAGTTTACGCGAGTAGTACACATTTAAATAAAACACTTTAACGGTTTAAAACGCGATATATTAGGTAAACTTATTTGAAAATGATTTTTAACTTCGATCCGACTTTTCGGAAGCTTTGCAGCAGCCGTGGACACGTCTCCCGTCATAAGTTTAACAAATATATTGCGTTTTAACGCGTTAAAGTGTTTTATTTAAATATGTTATTGTAAATTACAAAATAATTAGATATAGAAGTACTGTTTGTTGTCTACAATACACATAAGATAATATACTTTCAACGGTTTAAAAATTCGAAATATATTAGTTGATCCATTTTACACACTAGCATGTGCCTCTATGACCACGGCTGCTGTGCATTCGAAACGTAAAAATAAATGAATTAAGGTTAAATTGAAATACGAATTGTGCGGTTTAAACGTTAAAAGTAATTATATTTTAGGATAGTAAATAGTTATTAGTAATAATTTATTTTTATAAGTTTTTTAATGTATAATATGCAATAGGTATAACAGGCTGGAAGTGTCATAATAAGACTTTGAAAAATATTTGTTAAACTTTCATTTGTTAACATATTATTATACTTATTGTGTAATTTAATTAGATATATATCGAGTAAAATGTATCTTACAATGAAAATATTAAATTTATATATAATAAAATTATATATCGATCGATCGATAAATAATCTATAGTAATAGAATAAATTTTTTTTAATAAAAAAATTAATATCATGTACTCACAACAACACAGAGGTATCAATCAAATTCAAACTTAGAACGACATTCGCACGTCACTAGCACTACACGAAATCGATAATCGATTCGTAAATTACAGACGGATCTGTTGAGCGTGGGTTGACCTTTCAGGCGTCGCGCGCGCATGTGAGTCGCTGGTACTGGTGACCCCACGGACGATAATATGTATTTTTAGAGTTGAAAGTTCGACGACGGTTCACGACTTGAGCGCTTCCTTATTTACGCTTTGACTCCTTAGTTTAGTTACGTCGTAAATAAATGTTTTACAAAATTAAACACTTCTACTTCTACTTCGGGTTTTTCTACAATGAAGCAGACGCAATACTGTGTCTGTTTCAGTGACAGATTATTTACAGGCAATAGTAAAATAATAATAGGAATACATTCGGAAATCCACAGACTTTAACCAAAACGTGATTAAAGGGCTTTTTCATCTGTGGACTGTAGTTCGTGGCCAGATCGGAATTTAGTATTTTGACATTCCTTCCTAACTTATTTATAATCCAGAAATATTTCATAAAATACTTAGCCATCATATGATATAAATAATGTTTGTTTTTATATACACAGAATGAATATAGAAATATAAAATAATTACTTAAATATCATTTTATAAATATAAAATAATTTAGTATATTTTTGTGTGCAATGGAAACACAGATTTTCACGGAATTTTCCATTTTAACCGGAAGGAATTTTGGAATTCCTGCCTCTCATTTAATATCCAGATTTGAGTTTACTGTTTAACATTTTTTGGAAAAATTATACATTGAATAATTTTTTATTATTTATGGACCCTGTAAGTGTTTAATTTGATGATAAGTGAACGAGTTTAAACTGTACAGGTACTGATATCGGCCTTTCAAGACTGAAGTTTTGCGTTTGCTTTTTGTTTACATGAAAATTTCTTTCATTGCTTGATGTAAATGCCATCATTTGTCGATGTTATATTCTAGAACTTCTAAATAAAACGAACTAATAAGATATATAGTTATGGTAAATGTACAAAAACTGATATACTATTTTTAATATTATCCCTATGGGCAAAAAAATCTATCTATATATTACTAGTCGTATATAACAGGCAGCCTAAATGTTATTAGTAATTTCATTTAAGTCTCGAGATTCAAACCCAGGATCTCTCGCGCTTTACAATGGTAAGAGAAGCATTTAATAATACGGCTATTGAGTAGGTTAAATTTTAACGCCTTGCAAAAAGGTTTGAGCAATTACTAGCCGCTGCAAATTAGTTAAAATTTTTGATCAGTTAATCTTTGCGATAAAAACTTCATAATATATTCTTTTCAGTTAAGAAGGTACTATTTAGCTTATCCTGAACAATCATTAAAAGATTTTATACCTTTATTAAATAGACACCTTTCTGAAATTGTGCACTCATAATAACTATTATATACGCCTTACAAATATCCGACTGCAAAATTTAAGTTAAAACTAAAATATAATAATCTTTATTTAATAGTTTTAATTTAGAAGTATATGTAGTAAAAAAACTGCCGGGCTCGTTGGTTAATGTTACTATTATATATATATTAAATAACGGGTCGTGAGTTTGATTACTACCGGATCCAACACATTTCTATTCAATTTATAATTTTTATGAAACATGTTGGACTTGATCTGATCTTGATCTGAATCTGGATATTAAATGCAATGGTAGCAATATAAAAATTCCATCTCAGTCACAAGCCGCCGTCAACAGATGAAAAAACCGTGTTAGGAAAAAGTTTAGAAGGCATTTCAGATTAATTCTGTGGAATTACGAATGTCAAGAAAGGTCATCACTACATTTAAGATAGAGTATATGCCTGGGGTATTCCCCCTACGATCAAGTGAAGTACATGTGTACTGTCCTCTTGAAAAGTAAATAGAAATATCTTCAAATGATAAAATAAATCACTACATTGTTTTTTTTCATAAACGTAATAAACAAATTACGACAAATTTTGGAAGAAATCAATGACGAAGGCCGAACCTAACCATAACCCTAATAAGTAAAAGCCTTTTACAATTTATATTACAAATCGTGTTTATGATTGAAATCTCATAGTCATAAATCTATAAAACGTGATCCGATAAAATTGTATTTTAGTGTATCATGCGACATAACAATATAAAAATGTGAATAACTCTGCTATGGAAGTGGTAAGAATATTTATTACATATAGTGACCATAAAGTATTTAATTACTCGAAAAAGTAGACTAAAGAATTATAAATGTGTAGGTAGCGAAATAGTATTTCATCTTACATTAAGTGAATACCATGCTTGCCTATTCTCCTCTATCATAAAAAAAATTGTAGGGCGTCTCGTCGAAACGTTATGATGTCTAAAATATGCACTAGGGAACTTGTACTAAGCAATTTGATTGTCCATGTTCTTGAATACGAAACTCTGTCTTTTTGAAATAAGGTATCACAATATCTACTTTTCAGTCGATAGTAATAAAATTCTTTTTCAGATTAATTTCGTCTCAATCCACTTTATCTTCCTACGCGAGACATATACACAATTTGTAAATCCAGGCTGGCCTCATCACCCCCAACATTACGACGACTACGAATATAGAAGATGGGGTCCAAGACAGGGCAGACCCCGCAAGAGAAGTGGTGGCAGATTCCCTGAATACTCAGAGGAATCTAACGACTACGGCAACAGATGTAAGTGCACGTGCCAAAATTGTCAAAATATAAGGCCGTGCTGCGCATCCATTTGCCAAAATTGTAACACCCAATCTTTAGTCTTTGTACCATATCCTGTTCCACTCGTCATAACAGTAAAGTCGAAAGCGCCCGAGACAACATCAACATCAACAACAACGTCAACAACAACTACGACAACAACAACGACATCAACGACAACAACAACATCAACAACACTAGCGCCGTCTGAAGAGGAGGAATCACTTGAATATTCAACGTATTCAACACCGACAGTCGCTAGGATACTAGATTTTCCACGAGCCTCATCGAACTTTCCGTACTATCATAAGAAGTTGTTGTCCAAGAAAAAGTCATGTTTGAGAGGACAATGTGAAAACTTTAGGAGGGTAGACATTATAGATGGTTTCTTGAAACGCGGAGGCCAAACAGACAAGTCGTATGAAGATTATAATGTACCCAATTTGAAAAGTGGACAAAAATTCGGTATTATACCAATACCAGATAAATTAGCTCTAGAACTAATGACGCATATGCGGGATGCGAAAATAAATGAACTGCTTAGTAGGGGGTGATTTTGTTGAGACAAACTTTTTTATATAATGATGTATATCTAATATATATGAAACAGAGAGACCTGAAAATACTAAAGGTGGTGATGATGAAATATTGTACAGGATTGTTAATGGATGAGACACAGTAACAGCTGGATAATCTATTACCCCCACAGAGAAGAATAGAGTAATGAGGTGAAAATGTTACCTAATTTTGTACATATCATCAGGTGAATTCACCTAATAGAAAATAATAATAAATAATATTGTTGTTTTACTGAATTGTTTCGATTGAAATATGTACATTTTACATTAAAAAACCAAATACGTTTTACGTATTTTTGCTCTTACCAACAAAGGTACCGTGTCCTATTGGTCTTCATAGAATTTCATTTATTGCTTATTTCATCATTTAGACCTAAAAAATATTTTTTATAGCTTCCCCACAAGGAAAAAAAAACAATTTTTATTTCATAGAAGTTTATTCTTAAAGTAGGAAGTACACAGCCATTTTCGACATTGGACTGAGGTCAATACGCGAATAAATAATAATAATCTGTATTCCTTAAAATATGTCAACTTAAAATACCATTCAAACAAAATCACATACTTCACAAACCTTAAGACCATTTTGCACTCCCAATACAATAACAATTAAATGCACAAACAATAATATATTTTTGGCATTACAAAACCGTCTACATCCCTTTGCATAAAGAAGAGAGACAGTGATAGTAATAGTATATATATTGTTTCTTCGAGCAATCGAAGAGTTGACATCTCCTGATGATGCTGTCCGCACGTGATGGCGAAACGTCGAGAACCTCTTCTCGCTCACAGCCGAACAGCCCGAAAGACAATGCAGAACGATGGCCGTGAGAGCCTTACACAATTAATTAGTTTATATACGTCTTGCATAAAAATATATAGAACTATTTGTTCTTCGTACAACTTGTACATTGCATATATAATAATTCTTAAATAGATCGCCCCAATAGGTATATCTCACTATCTATTAACATTACGAACATGTTACTACATATAATATAACACTTTGTAAAAAAGTTTTATATCAAAAAGTAACATAATACTTAGTCCTTAATATATTACATTTGTCCAACATATATTTTTTAAATAGAAATCTTCGAGTACATATATAGGCACATTTCACAACACAATCTCACACATTGTTAAATTATAACTAGCTAACACCACAGATATTAAACTAACACCAGGGAGGTGGTATAAGATTTAGTAACATACTTTTGAGGCAAGAAAATATTCTAAGTTTATAAAAACTATTGTCACATTAGTTATAAGACAATATTGTCAAAGCGCCTTGATTAACGATGTCTTTTTTTTTCTTTTTTTTTACAGTAAAAGGAGACTAAAGACGTTTGAGTCCAGAAAATTTACAGTATGCTTTTCAGATATTACAAACAAAGGCAGAAACTGATTTTACTAACTTTGTGCTTAGGTATTAAATAAACCGTATTTAACTAATTTTTTCTTTCAATTTGGACCTTGAGAGCGTCTATCAGCTCTTGGAAGCTTAGGACGTACCAGGGCGCCCTCTTCTTCACCTCTTCGCGAACTACGTTGCCACCGAAACCTGAAAATATTTATTTAATGATAATTAATCAAATTAATTAAGGAAAGCAATCCTGATTCTCATCACTAGTATAAGTCCAACAAAAAAAAAATTGAAACGAAATGTTGGGCCCGGTGGGGATCGAATCCACGATCTGTTGATTTTAAGCCATACATTGCTAACCAAGTGTTACGCTAACCACTGCGCTATTATAAATAATTACCAATAAACGCATCCGCGGGCGGGCTCGCCTCTGCATCAGTGGCGCCATCTCCAACCATCACCAGTTTCTGATAACCAAATTGTTCCTTCAAGCGTCTAATGACCAAAGGTTTGCCGCCAGACCTCGATGTTGGCTCGTTCTCGTCAAAGCCGGCATATTCACCTAGAAGACAAACATACAAAATCATTTAGGCTTTATTTATTGTTAGAAAAAATTAGAAGTTAGGACTTCTATCAATTCAATTCATAGTTATTTAAATAAAAATCTTCTAACGGTTTATTCTTAAAAGGTTAAGTGTTGTAAAATTTCTAAATTTATATTAAAGGATACTTATATATTTCGCGTTTTAAACCGTTTCATGTGTTTTATTTAAGTGCGTACTATAATACACATTTTTTAACTATCACATCCTAATAACCTTTGGGATCCCAAAACTCAAATTCAGATTCAAAGAGAGGTTACCATAACTCAATGGTGGAAAGAGTAGCTCAGAATCGCGGTAAGCACGAGAGGGGGAAGTCCCGGGGAAACAAAGTGTCGGCAGCTTTTCGGATAATCAAACAAAGGAATGATAAGCACGTGTCGTTGCTTACTGTGCACTCCAAAAACACAATAACAGATTTATCAATGACGTAAAACATGTTGACCGATTTATTAAGTTCGCGTTGAAAACAATTCGCGATAGGGTAGCACTTGAAAAACTAAAAACTAAAAGTATTTAGGCCGGGCTTACTTAAAATGGACGGCTTGTATGGCTAATAATCGACGGGTCGTGGGGTCGACCCCCACCGGGTCGAACATTTTTCTAAACTAATTGTTTAAATAAAAAACGTTAACGGTTTCAAACGCGATATATATTAGTTAAACTTATTTGAAAATAATTTTAAACGCCGGCCGTAATGTTTCGGTTGCTTTGCAGCAGCGTGGTCACGGGAGACAGTCTCCTATTTTCAAATAAGTTTAACTAATATTTATCGCGTTTTAAACCGTTAAAGTGTTTTATTGAAATGTAAACTACTCGTGTAAACTACAGACAGTATTTTTATTTATCATATTTAAAAATAATTAAAGTAGTTGAAACAATATTCATTGAATTGAATTATATAGATTGAAAAATTAATCTATCTAACGATGTCACAATATCATTATTTCCACATGATGATTGATTGATTACGATATAATTGAGGTAAAACATATAGCAATAAATCTTTTTCAATCATTAACACTTAATATCCAGACGAAGTTCAACATGACTCGGAAGAACTACATTTCGATTAGAGGCAAGTTCGATCTGGTAGAATTAACCACAATCCGTTGTTTATTAGCGTAGATTACGATCATTTAACAAATTTCTCAAACTCTTCAGCTTTATATATTAATATAGATTTCATTTCTGAGAATAGCTTTACTCTTAAATGTGAAATATCTCTATACGAGGAATCCGTTCTCTTGTACTGTACTGTCATGAAAAATATGTTGTGTGTACTCTAGTTGTCATATAGTATGGATTTGGTCAAAATATATCTGGAATTTTCCTAGGATTAATAAAACATAAAGGAAACATGGATAGTTGTTACGTTCGCGTTAAACATATAATATACATTGCGCATATCTGTGGTAGATATTAGAATGAAGAGACACTAGCTTTTGATATAATTAAGGAGATAAAAATTTATTACATCAATCGTACGATCATATGACTAAGTGTTTGATTATTTTTAACTTCATAAGTCATAAGTTAAAAATAATCAAACTATAAAAAGAAATTATGACACAGGTAGGGCATGAACCCACGACCCCATACTACACTCCTATATGACGAAACAGATGGCGTTAGCGTAGCAGATTTGATTATGACGTTAGGGATATCGTTTGACGTGGTCACAAGGGGACTGCAGGTGGAGGGAACATATCACTAACGTCAAACGCCGGGCCATAGTTGAAATAAATTAAATGTGAGTTGACAGATCGCCATCGCATCGACATTCGCGTTTAAAACCGGTAAAAGCGCTTCATTTAAACTTTACCAGTGTGATTCAGATTTTCTATTTCTACGCGATATTTTAAACGTGTTTTTCGTCTCCCCGTAGCCACGGCGACTGCAAAGCATCCGAAACATCGAGCCGTAGTTAAAAATCATTTTCAAACAAGTTTAAATAAAATATATCGCGTATTAAACCGTTAAAGCGTTTTATTTAAATAAGATACTTTTGACACTTCAAAACACGCAAATATATGCTGCCTTATTTATAACCGTGATTATGACCTGTCGTATAATTCTAGCTCATTTATTTATTAATTGTAATGTAAGAAGACTTGTATGAGAAATCTTATGACACTTGCAAGATAGACGCTCAACGTTTAAGATAATTTGCATCACCTCGCAAGCCCAGTGGGGTCTCAGTGATAAATAAAAGATCATTAAATTATATTCTCTTGGTTGATAGCAGCTGTTTATCCTTATACGTTATAAATACAATGTGTCATGAACGACGTTATGTTTAGTTCATAAATATACAAAAAAATCAAAAATTATCATCTGTGATTGATTATAAATAAAACACTTTAACGGTTTAAAACGCGATATATATATAAGTTAAACTTGTTTGAAAATTATTTTAACTACGGCCCGACGTTTCGGATGCTTTGCAGCTGCCGTGGTCAAGGGGTGACTACCATTAGTGTTTTATTTAAATGTGTACTACTAGCGTAAACACAGACTTAAATTAAGTTCAATTTGTTAATTTGATAATTTATTTTTAATGATATATATAAAAGTAAAATCTTTAATGCTATGTAGGTATACATTAATTTAATATACATAAAAAAACAATTATGATATTATTTTTTAAACAAAAACCATACTAATGTTCTGTATACATTAGATGGTTTTTGTTTAAAAATACAATAAAAGTTTTATCATCCGAATTACCAAAGTCAAAATAGGTCAACCGCACATCTTGCTAAAATGTTATATGACTGAGGAATTTCACTTATCAAGTGCTTGTCTGGCCCTTTCTAATAAAATTTGCTGTTTAAAGTATCCGTTTTAATTTATCTATATACCTGTTTTAGGTAAAGTACCGACTCAATCGGAAAATGAAAGAGCATTAATTTTCCTTGTAAAGGTTTTTCCCTGTAAAACATCTTCCTCCATTAGAACAACTTATTAATTTCCTTATGTCGCCCTACTCTAATATAATTTAATTATTGAATTTAAATTTAATTTTGTTAGTTAAAACTTAGTACTGTAGATACAAGAATGTAAGGATTGGTGTGAAGCATGTCTTTTTTATCTGGTTAGATTTTTTCAACCCGCCTAAAATGTATATTGAAGTACTTCTGACACATTGCAAGGAAGGAGATGTTCTGGGACGATAGATGCTTACTGGCAACATGGAAGGAAGGAGACTGTGCGGCCGCGGCGGCGCGTTCGCACCAGATTGAATCAAGTTGACAAGGGCAGAGACTCGTGTACCGTGGAAGCAAAGGTCGACAAGGCGTACCATCGTTCGAAAGACCATAGATGGGGGTGACGTTCCTCAAGAGTATACGACGCAAGGATGTGGTCTTAAAAGTGGTCTTAAAAGTGACGCATCTGGTTTTATAATCTTTGAGCACATTTAATTGATTTCTGGCGCAAGAGCATCGGATAATGAGTACTTCACATCGTCGGGTGTCAATGAATATCGCTAGTGTTATCGACGACCCCGTGACAGGGGCGTGCCTCGCTATATTCAAACACTCGTGTTCCTTAGACACGATTAGGGTTGTCACGCTTTACTTATTTTTGACAGTTACCTTTTTCACAATTTATTAAAAGACATGTGTATCCACAAAGGGACCCGCCAGATTTATTAAATTATTCTTTTATCAACCATGCTTTGTGTTTATGGAATTTGAACAACGTTTGTACAAATTGGACGGCAAAGAAATCAAAAAACGCACTTCTTAGTTATCAATGATTGTCATTCAATCTAGGTCAATAATTATATCTGTAGCTATAATCAGATTGCTTTGTTAATTCGAGAATTAATTTTTGCGTCGATTTGAAGTAATGAGATTTTCTTTGTATCCCTGAAAGTAACTTGAAAAAGTTTTTTATCTGTATGGGAAACATTTTACACAAAAGTTTTACTTACTACAGTAACAAAGTACCAATGTTTATTATACTTAGTAAGGCTTTTCGTACTAAGTTTAGTATAGGTCGCTGAACGAAGTGTTAAGGAGATAGTTGCGCATCCGTACAATCGCGCACGTAATTGATTGGAAAACGTGACTGTACTCGAGAAGCGGAGCGTCGTATTGGTCCGACAAAGACAACACGAGTGGGAAACCGATCAACACTAGCGCATATGACGTCCACTCGCCCCGCGCCCACTTCCGTCCCTTTGATACCTTATTTTTGACTTCTGCGCAGGATTCGTTTAACGCTAAAGATCTGTGCCGCTACTTATACACATAGTATTAAGTACTTCACACACTATAAGTAATTTTTGACAACCCTATAAGCTCGTATTTTGTACCTTACATGACATTATGGTCAGTGTGTCGGGTTAAAGTATAGATATAGATTCCTTTCTATTATAGCGATGGCATGGTATTACTTGCGATTTAGATAAGATTAGATTAGAAATAATTTATGGGATCTAAAATAACTACCATGAAAGATGCCGACTAATATCAAGAAATAATCCTTAGCAACGAATGGATTAAGTATGATTTTTGAATTATTTAATGATCTACCCCCTACGTAACAGATAAATGTCTTTAAACATTATTATTATTAATAGAACTTGTTTTATGCACTGTCTGTGGTTTACGCGAGTAGCACACATTTGAAACAGTTTTAAACGTGATATGTATTAGTTAATGATATTTACAATTCATTTTAAATACGTTCACGACGTTTCGAATGCTTTGCAGTAGCGGTACTGAAGTTCGAGCATGTTCTTAATGTCGACGTCAAAATGAGCTACGCTAGCGCCATCTGTAGCAAGCAGCGTAGCAGGACTTGACTTTTATTCATAAATTTCGTGTTTTGAACCCTTTAAAGTGTCTTATTTAAATTAGTTAATGTTAATGCCCAATGCCAAGCTTATTTTGGGAGGAGCTAGTTTTTTTTTAAGCTGTTATACCAGATACATATATTTAACGTTAACTTCGTTGTATAAATACTTTTATTCAAAGGCATTATTATCTATTGGGTAGTTATTAGAGTATCTAGCTAGGTTTGAATAGGTTTTCGATTTTGACTCTCAATTAATAGAAATGTTTTCTTGTGAAACTCACCATTAAAATAGAACTTCAGCCTGTTCGCATAGACGTTACTCCTGGGTATCGAGAGAACATCAGCGACTGGATCGATGAGACTCCTGAAACCGCCTGAAACCAGGTACACTGTCACGCCCCTTTCTTGCAGCAGCTTCACTAGCTCCCTGTAAACATAATATACATATTGTTAGTTTAAGAATGAAATCCCGTGGGACATGGGGCGAACATATTTCTGTGCCCGTTTCACCGGTCGGTTTTATTTAGGTACAAGTAGTTGACCAGACTTCTGTGCCCTACCAGATCGAAACTATCCATACAGTCGAACTCAGGACACGTATTACACACCTCCGAAACGGCACGACCAATTGTCATGAAATTGTATATGCATATCCGTTGGTAAAATAGAAAAATCCAAAATTTTCACCCTTCGAACACCAACCCATGTTTTAATAATTTTTCATCCCGCTCAATATCGATTATGACTTGGTTATCCCCCCCAGGCGTCTACCGTTACCAATAAATTAGAATAAAAAATGTTTGATGTTTTGCTTTAATATGTTCTCATCGTTCACAGCGCACCATACCTCTTTTACACATATTCTTAAATACCAGAAACTCCCTGGAATTGTGGCAAAACGTTTGCCGGGTCAGCTAGTATTATAAAAATAAAGAAATTCGGCAATTAACGTCTAATGTTAAATATTTACATTATTGAGTCAGACGTCGGGTCAACACGATATCAAAGTGGTATTAACCGGAGTGGTACGTGTCGTTAAAATCATGTTTACACAATTTTATTGTACAACGATCTTACGTAGGCGTATTGATATAATTAGAGACACATTTTGGACGAGGAAAATTTAGGTTAAATCTTTGATTACATTTTTCTAAGAAGCTGCTGCAGAAAATGTAATCAAAGTAGAAAAAGAAAAAAAGTAAACTAATGTGTCAATTGGTTTATGTTTAAACGGGGAGATGTCCCAGGACCACGGCTGCTGCAAAGCATCCGAAACGCCGCCCCGAAAAAAAAAAATTTTTTCGTTTAACAAGTTTAAACGTTAAACTGATAAGATTTTAGGTCGTTAATTTTAATAAATAAAGTAGACTCCCAGCTGTTGGGAAGGGGGATACACATGTCTCCATCTATTCTACTAATCGCTTTTAAACACGGGCAAGTGTAACTTCTAAATATAATTTGGTTTAAAATATCAAACTTTTTATCTAATACCTTCGGAAAGACGATAATATTGATTTAAAAAACGACGACAGGGGTGGTCGTTAGTTCAAGTCCCACGTGATTACGTGTTTTTACAATTGTTTTCAGCTATCACGTGCGATAACATGTGAAAAAAATGTTGCAGGCAGGTGTTTAATCACACTTCTGTGCTCTGCCACACCGAAACAAAAATGTTTCCGTATTATTTCGGTTACATATTAAACTTTGATTACTTACGCGATGCCTGGTGTGAGATGAATGGGGAACTTCTCTAAGAATTCTTTGATTTGGCCAACGCTGGGTCTGATTATATCTAGCCTTTTCTTAAGAGCCTCTTGAAATGTCATGTTGCCGCCCATCGCTTCCGCTGTTCTGTGGAAATATATACAGGTTAGTTTCATTTCAATTAAACTAATAAAACAATATTAACTTATTATAATAAAGAAAATGTATATATGAATTCCTGGATCTTTGCGTACAAAGGAAAGGACACAAAACAAAACCTAAAATCTCTTAACTGTCAACTTGTATAGACGGGCATTATCTATACTCTATACTATCTATATACTAATACTAGCTGCGCCAGCGACTTTGTACGCGAGAATCGTTATATCGGGCATTCAAATTAGTTTTTGCAAACCCCGTCATCTTTATAAACTGAAGCTGTTAGCCACGACGTCCATCGCGTCCCTTTCCGTCGTTCTTGCAAGTTAATCTTAAGAGATATATGTATAGCGTCGCGGATTTATTTTAGGTTTAAAGACGAACCTTTGTTTTATACACATTTTTAGGTACCTTGAACCGTTTTCGCAACGTATGCATCTGAAACCTACAGAGATGAAAAATTTCCCCCGTTTTTTTCACATTTCGCTGTGATCTTCGCTTCTATTAGTCACAGCGCGATGTTTTATAGCTTATAGCCTTGCTCGATAAATGGTCTAACCAACACAGAATTTTCTAATTCCTTCCCGGGGAGATTAGCGCGTTCAAACACACAAACAAACTCTTCAGCTTTATATATTAAGTAAGTATAGATATAGATTCAAAGATGAAGAGTACGTTTATTTGAACGCGCTTATCTCAGGAACTACAAGTTCGAATTGAAAAATTTCTGTATTGGTTAGAGAATTTATCGAAAAAGGCTATAGGCTATACAACATTACCCTGTGACTAATAAGAGCGAAGGAATAGTGAGAAATGTGAAAAAAACGGGAAAACATTGTCATCTCAGTGGATTTTCGATGAATTTGTTTAAAACAATGATTTCTCTTAAAATGCACTAAATAAATATCCACAATACTATTTGTCTTTATTTTAAGATTAACTCAGTAAATCAATTCACAGTTGAAACGGAGGTTTGCAAAAACAAATTTTTATGTCCAAAATAACTATTTTACGCGGACGCAGTCGCTGACACAACGAGTTTCATTATAAAATAAAAATTGTAAAACAATGATTCTCAATAATTTAGTATCTATGCTTAGTCACTCTGAGTGTGTAAGAATTGAAAGATGAATAGTGTAGCCACAAATCGTAATATTATGTTTTGTTTTTTTTTATAAAAAATAGCCTTGGATGTGTGGAATTTAAATTTTGTTTTTTTTTTAGTTTTTAACCAATGTGACGTTTATAAGTGTACACTAGTTCCCTAAGTGTAAATTCGTTTTTTTCACTTTGACTTTGATTCCATCTTTAACGTTTTTAATTAAAAAAATGAATATGGCGATAAAAAAAATATAATGACAATCTAAACACCTGTAAGGATTATAATGAAGACCACTTTTAATCTATGAACATAATATATTCGTCGGCAATAAACTTGTTTTTATTTTGCAAAGTTATTTATGATAAGAAACGAGTGGAATTTCCCTACTGCTTTATAAAATTTCGATACGTATAGACATGTGATAGTCATATAAATTAATAAATATAATGAGCCATATAATATTATGTTTGAAAAATTTATTATTTTTTTACATGTAGTATATAGTGCATAAGAAGGCACTGTATAATTTAAAAATCGAAAATAAATTTTAAAAAAAATTCCAACTCGGGCAGGACTTGAACCGGCATCGTCAGCGAGTCCAGACTCGGTAGCTCAATTGGTAAAGCAACAGCAAGGAACGCTGACGATGCCGGTTCAAGTTCCGCCCGAGTCGGAAATTTTTTCAATTTGTTTTCAATTTTTTAATCATCCGTTGTTCGTCCGCTTCGTTCGTTATTTAGTGAATTCAAATTCGTTTTTGCAAACCCTTTCATCTTTATAAACTTAAGCTTGGGCCCATGACTTCGGTCGCGTCCCTTCCCGTCGTTAATAGTTATCTTTAAAGTTAGACATATAGAGTCACGGATTCTGTCATACACATTTTTTAGTTATCTTGAACTGTTTTCGCAACGTACGCAACTGAAACCCAGAGCAAATGAAAAATTTCCCCAGTTTTGTTCATATTTCCGAAAATATAATATTCTTCTGAGCCAATGATATTTCTTTTATTATTCATAATACATATAGTTACACAAATAAATACTTCTTTAAGATAACTTTTTTTATACTTTTTTATATTTAACCAGAAAAATACTTATATATGATTTGTTTGAAAGTTTCGATTAGAGTTAAAGGGAACTTGCTAGTATTTTTTATGTTACTTGTCCAATAAAAATTGATAAACACATAAACAAAATAATATGTTTTCCGTTTTCTAATTCAATATCTGCAAAGATAAGAAACAATAGATATATCTAACCTTGACTGATCGCCATTTTAGGTTTTGGAAAATCTCGTAATACTTATCTTATCGCTATTTATAAATGAGACGTTTAAAACGATTTCGCTGGAATTAGATCAAGATCAATAATTTTTATATGTACCTATCCATAACAACGCATTTTACTTATTTTTGTCCTTACTCAAGATATTGTAGTCCTTCGTTTTTAATATTATTAAAAACGAATATTTTTATATTTTTTAGAAAAGGGAAAACCTCACACTTTTTATCTAACTAATACCTCTGGGAAAACGTTATACTGACGTAAAGTTTGCATTTTACTGGACTCCAGCGCACAATTATGAGCATTTAGCTCTAGCTACATTATACACCTGACCTACCCTAAGTCTATTAACAGTTATGATCCATCATTAGATTAGAATTGATCACTATCACTTTCTTAATACTAATTATTAACATTTGTGTACCTTATATATTATGCCGCTAGAGCCAGAATAGCCTAACTGCAATTTAATGACTAAATTTATATAATTTTTAAAGTCTAGAAAATGTTAATCTACAGTAACCGAAAATTGTGAACATAATTATTAAGCACTAATTCTGTATTTTTATGTTCCTCCTTATAGAAATGTTTTTTTTTTGCAATTAGACCACTGTGGCTCTAGCAACCTCATATGAGCAGAAGTCTTAATTAAAATGAATAGGGTGACTAGTTTTCACTCGAAAAATGTTTTTTTTTTCGCAAAAAGAAAATAAATAAAAAACTTACAGCCGCTTAACCTCTTCGCCTTTTCCACAAAATCTAGCAAGTTCATCGATGCCTTCATCTCTTATGACCGTCGAATCAACATCGAAGCACACGCAGTCCGCTGTCCTTAAAACTTCCTTCACACTTTGCTGTGGCGACATCGCAGTTATGGATACCAAAGACAGAGTCTTCAGTGTAGCGAATTGGAGATTCGATTTCAAACTATAAAAAAAAGCCGTATTAGTTCGAGGACAAACGAGTTGTCCTTTGGTAAACCGGTTTTAATGATTCCGAAGAGAAAAGCTTAAAGTGATGTTCAATAAACAAAAGATAAATATAGTTTACAATAATTCTATTAAGTAATTTACAATAGACGATAATTTATAATGTTAGTATAACAAAAGACATGCTACGTACTTGTCGGAAGTTATAGTAACCAAGCTAGTTTTACGAGCACAATATAAATCATCGAAGGTTTTAAGGTAAACTTTACACGTATTTATTTTCCTTAACTGTAAACTAATCTGAGTGTTATGCATTTACAAGTACGTCAATCGCAAGGAAATCGAGTAAATAATACCAGTTTGCCCATGAACTAAATAACTAAATTGATTGATAACGGTTACGGTAAATATTTGTTTGAAGAGAATAGAAATGTAAAGAAAATATTATTGAAATAGCGTTAGTAGACGAATTATTATAATTAGTACTTTCATGCGAGAAATTGTCTTATTAGAAAAAATACCTGCTTAGTGCCATTTTCACTGTTTCCTCGAAATTAATAAGAAAACAACTTGTTTACGCGACTTTGCAAAATAGATCGTTTATACTATTATTCAATAGAACCCACTTGACCGGAAACTGTCGCAAACACGCCTCCGTTGAGTCTGATATCATATAGTACAGTGCACTCCATTGCGCGTTATCGCCTTTTATTTACCAGCAGCGACAAGATAACGACGTGATGCGAGCTACAACACTTTTCTCTGAGAGCTACGTACTATGAATGACGTCAAGCGACATCTCCACTAAAGACATATGGTAGACAGAAGCGATAACTGAAGTAGGGGCGATGATCCGACAGTTGTCTCCCTCACTCGCGATAGAACAGTATGGAATGTTTGTTGAAACGATTGCTTTGCCAATTGCGTGGATTTAAAATCACCTTATCGCTTTTTGCGCCCGACGTTAATAGAGCTGATAATATTTATTTCATAAAAACAAACTTAAATGGAATCCCTTGTACCTGACAAGGTTTAGATTCACATACTTGATTATTTAAAAATACCTTTATAAAAATATTTTAGTTTAATAATGCTGTAAATTAAAAATAATGCGATATAGAATAAACTATAAACATAAAGTATAATTTATAGATATTATACAACGCGATCCACGTGGTTAATAATTATATAACTATCTTAAGTGATTGTAGAAAAATAGTAATAGTCCTATATTAATTCATATGTTCTCATTTTCTAAATTGTTCATTTAATCAATAATTTCTTATATCGGCCAAAAATTAAAGAAAACATTCCCCTAAAACTTTCTCAACTGGTCACCCTAGCTTTCATCAATGATATTCAAAAATTTTTACTTTTTCCTTAATAGAAAAAAAAAGAAAATCCTAGATAAAATTAATGTGATTTTTTTATCAGGATTTTTACTGAAGTCACCACTCACATGGTATCAATTTAAAACAAGGTTATCATTTGGCAGTGGTCATGCAAATGGTACATGCTAGGTGGCTTACATTCTGATAAGGCTAATTTCATTGTCACAAATTTTATGTAAATAAACAAGAATATTGGTAGTTATATTTTTATGGCTTTTTAATTGTTTCCATAAGTTTCACAGATTATAGATATATGTTCTTTACTGATATTGTACTATACCCAGATTGGGTGTATGTACTAATAAGTATTGAAATATTGAATCCTTAAATTTGAAAATGTCTTATCGATGAATGTCAATACCAAAACTATTTCTCTAATAAACTTCATTAAAAATTAAAAAATAGTACTGATAAGAGCCTAGCCAAAATATAAGAATAAGCATCAAATATGTTTATCATTCCAATAGTTATAAACAAAAGGTTAACTTACATAAAGTATTATGCAATTCATCGTGCTCTTCAATTTTTATATAGATAAGAAAATAGTTAAATATAAAGTTAAAAAAAAAGTTAGGATACATATTTTTCTTTTTCACATATTTTTTTTACATCCAAGCTTTGTAGTATTTATGGCTTAAAAAAATAAAAGGTGGCAGTGGTAGCTTTCTTCTTTAATTATGACAACTTTATAAAAAGTAATTTTTTTATGCTTTATATAAAAATAATAAAAACAATCTATTTTATCCATAAACTTCATAAACAATTAATTCCACGCTATGTTTTACCACAGATATCAATACTATTATTAAAATGTTTGATAATATTCAAAGGTAAACTGCATTCTAAGACTAAATAAAAAAGCCTACATTTTATAGATATTTCTACAGCTCATATAAAGTCCATATTCAGTCCTGCATAAAGACTTGTGTACTATTGAGTCAATAATTTACCTTTACAACAAGAATGACCGATGATAACAGTCAACAAGCGAACAATCAATGAGATATTATTGTGTCAATTCATTCTTGTAACTAGTTCCAAGCAGATAGCTACTGATAACATTTCTCTGTGGTATTGAGGTTTTAAAAATTTGGAGAATTTGGAAAATACTATTTAAAATATACAAAAAACTTACTTACAAATTAATAACTTTTAACAGGTTAGATTGTATTTATTTACACTGACTGAACACGCCTGAAGCACTTGTAAATTCAAAAACAAATTAAAACGAATGCTGACTCATTGTACACTCACGAATTAGAATTAATTATACTCGATAACCTTGCAAACACCCTGTTACTATAGAACTTACCTTTTGAAATAAAAATGTATTTACATTTAAAGCATTTTTCCCTAGTTTCCTTTAGATTATAAATAAATGTATGTATCGGCATTCTCTTGTAAAATATAAAAAATGCTTAAATATGCATATGTCACGTAGAAAAATTTATTTGATTTGTAACTTTTTGTTACTATCAGCTGATATTTTGCTGTGTATATTTCCCATAGCGTTCGATTTTGACATTTCTAACTGATAAGTACCTTTTCACTACATCTGTGGCTGGAACATGACACATTATTTTTTTGTGGCGGGAAATCCCAAATATTGCATTAAACAGTAATTTGAAATAGATTAAGTTAATAATATTATCTTACTATACGTTGTTTTCTCTCTTCTTATAGATTATTTTTTACTATGAATAATATAAAAATAAGAAATGAAATTCTAATCAACAGGTAAATAATAGATGGTTATTAGAATTTATCTGTGGCGAAACGATATAAGTGTATATTCTGTATTCTATGGTCTCTAAATGCGGAATCAGGTTTACAGAGCGCGCGAAAAAGGTCGGGAAAGTTGACAAGTTCTACATACATTTTAAAGATAAATATTATTTAAAAGGCGGTAAAAATGAATGTGGTGAAAAGACAGACCCTTGGTAGACCATTAAAACCACATAAAAATAATGATTTGGTACGTCGTGATTGCTCATATGGTTAGTATTTTTTATAGTACTTTAATGTCATATAAAATAACATTAAATCGAATTATTGATATAATATCAGCTTATTATACATTGTTTAGGTATTCGCACTGCTATAACAAAACCACCGATGTTGTCTAAAACGCTCCAAGCGACACGCGCGATTACAAATGCACCCAGATACCGATTTGAGAAGAATTGTGAACAAGAAAAACAAAAATTATCTATGGGTCCTCCACCAAGGATTCCACCTAACGTAAAGCGTAGGTGCGTTATCCTGAATTTTAACTTATTCCGTTATGTTAGGCGTAATTTCGTTTTTGGGCCCGGTTTCCTCAGGATTCGAACCGGGGATATCCCACGCTACGCACAATTAATGTGGTAGTAAAATAAGATAAGTAGAGTTTAAAATAATCAGAATGACTCTTCATGATTCAGAATTCACAAGATCAAACACGTGCACGATAATTATTAGGTCATATTATTATTATTATTATGACAAATGTACAAGTCTTCTCTCTTAAAAAAAAAACTTTAACGGTTTAAAACGCGGTTTTTTAATTAAACTTATTTGGGAATGATTTTTTACCCCCCCCCCGCGTTTTGGGGGGTTTGGCGGCGGGGGGGGGGGGGGGGGAAAATTTTTTTTTTTTTTTTCCGGGTTTTTTTCCTTTTTTTTTTTTTTTTTTTTTTTTTTTTTTTTTTTTTTTTTTTAAATTTTTTAAATCTTCTCTTGTTCAAGTATTGATATAATAGAAGAATGAGTTTTTTATTATTTATCCATAACACTCGTAAAAATAATATTACGCATAACTTTAGTGCTCCTCCGGCCTAAATAAATTATTTCTTTGCACGTAAAAGAACACTGCTTTCGTTAAAATAGCATCTTCATAAAAAATGGTGCATTATGTTAGTTATCTAATACTTATATAAAATTCTCGTGTTACGGTGTTCGAACTTGAACTTCTCCGAAAAGGCCCGCCCGACTTTCCCCAAATTTGTTTTGGGGTTTCCGTAGGGTTTGGGGAAAGGGACACCCCCTTTTTTTCCCCCCCCAAATGGTAGGGGTTTTTCCCCCCTTTTTTTTTTTTTTTTTTTTTTTAACCAATTTTTTTTTTTTTTTTTTTTTCCCCCCCCCCCCCCCCCCCCCCCCCCCCCCCCCCCCCCCCCCCCCCCCCCCCCCCCCCCCTTTTTTTTTTTTTTTTTTTTTTTTTTTTTTTTTTTTTTTTTTTTTTTTTTTTTTTTTTTCCCCCCCTTTTCTATAATAAACAGGCTCACCAAATACGCTACTGATAAATATCAATCTTGTAAATGTCATACATGGCATGTCTAGTGGAATGGCAGGGCATGTGAAACTTCCTCACTACTTCACCCTCTCTTCCTTAATACAAAAAATAATAATTTGCACTTAGACTGATCATTAAAAATATATCTGTTTTTAATATATCTGCTACCCATATCATCACAGATAAGGAGTATTAAAATAAAACACTTTAAAGGTTTGAAACGCGGTATGTTATTAGTTTTACGTATTTTGAATTTTTTTTAATTACAGCCGACGTTTCGCGCATGCTTTCGGAAACGTCGAGCCGTAGTTAAAATAATCATACTGTATATCGCGTTTTAAACCGTTACAGTATTTTATTTAATGTGCACTACTCGCGTAAACTACAAACAGCATTTGATAATCAGTAATTTGGCATTAGATTGATGCTGTCAAGTTCAAGATTAGATTCAACAACGAGTTCTCTTCTCGCACCCCGTATATTGGCGAACGACTCGGCTGCAGTTGATTCCTTCTCCACTCCTAAGAATAGACCCACGGCACTTAGATATATTAGTAGTAGTAGTAGAGGTGAGTTATGTAACTTAGTGTGCTAGCTAATTACGTTTGTTAGTCCTTCACACATCGTACTTAAATAACCAAGCTAAACATGTTATTGTTCTAATATTTAATATAATATAATAATTTTTTCATGTCGTTTTCCAACACCGTGTATCGGGTATCAAAAATTAAAGTTTAAAAAAAATTAAAGGATTGCATAGTAGACCTCCGTAGTAATCTTTTTGGTAGATTACCTAGGTCCGTGCCGAGCGATTAAAACCGTCTAAGGGTTTAAGTTTTCTAATTTAACACTAAAGTTCCCGTTATAAAACCAACATTTGAGATAATTAATTGAGTTGAATAATTTAGGCCGAATTTATCATTCGGCCTATTGCTGTCAATATTAAACGTATGTACGTAGTCCAAAGTTACAGAACCCTTTGTCCGAGAGTCAATCTTTTTGGAGGTCTTGACTGCTTTATTCATAGTTATTGATAAATGGTAATTCCAGGGGGTTACAGCGGTACTAGATCGTTAAGATCTGCCAGCACATCCATGGTAGAAGCTAGCGTTATATTGGGTAAGATAATTTGGGTTTCTGGAACGGTTTATTTGATTTTAGAATAATTTTGAATCCAAAAATGCTTATTTGATTGTTTCAGCGATCTCTGAAGGCCGCGGAATGGCTCGCGGTGAAATTGGAATGGCTGCGATCGACTTACGTCACCCACATTTAGTTCTTTGCCAGTTCAGCGATACACTTCTGTATACGCATGCTTTAACGAAGATCAATTATTTTAATCCTATTGAGGTACCCTTCATCATAATTGGGAAAGGTGTTTCGTCTAAGTGACCGCGTTTATCTTACCTCCAAAAAAATACAACCACAATTATTGCTTTTCCTATTTTATTTTTTAGCTTATCTGGGCTACATAATACAAATGAATTATTAATTTTTTCGGTTATACCCATTTTTATACGTCACTGATTTCATAATCATTATTTTAGATTATTGTGCCACACACATTTTGCGAAGGAGTACAGCCAAGTCAGCTATACCAACTTATCAAAGACCAATATCCATTAGTGAACGTGACAGCAGTTCAAAGAAGACATTTCAATGACTCAAATGGGCGTCAACAAATTCAGTCCCTCTGTGCCCCTCAGTACAGCGCAGTTTATCTTCAAGTGCTTCAAAAGTATTTGCAATAACCTTTTAAATACCAAACACTTCTAAATAAAACACTTTAACGGTTTAAAACGCGATATATTAGTTAAACTTATTTGAAAATGATTTTCAACTTTGGCCCGACGTTTCGGATGCTTTGCAGCAGCCGTCACTAGGAGAGTCTCCCCGTGACCACGACTGTTAACTAATATATCGCGTTATAAACCGTTAAAGTGTTTTATTTAAATGTGTACTACTCGCGTAAACTATAGACAGTAACCAAACACTTCTTTTAGAAAAAGAAAAGGACCAATTATGTACCCCTGCATTACCCCTGATTACCCCACATTTAATTGATTGCATTGTAACCATGAATTTGATCTTTGCGCTTGATTGAAAAGATAGTCTAGTAATGCTATTTCTGATTTTTTTTCTTTTAATACCATAGTTCCAAACGATTATTTTGAAACGAATAGATAATCCTCTTAATATTAAAACCTTTAGACTGTTTGATGTATTTTTTAGATTCTATGCACTAACTGCTGCAGCAGCCGTACTCAAATATGTAGAATATATTCAATGCATAGTGTTTGCGAGAGAATCTTTGAAAATTGAGTATCATTCTTCTGAAGATACCATGATAATTGGTAATTCTCTTTTAAGATAATATTAAAGTACCTACTAAAATTTTCGATACGATTCTTCCCATACCTGAATGTTTATAGATGTCGGTACAGCAACTCAATTGGAGCTCGTTCAGCCTTTAGTCCCATCAGCTGGACCCACTTGTTGCTTACTTGGTGTCCTTGGTCCCACATATACTATAGGTGGTATACGAGCATTAAGAGCAGCTATACTACAACCGTCGTGTAAGAGAGAGTTTATTGAAGCAAGATTGGATGCAGTTGAGGAACTTATGGTCAATGATGGTGGAATGATGACGAGTTTACAAGTATAAAAATATGTTAAACTTATTATTATTTTTTGATACTAATAATCAATTTTGGAGTAAGATATTCATTCTGTGTGTATACATACATATATTTATTTTATTTCATTAAACATATTTCTGCATTATAAATGAGTGGTAGAACTAAATATGCCTGGTCACAAATTACCGGCCACACATAAAAGCCGTGAGGTTTTATCAGGGTACGGTTCAGTCTGTGGATTATATTATGGCTATGGTGAAATTCCCCTCACCTTCCAACAAGTAAACCAATGCTTGTTTATCCATTAAAAAAAGGCAATATAAAATGAGTTGCAACATTGACACGAAAAACATTAACTTTTTTGTACTGAGATACTTAATACGTTACATTAATCGTATATTTTGTAGGATATTATAAAGAAGTTGTCAGAAATCGATAAAATCCTACTGCTATGCATTGAAACTCAAAATCAACAAATGGATAAGTTCGGGGAAGCCCAACTTAATCAAACGCTTCTCTTAAAAACTACAATGGACGTGGTTCCCAACTTAGTAGATGCGCTGAAGTTAGCTGAAAGTGGTCGATTGAGGAAAATTAAGATGGTAAGCTCCCATAATTAATTTTAAAAAAATTGACTTAATAGGCGTTTAACATTGAGTTTGGTGAAGGTAGTTTAAGAGACAACATATTTTTTTGCGTTACGAATAAATTTTGATATAGGACTTTGAAAACCCCCACTACAAAGAAATATCAACGCGTATACGTGAAATATTATTAGACGATGCTCATCTCGAAAAGGGAGCGATGGGCAGCATGCAAAGATGCTTCGCGATAAAGCCAGATATAAATGGCCTATTAGATGTAGCTAGGCGAACTTATTCCGAACTTATTGATGACATACAAAAGATTGTTGAACAGTTGAGCGAGACTTATGACTTGCCAATAAGATTGAACCAGAACATTATGAAGGGTTTTCACATTGTACTACCCGTAGCTCCTAAGAATCGAAGAGATTTTAACGTATCTGACTTACCTTCGGTTTTTATACAGGTTAGTTTTTAAATAAAAACTTATAACGGTTTAAAACGCGATTTATATTACTTAACTTGTTTAATTTAACTATAACACGACGTTTCGGATGCTTTGCAACAGTCGTGGTCAAGAGAGGACTGAAGATAGATTTATCTAATATCAAAGTCAAAATGGTTAAGCTAGCGCGCGTATTAAACTGGCTGTATCCTTACAGAACTGACTCACGGTAACCTCTCGTTTACCGGTATGCGTGTGAATAAATTTCGCATTTTAAACCGTAAAGAGTGTTTTATTTCAATAACAGACTTACGTTACTTTCTTTTTCTCATTTATTGAAATTATTTTGGTAAGGTTTTAATACAGGTTACATGACTTATCGTATATTTTAAAGGTACAATTTAACGGCGCCAGTGTCACAATGACTACTGAGGAATTAGTAGTTATTGATCACCAAGCTAAAGAAGCTCTGAATGAAATACAGAAAATGAGTAACATGTAAAACTTTCTACGCCATTTTGTATTTGATAGTATTTAATTATTGTGTTATTTATAGTATAAATAATTTATATTTTAGTGTTATTTCTGCTTTATTAAAAGACTTACGACCGTACATGGCCAGTCTTTACAAGCTCTGTGAAAATGTTGCCGAATTGGATATCATAATCGCTTTGACACAGGTAATATATATTCATAATAATCTACGAGTATAAAAATTTCCTACAACACGAAATGTTAAGTTATTTACACATTTTTAACCGTTAAAAGTGTTTTAATTAATCGGTAAACATTTACATTTAGTATAAAATATTGTTTAATTTATTTTTATAGATAAGTACAGTTGGATCGTACATACGACCAGAATTCAGCGATTATATGGATATTAGAAATAGTGTTCATCCGCTCTTAGACTACAATAGCCAAGTGATGCCTGTCTCTAACGATATTGTTAGTATTCGAAATCATTTAAATTAATATAAGATTCTAAATTTGAAAATATATAAAACAGTGGAAATAAACAATTTTCGTAAAAAATCAAATCGTTATACCCTAAATAAGTGAAATGCTTGGAAATTCGGTATATCCGAATGTATATCCGAATATCCAAAGCCAAAATAAGTCGACAGCACATCTTGTATAGATGTTATACGGCTCGGGTATTTTACCTTCCATCAAGTGATGGTGCTTGTCAGTACGTCTCTGTCATAAGAAAAACTACCAATATAACTCTTAAGCAAGTATCTTAGTAATTTTAATGTCTCTTCCAGTTCGCAAGTCCCGAACACAATTTTACTATTATAACAGGGCCAAATATGGGTGGCAAAAGTATTTACATCAAGCAGATAGCTATAATGCAAGTCATGGCGCAAGTAAATTAAAATAACTTTTTATCTGTATCCTTCAAGATATGTTAGGTATTAATACTAAGTTTAAGGTCGGAATCATTTGGGTATGCCCAATATTTCATGATGCAGGAAAGCATGAGGTTGAAGACTGTCATGGATCTATTGTATAGAACCTGCGCATACGCATCATTAGTAAAAAAATAACAGGAGGTTTAACAGGATTCTATAAATGTTGTACTATCATAAATTATTACCTTTTTTTAATGCATTCAATATTTCTTTTTGACCGCCTCTGTAGCCAAATGGTTAAACGTATTGCCTAGCACTGCGTTAAGGGCGAGAGGTCCTGGGTTCCCAGGAAAACAAAAAATATTGTTTCGGCCGGGCAGGGCACAGAAGTTTGATCAACTACTAGCCTGTCAAAGAAAGGATTCAGTCAGTAAAACGGACACAAAAAGTGTGTTCGCCCCGTGCCCAACGGGGGGGAAACGGGATTTCACTTTTTTACAATATTTATTATGTTTTCATTAATAAATATATTTTCTACTTTGTCATTTCTGTATTTTTTCATTATTTTATTTATAATTCATATTAGTTTATAATAACAGCACAATTTATATTTACTAGTTGGGTTGTTATCTCCCAGCAACAAGTGGAATTTTGCGTATTTGCGATCGTCTTTTCTCCAGGATCGGATTTAACGACAGTGTTGAGTTAAACGCGTCTACATATGTTATTGAGGTAATGAAAACATAACAGATATAAATATATTAATATAAACCATATGAGTTTAATTAATACACTTACTTACGAAAATGGTTATGTAAGATTAATTAGATACAGATAAAATAAACTCCTAATCTAATAAACATGCATAATTCAATTAGAGATTGTCTTTATATATTAAATTAAACACTATAACGGTTTAAAACGCGATATAATATATTAGTTAAACTTATTTAAAAATTATTATAACTACGGCCCGACGTTGCGCATGCTTTTACGGTCACGGTGAGAGTTAAAATAATTCTCAAATAAGTTTAGCTAATATATATCGCGTTTTAAACCGTTGAAGTGTTTTATTTAAATGTTTACGAGTCGCGGAAACTAAAGACAGAATTTAGAGATTGTGTGCTTACAGATGAAGGAGATCCAACATATACTGAAGGGATTAACTCGAGCAAGTCTAGTTATTATAGACGAGTTGTGCAGGTCAGTAGTGACAGAGTTATATTTAAAATACTAAATAGTAACAAAGTTGAATAAATAAATATGATTTTTAGGGGTACATGTGTAGAAGAAGGAACTAGTATTGCTTGGGCTATATGCGAAGAACTAATACTAAGTGATGCGTTCACATTTTTCACAACACACTTCTTATACTTGACGAAATTGGAAGATCTGTATTACAACGTAGTGAAGTATGTATATAGAACTTAATAAATTTTAGTTCTTTAAAAAATTATGTTAACCTAACGGTAAATACCTAATTGATTGATTATTTTAGTCGCCATACTACAGTATCACAGGAGGAATATGGTACAGAAAACGCACTTAAAAGACTTATCTATACTCATAAAATTGAACTAGGAACGAATGCCATCGACCATTATGGCCTAGCTTTAGCTGCAAAGACTAGCCTTCCAGAAGAAACAGTAAATTTAGCTAAAGAACTAGCTGAATTCATTACAAGACAAAGAAAGGTATACTTAAATGATACTAATTTTGTATTATTTGAATTGCTTATCTACTATTAACGAATCTTTAAAATTGTAGCCAGAACGAAAGACGATACAAGAAAAAAGCAACGATCGTTTACTTTATGAATTCAACGCAAAATTAGCTCAAGATCGACGCCATAATCAAAACTCTACTGCAATACAAAAAACGGTAGATGCCTTCAAGGCCGACAATCCCCAGATTCTAGAATACATACGTCATGAAAAATCAAATTCTGGAATGAATAATATTAGTTCGATTACAAATCTACACACAACAGATACTTCTAAATATGCTGATAAAGTTTCTAAAAGTAATATTTTTGAGGAAACACGTAACGATTCAAGCTTTGTTATCAATAATAATCTCACCATTAATAACAGCATACATGAGATTAACGAAATTAAAAAATTTAAAGCAGTAAAATCATCGACAGAATTGCTCAATACCTGTTTTTCAAAAATGCCTCGTAATACTTTAAATGATAATCATTCTGTTATTGATATTGATAAGGAAGAAAACATACAAAACGACATAAGTGATATCGGGATTATAGCTGTCAATCGAGAACAAAAAATGTTAGAGAAAAGTGTATCTATATTAAATGATACAGAGCTTTCTGATAAAAAAATAACAAATTCGCCAAATGATGAATTAGAAATATGTCGTTCAAACACGGATGACAGCGACTCCGAATTGGCACAAGCGCTCACGCAAGTCATAACTGAAAATTCAGACTGCGAAAGTAGCGACATCTTATCTATCGATCGAGAACTAATGAGAGAAACTGTTCAAGAGATAAACGATTTTATTGATTTAGAACATAGTGTTCTAACACCACCTAATGGTTTTCGTGATGATGAGTAGTTAGTAAATAGTAACGAGATTGCTACCATAATAAAAATTCATATTTTGCATTTGTTCTTTTTTACTGTTAAATAAATAATATTATCCATTAATTTATTCAAAGTTTTAAAAAGCCACCGTACCAAGTCATAAAATTATTTTAATTTCATTCAGTTATTTTCTCTTTATGTTTACTCGTGTATAATTTCGTTGTTTATTTTTATGAAGTTAAATAGTAAATTCTATGTAAAATATTTCCAAGGTACACATACTGTATGCTTTTTCTAGGAACCGACTTCAAAAAAATAAATCAAAATCTATTTAACTAAAATAAAATACTTTCGTCTTACTTTTTGCAAAGTTAAATTTACTAAAAGACTTATTTAACTTACTTTGCCGAGTCGGCTATTGTTTATTAATACTTTTTCCTACTTACTATATAATCTAAGGGCGATAAATTTGTTCGTCATTAGTCGATTTCTTTATTCCCTTTTTTTATTTATTTTTTAATAATATAACGTAATACCATTGTTCCAATTTCAAATTCGTTAGAACATTACAGTTTACCTGTGGTAAAACTATAATACCTAATTTATGTCTATGCCCTCATGTCACATCACTAAGTGTACAAGCAAAATAAAATGCAAATGGCCGCGTTTGGCATTTTTCGTGTTGCGTTAGTGTATACATGTGAAATGTGAATGTAATAACTTTCATTTTTACCTAAATGTTATTAAAAGAAGTGATATAGTGACACGGCACACATTTGTAAGTTACTCAATTTCAACAATTAGACTTATATTAATTTTTGGGTTATAAACCGCTTAGTTGTTACATGTGTTTTTGGTTTTTGTTAGAAAGGTAGCCATGTCGCTGCCGCCTTATCTATTGGGGCCCAACCCCTGGGCCACAATGATGGCGCAGCAGCAACTTGCAGCAGTACAGCAAGCTGCCTTGCAGGCTCATGCCGCTGCCGCTGCAGCCGCGCCGCCGATTCCTCCGGCGCAGCCACCCAAGCCTCACCATATTCCCGAGGAAAAGATTAAGGAAAAAGGTAAATTACCTCTTATTTTCTATATGCAACTATGTAAGATCCAGTTAAAGATGGTCGGTTGTGAACCGGAAGTTGTTAAAGTATTATATATAAAATATTTAAAAGCCATTGAGTCTTTTAATATAAACATTACGTGTTCCTTCATTATTACAATGCTATCTTATTACGAACAAAGTTTGTACTTTAATTTATATCCCCTTGGTCATTGATTCAACAAGTAAAGTGTTTTGTACTGTAGTCATGTCCATTTGGGGAAAATTATCAGCAATGGATATGATTTTTCATTTCAGTATCAGTGGAAAATGCTGTTGTTGCTTACATACTTATTTAATAATTAGGTAAATGTTAAATTGACTTTTTCTAATTTTATTTAATCCTTCTTTTATAATTAAACAGCATCAAAATGGCTTCAACTTCAGTCAAAGCGGTTTGCGGAAAAGCGCAAATTCGGCTTTGTGGATGCTCAAAAAGAGGACATGCCACCAGAACATATTCGCAAAATTATTCGGGACCATGGTGACATGACTAGTCGTAAATACCGACATGATAAGAGAGTCTACCTGGGAGCTCTGAAATACATGCCCCATGCTGTCATGAAACTTTTAGAAAACATGCCTATGCCCTGGGAGCAGATTCGTGATGTTAAAGTCCTGTACCATATTACCGGCGCCATTACGTTCGTCAATGAAATCCCATGGGTTATAGAACCAGTGTATATCGCGCAATGGGGTACTATGTGGATTATGATGCGACGAGAAAAACGAGATCGTCGCCACTTCAAAAGAATGAGGTTCCCACCATTTGATGATGAAGAACCGCCCTTAGATTATGCTGATAACATCTTAGATGTGGAACCTCTAGAACCTATTCAGATAGAATTAGATCCAGAAGAAGATGGCGCTGTTGCGTCCTGGTTCTATGATCACAAGCCGTTACTTGGCACAATACATGTCAATGGATCAACATACAGAAAATGGAACTTGTCACTGCCGCAAATGGCAACACTGTATCGTCTTGCTAACCAGCTGTTGACAGATTTGGTTGACGACAATTACTTTTATCTCTTCGATTCTAAGAGTTTTTTCACTGCAAAGGCTCTGAATATGGCAATACCTGGAGGACCAAAATTTGAACCTTTGGTTAAGGATAATTCAGCTGGAGATGAGGACTGGAATGAGTTTAATGACATAAACAAAATAATAATTAGGCAGCCAATAAGAACTGAATACAGAATTGCTTTTCCATACCTGTATAACAATCTGCCTCATTTTGTTCAACTTTCATGGTAAGTTACTTGCAATTTATTAAATAAGTATGATGTAGTTGGCACTTTCATGCTTCTAAAACAAGTAATCTGTATTACAACTTTTTTACATACAAATTTTTTAGGTATCCTAAACTGTTTTTGGAGTGTATGCAAAGAAAATTCTCAAAGAGAAATCATTGTACCTATTTTTTTCTCGATTTGATTATAGCCTAAAGCCTTAAGCACAGCCAGCACAAAGCATTTTTTCTATTCAACACAGTAGTTTTTGAGATTAGCATGTTCAATGTTCGGTTTTATAATATTACTATATTTAAAGATTAATTCTCTTAAGTAAACGGAGGTTATGTTTCAATGTGATGTTTCAATAACAATTTTTTCAGGTACCACACTCCAAATGTAGTGTACATCAAAACTGAAGATCCCGATTTACCAGCATTCTACTTTGATCCCCTTATAAATCCTATCTCACACAGACATTCTGTGAAATCATTAGACCCTGTTCCTGAAGAAGAAGACTTTGTGTTGCCAGAAGAAGTAACGCCTTTCTTGCAAGAAACTGCTCTGTATACAGACAATACTGCTAATGGTATAGCTTTGTTATGGGCTCCACGACCATTCAGCATGAGATCTGGTAAGTGACGAAGTTTTGCTAATTATAATAACATTACATTTTTACTACTTAGTTATATTATTCTTGATAATATAATTTTTATATATGTGTGTATTGACTTTAACTAGTCTGGTCATCCGCGTGACCAACTCTGTCTTCATTGGCTGTAAATAAAAGTTATCAATGATGTGATCGCCCCATGCCCCACAGAGGAACAGAATTCTTTACTTGTCACATTCTCATCTAACACTTGTTCTTATAATAAATAAATCTAAAGTTTTTTAAAGAATTTTAAATCTTGTTTTTAATACTGTGGGATATGAGGCAGATATGTTTCTGTCTGTCTATCTGGTTTTATTTAAGTAAGGACTGTTACCGGGTACAATAATCTTTAAAATGTTGCAATTAGGTCGTTGTCGCCGCGCCATCGACGTGCCCTTGGTGAAGACGTGGTACAAGGAACACTGCCCTCCCGGTCAGCCTGTCAAAGTGCGCGTGTCGTATCAGAAACTGCTCAAATACTATGTTCTGAATGCGCTGAAGCACCGTCCTCCGAAGCCACAGAAAAAGAGGTAAGAACATGTATATATCGAATGTATACACTTCGATTAAAATAAAGTACAGCATTAAAATAAAACACTTTACCGGTTTAAAACGCGCTTTGTAGCAGCCGTAGTCACGGGGAGGCTATGTGGTTTAACACTTTTTTTAGTTTAATTGTACTTTTCACAGGTATTTGTTCCGTTCATTCAAATCGACCAAATTCTTCCAAACCACAACTTTGGACTGGGTTGAAGCTGGTCTGCAAGTCTGCCGACAAGGTTACAATATGCTGAACCTGCTCATCCATAGAAAGAATCTGAATTATCTCCATTTGGATTATAACTTCAATTTGAAGCCTGTGAAAACTTTGACCACGAAGGAGAGAAAGAAATCTCGCTTTGGAAATGGTGAGTATTTTTAAATTATATTATATCTATTTATATATTTTAAATTGTTAATGACTAGTAAAATGGCAACAAACCGTTGTCTATCTATTTGTGTATGTTACCTACAATTCATGCACGTTTATGGAATATGTCAGTAATGTTAAATTTCATAATAATTATGTTTTAAGTAAAGCAATTTTAAAAAAGTCTAATGAACTTATGATTAAGTTTAACATAATAACAAGTTTAATATTGTATATTAGTTAAGTATATTATGTGTACAAAATAATAAAAATAAAAAACATTTCCAGGTGCGATACCTAGAAATGTTTCATATAGTATTTTTTATATAAACCATATATCATATTTCCTTCCATAATATAGTGACCACCTCTATAGCTAAATTGGTAAAAGTGTTGAGATTTCCTGCTTTCGAATCACGGGGAAACAGTAAATTGTTTCGGTGCGGCAGGGTACAAAAGTCTGATACTACAAACTACATGCCTGTAAATAAAAACTCCTTAGTGGAACAGACACAGAAATGTGTTTGCCCCCATGCCCCACGAGGGGAAACTGGATTTCACATATAATTCCTTCAACAATAATGTATTACCTTTCACAGCATTCCATTTGTGTCGTGAGATCCTTCGTCTAACGAAACTCATAGTGGACTCACACGTTCAATACCGTCTCAACAATGTGGACTCGTTCCAATTGGCCGACGGTCTCCAGTACATCTTCGCTCATGTGGGCCAGCTAACAGGAATGTACAGATACAAGTACAAGCTAATGAGGCAGATCCGAATGTGCAAGGATTTGAAGCATCTCATATACTATCGGTTTAATACTGTAAGTTTTATCTTTTAGTATGTGTAGTACACATCAACTAAGCATTTCCTCATCGGTGTAAAACTTTAATACCCTCCACTTCTTTCATTGTAATGGTCTTTTGTCCAAGAACACACGTATGAAGCATCAAACCGTCAAATCATAGTTAAAATAATACTACTATTTAAATAAAACGCTTTAACGGTTTAAAACGCGATATATTAGTTAAACTTATTTAACTTCGGTCCGACGTCTCCCCGTGACGACGGCTGCTGCAAAGCATCCGAAACGACGGGCTGAACTATAAATCATTTTGAAATAAGTTTAACTAATATATCGCGTTTTAAACCGTTAAAGTGTTTTATTTAAATGTGTATTACTCGCGTCATGTAAGTAAGTATTCCTCGCGTAAACTATAAACACTATCATACTACTATATTTTGCGTTTTGAACCGTTATATATTTTTTTTATTAAGTAAATACTAATTGCAATACCAAACTATGTCGACTAACTTAGTTGCGAATGCCTAAAAAAGACATGGATTACAGATGTGTCTCTAAGAGCCTTCGCAGCTTTCATGTTGTAATTAATATTTATCCTCCAGGGTCCGGTATCAAAGGGTCCAGGTTGTGGATTCTGGGCACCAGGCTGGCGGGTCTGGCTGTTCTTTATGAGGGGTATCACCCCATTGCTGGAAAGGTGGCTCGGAAACTTGCTGTCCAGACAATTCGAAGGGCGTCACTCAAAGGGTATTAATTCATTGACGCTGTATATATCTTTAACTAGTTGAGCCTGCGACTTCGAACGCGTGGCATAGTTTTTTTAGGCTTAAAAATGTATTTTACGGCAACAACAAGCTTTTAAAATTATGGCTATTGCCCACGAAGACGACGACGTTTTTAAAAGGATCATTATTTCATACATATTTTTTTATTTTCTGAACCTGAAGTTTTTGCAGCATATGCAACAGAAGCCCTCAAAGACGATGTTCCTGAATTTTCTCAGTTTTATTCAGATATATCTGTTTTTTTGCTCGCAGTTTTCTAGTTAACGGTCCAACAAAAAAAAAATTCAAACAAACTCATCAGCTTTATAATAAAAAAAATATTTTCGACTTCATTAAATAACAATTATAATACCAGGTGTTGCCAAGACGGTGACGAAACAGCGTGTTGAGTCACACTTCGACCTGGAACTGCGTGCGTCCGTGATGCACGACATTGTGGACATGATGCCCGAAGGTATCAAGCAGAACAAGGCCAGGACTATCCTGCAGCATCTCTCCGAAGCTTGGCGATGCTGGAAGGCGAATATACCTTGGAAGGTTTGTAGCCACAACCTCATTTAATCACTTCTATGCACTAAGAACTGACTATAACATAATACAGTAATATACCCATTATATAGATCTGAAGAAGTTATATTCATAATTATGGTTTATCGAGGTATGCTTATCGACTACTGGGTGTGTAAGTGCCAAAGTATTCCTTTTCCATACATTAAAATTTAAAACATTCAACTTATGAACGTTTTCTTTGTACATTTGTGTCTATGTGAATGTATTCTTGTAAAAAAGTGCCTTACACATTAAGAAAAGTAGTATTTAATATGGTAAACGTATTTTGTAGATATCTTTTGCCATAATTCAGCTTTTTAAGTATGTATGTGTCAAATCTCTCTAGATTTAGCTAGCTCTCTAGCTAATGCATACTATTGTAAATCTAAAATATTTTCCAGAAGTTATTAGCATTGGTTTGAGCAGTAGCATGGAACGCTGTGGATGCTGGTTCAAGTCTTGCCTTTTGATTTTTTTTAATACATATTATATTTACATAGGTGCCAGGTCTCCCCACGCCCATAGAGAACATGATCCTCCGTTACGTCAAGATGAAAGCGGATTGGTGGACTAATACTGCCCACTACAATCGCGAGAGGATACGTCGTGGTGCCACTGTCGACAAGACGGTTTGTAAGAAGAATCTGGGAAGACTCACCAGGCTCTATCTCAAGGCAGAACAGGAGAGACAGCATAACTATTTGAAGGTATAGTTCCCTTAAGTAATTTAATAGTGACCAGAGTCATGAACCTAAAAAGCACCTCCTCCACCATGAAGAATAAGAACTACGATAAAAGAATTTTTGCATAGGCACCTTGCATTAAATAATTTCATATAAGAAGTACAGAGTAAAAATAAATTTTAACATCACATAACATTTTTTTATTGCTCAGTCCACAGTTGTTCCAATAAACTAAAATATCTATATAACTCAATAATAATATTCTTTACAGGATGGTCCCTATATTTCTCCCGAAGAAGCTGTAGCCATCTACACTACAACAGTTCACTGGCTGGAATCCCGGCGCTTCGCCCCGATCCCCTTCCCGCCACTCTCCTACAAACACGACACGAAGCTTCTGATCTTGGCGTTAGAACGGCTAAAGGAAGCCTACAGCGTCAAGTCCAGGCTGAACCAGAGTCAAAGGGAGGAGTTGGGTCTGATTGAACAGGCATATGATAATCCTCACGAAGCGCTATCGAGAATCAAACGTCATTTGCTTACTCAGAGGACCTTTAGAGAGGTTAATACAATGCTAATACAATTTTCATAGAACAATATAAAATTAAGATAGTCTTTTTTGGGCTTGGTAAGCCTAATAAAAAGATGATTCATATTCAATATATGATGTGTACAAATTTTGGATTGGATGTCTGCCTTTGAATGTTTTTCAAATATCTACTGTTAATATAGTATATTATCATTTTAAAACGAAAAAAAAAAACTGCAAATCATTTCTTCATGTAAATGCAGAAGGAGAGAACCTTTAGAAAACTTTGTTAAATAGTAGTAAGATTAAATAGATAGAAAACTAATGACGATTTAAAACGTAGAATATTTGGCGAGAAACCGTTAACTACCGTTAAATTTAATTTTGACCATCACGTATAGGTGCCGGCACGGATGATTAGCGCTGAACGAAGTGTAGAAGGGATAGTTGCGCAATCTGTATCAATCGCGCACGTAATTGATTGAAAAACGTGACTACTCTGATAAGCAAGCGGAGCGTCGTATTGGTTCGAGAACGACCGCCGCTTTCGTCCCTTCGATACCTTATTATTGACTTCAGCGCAGGATTCGTTCAGCGCTAAAGATCCGTGCCGCTTCTTTTAAACTACAAACAATACATAATGTTGTAAAATTTCTGATTGATAATTATTACGCTATAAACAGGTCGGTATAGAGTTCATGGACCTTTACTCGCACCTAGTGCCAGTTTACGACGTGGAACCTTTGGAGAAAATAACCGATGCCTATCTCGACCAGTACCTCTGGTATGAAGCGGATAAGCGTAGACTTCTTCCGCCCTGGGTCAAACCGGCTGATACCGAACCTTCGCCGCTACTCGTGTATAAGTGGTGCCAAGGTAACTAAATATATTATATACACAATTAGAATACAAACAATTTTGATGCCATGGTGACAAGCTACCGAGGCTCGCCGAGCTCCTCATCTTGGAGCCCAGAGAAATAATAATAATAAATTCTGATGATGGAGCAGGGCACAGAAGTCTGAATTAATATCTTCAGAAGACAAAAATCTGATTGTTCCATGTCCCACAAAGATAACATGATTTTACATTAAAATAAACAACATTTTTATTACAAGGAATAATTTATATTCAAAAATGTGCAGAGTTCCAAATCATGTTTAAAGCTTTTCAAGTTTTATAGTAAATTATCCCTGCTATAGATTCTAAAATTTACACCTATTTTTTTGGATCAAATTAAATAAAAAGGATTTGATGTGTTTAGTTTATCGTATTAATTTTTAACAGTAACAATTTGCCCTTTGGCTTTATCATCTTTAAAATTGTCTTCCTTTGTTTCTATAGCCATCTCTAAAGTGTAATAATCCCTGTAATGAATTTAGTCCATTTTTCCATAGCATGAGTCCCGTCAAGTAAATAGACCTATAACAAATTACATAATTTTGGAGGGCCTGCTTATAAAATTTTTCCTATTGTTCGAATGAAGTGATGAATCGCGTAGGGGTCCTGAAACCGGAGAGGCCCTGTGCTCTGGGGGTGAGTGTCGGTCTACGGTCATGCTGATCGCGTAGATTCGTAGCCGCTCTCATCTGAGAATACGCTACCTGATCATTCGACAATTACGAAAAAAATAACCAAAACTTTTTTATCCACGACGTGTTATGTACGTTTTTGAAGTTGTATTAGGTGTTAGTATTTACCCAAAGTTATCATTGCCTATTATACTTAAATAATAAAATTAGTAGAAGATTAGAATAGAGTAGAAGTTTGCATACAGAAGAAAGAAGAAATGCGATCGCCCATTGTGTGCGTTGTGGCAAAGGAGATTTGTGTGGTATTGTCATCCCCTTGTTACAAACCTCACTTTGGTCGATTGCTATTTTTACAGCAGCTACGGCTTAGACATATTAATAGAGAAAACCTTTTCATAGATTTAAGTTTAGTGATTATTCATTATTTTTGTCACTTTAAGTTCCGAAATGACGACGAAAATAGTCACAATTTTTTATATAATAAAATACCAACTTCATGTCTATAATATATAATATCCAATATCCAGGTATCAACAACCTACAAGACGTGTGGGAGGTCGGTGAGGGAGAATGCAACGTGCTGTTGGAGTCGCGCTTCGAAAAGCTCTACGAGAAGATAGATTTGACCCTCCTGAACAGATTGCTGCGTCTTATCGTCGACCATAACATAGCTGATTACATGACAGCGAAGAACAACGTCGTCATTAATTATAAGGTATATATAATTTTCGACACATCCAATTTTGTATGAGGGTAGATCTAAAAAAAAATTTTGGGGGTAGAATTGAATTTTTATGATTTAAGTTAATTTTTTTGTTTTTTTATGGCGTTATTTACATTTGCCGAAATATATATTTATTATCTCTTATGGACAGTTATCTTGATTTTTTTAACCATTGTTTGTAACTTGAACTGGTCTTTCAAATCATGTCGAATGAAGTGATGAATCGCGTAGGGGTCCTGAAACCAGAGAGTCCCTGTGCTCTGGGGGTGAGTGTCGGTCTACGGTCATGCTGATCGCGTAGATTTGTAGCCGCTCTCGTCTGAGAATACGCTGTCTGATCTTTTGACATAATATAATAGTACTCTTGATAACTAAATAGTCTAGTATTTTAATTTACGATAACAGTAACCAGAAGAATAGCAATACTCAGAAATTAGATATTTGAAAGCAAACAAACATACAAAAAACAAGAGACGATGTGCTTTAAAGGAAAGGATATATATCCCCAAAAACCTCAATTTCCAGGACATGAACCACACAAACTCGTACGGGATAATACGCGGTCTCCAATTCGCGTCCTTCATAGTGCAGTACTATGGTCTAGTGCTGGATCTGCTGGTGCTTGGTCTGCAGAGGGCCAGCGAAATGGCCGGGCCACCACAGCTGCCGAACGACTTCTTGGCTTATCAGGACAGACCTGTGGAGACTGCGCACCCTATACGACTCTATTGCAGATATGTTGACAGGATTCATATATTCTTTAGGTATTTATAATTATTTCTCCCTAAGTTCAGCTACATTTTTAAAAATGTGTGAAACATTTTCAAGAATAGAAATGAAAACTTCCTTATTGATGGTTTTTTCACATTAGGACGAATTTTTCTGAAAAGAAATACATAATGTTAAAAATACCAAATGGAAATCAAAAAGTTTTATAAGATTTAGAGATTCAGACTTGGCTAAATGCTGCACGAAGCTCTTACAACGCTATTTTTCAGTCTTGGAAATAATCGTTTTTGTTGAAGGCTTCATTTATGCCGGCACTACCAGACTAGAACCTCTAATTATTTATTATAAATTTGATTAATTTAGAATCCTGTTTTTTCGTTACTATTTAAAGTAGCGTAGAGCCATCAACTAACAAATAAGTGTTAAACAATTGAAGTGTGAAGTATTCATTGGATGTACTTCCTTCGCAGGTTCTCAGCGGAAGAGGCGCGTGACTTAATCCAAAGGTATCTGACGGAACATCCCGATCCCAACAACGAGAATATAGTCGGGTACAACAACAAGAAATGCTGGCCGCGGGACGCCAGGATGCGGCTTATGAAGCACGACGTCAATTTGTAAGTATTTATCAAAATATATAGAAATCCTATACAACATAACTCATCTACAACATTATGAAGTTATAATAGGTTGTGTTTCCCCAGGCAAGCAGATCATATATTTTTCTACATAATATAATTATATGACCAACATTTTAGGGGTCGAGCGGTCTTTTGGGACATAAAGAATCGTCTACCGCGTTCAGTGACCACCATTCAATGGGAGAACAGCTTCGTCTCCGTCTACTCTAAGGACAATCCCAATCTGCTATTCAATATGGCCGGCTTTGAATGTCGGATATTGCCAAAGGTAACTTAATTCATTTATTTCTATGTATTTTAAAAAGTACAAGCTGTTAAATGGTAGCAATGTTTAATAATCTGATGGTCCGATGCTCGGGTCCAACATATTTCTGAGGAATTTATACATTTTCTGAAACATGTAAGACTTCGTCTGGAAACCCGGATATTAAATCGGGGTAGGAATATCGAAATTCAGTCCGGGTCACAAACCACTGTCCACCGATGGAAGAACTTCACTGGAACTGTAATTTCGTTTTTCAGTTATAGACTTCCAAATATCCAAAGGTAAAATAGGTTGACAGTGCATCTTGTAGAATTACCCAATCCTTATGCTCGTCTATTCTCCTTTATAAAAAAGTATACTACATTTATATACTTTACAGTGCCGTAGTCAAAACGAAGAACTATCACATCGCGATGGTGTATGGAACTTACAAAACGAAGTGACCAAGGAGCGGACGGCTCAGTGCTATCTCCGGGTAGACGACGAATCATTGGCAAGATTCCACAATAGAGTGCGACAGATCCTCATGGCATCCGGTTCCACTACGTTCACCAAGATCGTCAACAAGTGGAACACGGCCCTTATTGGTATGTTATATGTTAGAAGTTAGTGTAATGTGCATAAGGAAGTTGTAGCTGACAATGATGGTTTAAACCACTTTTTATTCTACTATTTTAAAAAACAATCGACTTTAGATTTCAATTTAAACTTGGAGAGCTGCTCTGTTTAAGAAGAAACTATGACTCATTTTTATCGCCAGTACTTGCGAAGGGGGAATAGGGAAATATCATTAGTTAGTGAAGACTGCTATCAGTTTGACCGAGTGTGCTTTCAATATAAAATAGTAATAATGTTACTGAGTTCTTAACGTCGACTATTTTTATTAACATGAGGGGTAACGGATTTCACCTTTAAATATTGTTTCTAGGTCTAATGACGTACTTCCGTGAAGCCGTAGTAAACACACAAGAGCTCCTAGACCTACTTGTTAAGTGTGAGAACAAAATCCAGACGCGTATCAAGATCGGTCTTAACTCCAAAATGCCTTCCCGTTTCCCACCCGTTGTTTTCTATACGCCCAAGGAGTTGGGAGGTTTGGGAATGTTGTCTATGGGTCACGTTTTGATTCCACAGGTAAATATATTTTTTAATACTTTGACTGTCTACCTGTTATTAAAATAAAATAAAAAAATCAGCTTTTCTTTGTCGATTTTTGGTGTGTAAATTCCTAAGTGCAAATTGAAAACAGCAAGTGATAATTTATCTTATTTTAAATACGGCCCTACTTTCTCACCGTGACCACGACTACTGCAAAGCAGCTGAAACCTCGGGCCGTAGTTAAAATAATTTGTAAGTAAAGTTAACACATATTGCGTTATTAAATATTTTAATCAGATGCACCCAGCATTCTGAAAATGTTTCGTTATTTTAAAACTAACAAATCGAATTAAATATATTTATTTTCCTTACAGTCCGATTTACGTTGGTCCAAACAAACAGACGTCGGTATCACTCACTTCCGTTCCGGTATGTCGCACGACGAAGACCAACTGATCCCCAATCTGTACCGGTACATTCAGCCGTGGGAGGCCGAATTTGTCGACTCCCAGCGAGTCTGGGCTGAGTATGCCCTCAAGAGACAAGAAGCGAACGCTCAGAATAGGTAAACTAGATGATTGTCTTTAATATAGACGAGGATAGACAGGCGTGAGGGTCACTTGATTGTAGATTAAATACCATATAACATGTAAACAAGACGTTCTGTTGACCTATTGTGACTTTGGATATTTACGCTTTACAAAATATTTTTAGCTAACGTATATTGGCCGTGGTCACGGGGGGCGGCTGAGTCCAAAGCATCGGGCTGTAGCTAAATTTAGAATAAACTTAACGGAAATAAAATAAAAATAATGACTTAATGTTATTTTTGCAGGCGTCTTACGCTTGAGGATTTAGAAGATTCATGGGATAGAGGCATTCCGAGAATCAACACCCTCTTCCAGAAAGATAGGCATACACTTGCGTATGACAAGGGATGGCGTATACGAACAGAGTTCAAACAATACCAGGTAAAATGAACTATACAAGCTATATATAAAGCATATTTTTTTTTACAATACATTAGTATGTGTTATATTTCGATTTTAAGAATAATACATAAATAAAAACGCAAGTAGAATGATGTTTATTGTAATAGTAGTAAAAGATTTGAAATACTATGACAGAGGAATATAACTTACTAATAATTTACTGGTTAATAATTAGGCATACATAATAATTTGATAAATCATATGTTTTTAACAATAACTGTTCTTTCTATCAGGTGTTGAAGCAGAATCCGTTCTGGTGGACACATCAGCGCCACGACGGTAAACTATGGAACTTGAACAACTATAGGACAGATATGATCCAAGCGCTCGGTGGTGTCGAGGGTATATTGGAGCACACTCTCTTCAAGGGTACTTACTTCCCGACTTGGGAGGGTTTGTTCTGGTACGTAACCTCTGTTTTCGATCACGTTCCTTCGTAACACCATTTTATAGAAATTTTTATTTAGTCCGTCACATTTTTTATATTGTTTTTTATTGTATATTTGCGCCTTTATTTGATTTTTTAAAGTTTTGAAGTGTTAACTGCCAAATAAGAATAAGCAATAAGAATCACACAATGTATAATGATCTACAATATAATATTATTATATCATTTTAGGGAAAAGGCATCCGGTTTCGAAGAGTCGATGAAGTACAAGAAGTTGACCAACGCCCAGCGTTCCGGTTTGAACCAGATTCCTAATCGTCGTTTCACACTTTGGTGGTCGCCGACAATCAACAGGGCCAATGTATACGTCGGTTTTCAGGTGTGTATCATGGATAAAATAGGAAGTTATTGTGGTATAAAACAACTCATAATAATTAATCATACTCTATAAAAAAGTAAAATCCCGTTTCGAAGGTGTTTGTGTTTGTTTCACTGATCGCTTTTCTATACTGGCAAGTAATTGATAAGACTTCTGTGCTCTATCCGACCGAAATTCATCTTAACGCAGTTATATTAAGCAACCCGTTTAACCATTTCTTTAGACGGTGTTTTAACATGCTAAAACAATGCCGAAATTTTAGAATAACCCCCGCATTGCATTTGATGTGCAAAAATGTATGTGATAACTAATATCAATAATTTAAAAATCTTTAAAGCTAGCTCCGATTGAGATTGGTATTATTGTTTAAATGTATGCTATAATAAATTTTACGCTTCTCTAGGTACAACTGGATCTGACTGGTATATTCATGCACGGAAAAATCCCCACACTCAAGATCTCGCTCATCCAGATATTCCGTGCTCACTTGTGGCAGAAGGTCCACGAGTCTATTGTCATGGACTTGTGTCAAGTAAGTATTAAAATGTCCAAAGCTAAAATAGGGCGACAGCGCATATAGATAGATGTTATAAGGCTGTGGGATAACCGTTACACCTAACATCAAGTGGTACCCGATCTGAAACTTGGCGATAAAAGGGAGTGGCGACGAGTTTCTTGCCAGTACTTCTCGTTCCTTTAAACTTTGTTATAAAAAAAAAATGAAATGAGTATGTTCTGACTTAAGTTTTTGCTACTAGCTGCAAAATAGACATTTTAACATTATATTGGTAACACATTATTTGTCCTAATATAGGTGTTCGACCAAGAGTTAGATGCGCTGGAAATTGAAACGGTGCAAAAGGAGACCATTCATCCGAGGAAGTCTTACAAGATGAACTCTTCTTGCGCCGATATCCTTCTCTTCTCTGCTTACAAGTGGAACGTTTCAAGACCTTCTCTTCTCGCCGATACCAAGTATGTATAATCAAAAGTTATCGTTTTTAATCAAAGATTATCTTTGTCAAAAATTCACCCTTATCTTAAGAATAGATACATTATAATTATTATTATTATTAGTCTTGTTATTGTTTATTGTATTTATTTAATTAGCACGGTACTGTAATCGATTACAACAATTAATTATGTTTATACACAAAAACAGGAAAGGACGTTAACGAGAATTATAAAATTTAAAACATATATTCATAAAGCAATTACAATTATGATAAAAAATGTATGTATGAAAGGAATGCATGCGGTTTTTAGGTACGTTCTTAGTTATAAGTTAGTCCTAGGGTAAATGTCAGTAGCTATATATATATATTATTTAATTAAGTAGCCTATTGTGATATAACTTCAATAAAAATATAGAATGTGCTGAATGAAATGTAAGAACGAGCGAGAGGATATGTGTGAAAGGGACGGAGCGAGAGAGAGATAGCGAGTTAAGACTATTGTTTTAAGAGAAAGGCGAAATTAAACAAAGTAATCAATATTTTATTTCGGTAAAATATCTGCAGCAATTTAAAATACTTGTTTACTCAAACCCAAAAAAAATAATTAACTATTAATATGTATACTGCCCGTCAAACGAAGCTTTGACGACTTAGCTTTGTTGGTAATCAGTTCCATGTTTGCCTTCACTATAATATTCTACTTTGAATTTCAGAGACACAATGGACAACACAACGACGCAGAAGTACTGGCTGGACATACAACTGCGTTGGGGTGATTACGACTCGCACGACATTGAGCGATACGCGCGTGCCAAATTCCTCGACTACACCACCGACAACATGTCCATTTACCCTTCGCCCACTGGTCTGCTTATCGCCATCGACTTGGCTTACAATCTGCACAGGTATATAACATTCTTCAATATTTACCCATAAGATAGTCTTTTCTATCCACAATCATGATAAGAATATTAAATCTAACTACAGACAAGGTTTGAATAGTAAAAATCATTCTGTAATTATATTATGTTACCAAAAGATGTCGGCTTCTATTTAATTTTTTTACACTAGCCTTATGTAAATCACGCCACGGATAGGATTTGAATCGGCATCCACAGCGTTTGTGCTGCTGTCCTATATCTATTTTTTCAATCCAAATAGATATATATTGCCATTAAGTGAAAAATATTAAAGTTTTCAAAAATACTTTAATATCTAAAGGCCATTTGGTTAAGTCGCTCTGTCCATGTATGAAGGTGATAATTTTTTCACAGTGCCTACGGCAATTGGTTCCCTGGTTGCAAACCCCTCATCCAACAAGCCATGGCCAAGATAATGAAGGCGAACCCCGCTCTGTACGTGTTGAGGGAGAGAATACGTAAAGCGCTTCAATTGTACTCTTCGGAACCAACTGAGCCTTACCTCTCCAGTCAAAACTATGGAGAGTTGTTCTCCAATCAGATTATTTGGTTAGTTCATTATTATATAACAATCTAGCAGTATATACTGCTATTATCATATTTAAATAGATGTATATATGGTATAATTCTGCCTTAGATAAAATATTAGTAAAATGGTGGTAGCAAAGTCTCATGGAAGCATTTTTGCTTAAATGATATATGGCCTCTCATTAATCGAACTTTAAGCTGTATAATATTTCATTCAAAATTTTGTCACTTATCAGGTTCGTAGATGACACCAACGTATACAGAGTAACGATCCACAAGACCTTTGAAGGAAACTTAACAACGAAACCGATTAACGGAGCCATCTTCATCTTCAACCCTCGAACCGGACAGCTCTTCCTCAAGATCATTCACACCAGCGTCTGGGCGGGACAGAAGCGTCTTGGACAAGTATGATATGTTTTATTAGACTGACTGACTTTATTTTCAAACTGAAACGAGTAACCTATGAGTGCTTAGCGTATACTAGATTCAATTAAAATTTAAACTAATAATTATATTATTTCGTTTGTCCCTTTAGCTCGCCAAATGGAAGACGGCTGAAGAAGTAGCTGCCTTGATTCGTTCTCTTCCAGTGGAAGAACAACCGAAACAAATTATTGTCACCCGTAAGGGAATGTTGGATCCCCTTGAGGTATGTAATTATTATTTGTTTGGAAATACAATTATTTTAACGGTTTAAAACACAAATCTATTAGTTTGTTTTAAGCCGTCAAAAGAGTTTTATTTAAATGTACTACTCGCGTAAACTACAGACAATACTTCATTTGTTTAATATGTTAATTATTGTAAATTACTTGTTATCTTTAATACCCCAAAGGTTTTGCTGAATAGAAAAAAAATCTACAGTCTAATTTTTGAGACATTGTTTTTTACACCGTTATGATAACACATGTTATTTTCAAAAAGTACTGACCGCTTCTATAATTTTAATTTATTTTTTGTAGGCCATAGAACCAATTTGTGCACGGTATGTCCAGGGAACTTAAATATTTGTATTATAAAATATATATAAATTTGAATTAATAAGTCCATAACACCACGTCTCATATTAAACGCTGAGGCTAGCTGCCTCAACTGTATTTCAAGGCATTACATGCATATGTTATAAGGAGTATTGAAAAAGAATCTAGTTACTCAAAAATGTCTATTTTAGGTAAACTGTTTAATTTAGAAACGTGGTCTGCATTGGTTAGAAATTTAACGCCTATATTTTTACGCCATCCTCCAGGTGCACTTGCTAGATTTCCCCAACATCGTGATTAAGGGTTCAGAACTCCAGCTGCCCTTCCAGGCCTGTCTCAAGGTGGAGAAGTTTGGTGACCTCATCCTGAAAGCCACGGAACCGCAGATGGTGCTCTTCAACTTGTACGATGATTGGTTGAAAACTATTTCATCATATACTGTAAGTTATTAATTGTATTTCTTGCTACTTTGGACGTAAATACTGGTAATGTAGGTATCCAAATGTAGGTAGCTTGTATTAAAACTAGTACATGCATTTCTTAGTGACCCAAATATGGCAACTATTAATACAAATTATTAGTTTTTAACGGGCTCATGTGGGTAATGGTCAATGTACACCTGATAATCGATGGGTCGTGGATTCGATGTAGGGGTACCTCGATGTTCTAACATGTTTGTAATAAATGTATGATTTTTCTGAAACATACTGAACTTTGTCTGGTTAATAAATGGGTGTTAGGAATAAAATAAGATTAACTTTGTTAAATTTATAGTTGAAAATTCAAATTAAATGTATTAAGGTCTGGTCTTATCTGAAACAGACAAACAATAGGTATATAAAATATATAAAACAAACATTGTACCTTCTCCATTATAAAGTTACCTATAATATATGTCAATGACGTTTTAGGCTTTCAGTCGACTGATTCTGATCTTGCGAGCTCTCCACGTCAATACGGAACGTACGAAGGTCCTCCTTAAGCCGGATAAGACTACCCTCACGGAACCGCACCATATTTGGCCCACGCTCACTGATGACGACTGGATCAAGGTGGAAGTTCAGCTTAAGGATCTCATTTTGGCTGATTATGGAAAGAAAAATAAGTAAGGGATTTTTCGTTTTGTTCAAGTATGTAATAAGTGGGTTTCCCATGTCTGTGTCTTCTAACTTACCCTTTATGACAGTGGATGTATGTAAAAAAAATAAATAAATAAGATTAACGTATATATAGATTAATTTGAAGTAAATATCAATGCTATAAAACAATGGTAAATCTGTTTCTGAAAAAACTGGTATTAATTTGTACAGATCGTTTATCACTTTTTCTTTTCTGTTTTAGTTTTGCCACTGAACTTATCTATTTACAACTATATGTTTTTTTATATTTAAAAGTTGAGCCAGAATAATACTAGATATTCTTATCCTTTAGCGTCAACGTTGCGTCTCTCACACAATCCGAGATCCGCGATATCATTCTCGGAATGGAGATATCAGCGCCATCAGCCCAGAGGCAGCAGATCGCGGAAATTGAGAAGCAGAGTAAGGAGCAGAGTCAGTTAACTGCGACTACTACACGAACGGTCAACAAACACGGAGACGAGATTATCACATCCACGACAAGTAACTACGAGTCACAGACATTTAGGTAAAATCAAAGATACATCACATTGACATTAAAAATCACCTATGAGAGACTTATTACTAAAATATACAATTATTACAACTTATCGTGCGGGTAATTTTTAATACTATTTTGCGAAATATGCGACACCATAACACAAGCTTGAGTTTTAACTTCATCTCGGTGGTGATGTAAGACACTAACGCGATTGATAATTTTTAATGACACGATAATATAGTATATTTTTACATTAGAATGTTTATAAAAATCAACTATTATTTAGTTTATCACAGTATAATAATGACATTAATACTTACTTATACAATGCAGTTCTAAAACGGAATGGCGTGTACGAGCGATATCAGCGACAAACTTACATCTGCGTACGAACCACATCTACGTAAGCTCAGACGATATCAAGGAGAGCGGCTACACCTATATTCTGCCTAAGAATTTGCTCAAGAAGTTTGTCACCATCTCGGATTTGAGAGCACAGGTATTTTTATACGATTGCTTGTTAAACAGACCTGTGAGTTTTTCGCACAACACAACTATAAAGAACGATACAAAATGTTCAGTTAGCGCTAGTAAGTACTAAATAAATTTAAAAGTAAATTTCTTTTTCCATATGGGTTAACACAGAAGGTAGATAACAGTTAGTTAGGAGTAAATAAAGATGGAAAGACTCGAACCTACGACTGACGTTGGTTGCTGCAAGGTCAAAACATTAAGTATTGAGGTTTAATATCGTATGGTTCAGCGTGGGAAATTAACAAAATTAAACCTTATTTTCACTATAATTCTAGCGTTTATGTCTTGAATTTTTATTATATTGAAATAATTCTAGATCGCATGCTATCTATACGGTACTTCACCACCCGATAACCCGCAAGTTCGTGAAGTGCACTGCGCTGTATTGCCACCCCAATGGGGCACTCATCAGACGGTCCACTTACCCAAACACCTGCCGAAGCATCCTGCGCTTGCGCATCTACAACCGCTTGGGTGGATGCACACTCAACCGAATGAGTTGCCACAACTTTCGCCCCAGGTAGGCTCTAGCTACATTCAATGTATAGTTTATTACAACAATTTCATAACTATTCTATATTACTCGACTCCCTTTAAATATATTGACTACAAAATAATTACTTGACTGCCTTTTTAATTTGGTAAGTAAACTATAGATCACGAGAATCAGGGTTGGGAATTGGGACAATGTAAAGTAGACTACTTTATTATTACACTTGTCATAATTTAATGTATTTATAACGTTGTTTTTTTTAGGATATCAGTACACACGCAAAAGTAATGGCTGATAACCCGTCGTGGGACGGCGAGAAAACCATCATCATTACTTGCTCATTTACGCCTGGGTCCTGCTCACTAACAGCCTATAAACTTACACCCAGTGGTTATGAGTGGGGTGTAAAGAACACCGATAGGGGGAACAACCCCAAAGGTTATCTGCCCAGTCATTACGAGAAGGTGCAAATGCTGTTGTCAGATAGATTCCTTGGTTACTTCATGGTCCCATCCCAAGGAAGCTGGAATTACAACTTTATGGGTATGTAATACTGTGTGTGTATTATTATACAATAGTAATTTTTAGAATGATTGTTGGTTTGTTATCTTAGGATGCCTTTTGCTCTCTATAGTGTACTAGCTAGCCATGTTAGCGATTTTGGCATTTGGCTATCAAAATTATGTCATTTTCATCTTCATAAATTTTAGTGTTCAATTCAGACCAGTAATTCCTGAAATTAACGCATTCAAATAAACACACAAATTTAAGAATAAAATAGACATATTGCAACGATACTGATGAGCTTTCTTCCTTCTTTCAAGGTGTTCGTCACGACCCCAATATGAAGTATGGCGTACAACTAGGCAACCCTCGCGAGTTTTACCACGAAGTCCATAGGCCTGCCCATTTCATGAACTTCGCCGCTATGGAGGATGCCACAGCACCGACCCTCGCTGCCGATAGAGAGGACCATTATGCTTAGATGAACCAGTTTTCTCTTATATTTGCTGGTGTTTTAGAAAACTGTAAATAAATTAAGAATAAACATTTCTACATTGTCTCTGTGTTTTATTTTTATTTCCCATTCCTAACTTTGTGCAACAAACAATACCAGTATTATCTGTTAACAACTTTTCACTTGAGAGGTTAATATTAAAGAATATGACGGTTAATAGCTAAGAATTTTATCATGGATTGGACCGTAAAGACAACCTCCTTACAGAATTTTTTTTGTGTCGAGTATTATCTGTAGCATTTTTTATAGATTGTCATTAGTAGTTGTATGTTAATTGTCATTTTGTAAATTGACTGTCAAAGTAAATTCGCAATAACAAAAACACAATTAGCGATTACTATCAAACAAATTAACAAAATCTATATATTGGGCGTCATCTTGCCAACTTTATTATTATAAAAAACGAAAGTCACAATGGGCGATCATGACGATTTTGAAGACAGTCAGTTTCCCGACAACGACGAGTTCATACCGTACGTAACGGCCGGTAACCTAGCGTTAAGAAATGGCGCGAAAGTCACGTTATGGGGCAAAGTAACAAAAGTGTCAGCCGAGGGCTTCCACGTAAAAACAGTTGACGATCAAGAAGTACTTATCAGACTAAAAAAGCCTTTAAACGAACCACTTGAAGGTTGGTACGAGATCCACGGCGTCTCGCAAGGAAAGAGTGTACTATGTGATGAATATGTGCCGTTTTCAGCGGAAATGACAAAAAACATCGATACAGAGGGTCACAAAGGGTTAGCAAAGTTATTGGCGGCTCTTGATGAGCCATGGAATCTTGGAGATGATGGATCTGGTGATATGCATGGTATAACCGCTATGGAGTAGGATTTATTTTGTGTTAAGATCTTTCTAAGTTAAAATAAAACTTTATTTATGTATATTGTGGTAATTTTATTTCTTATCAATTTCAATTATAAACCAAGTATATAAAATAGGTAGATCTTCCATGAAAAATTAATATAAAAGGTATGAACATAATCACTATTGCTAAAGTACAAAACTTTTAATCATTTTAGCTGTTACCGACAGTTTACTCTAGGATATGAGCGTACTCCACCAATCTCCTTTATCCTTTCCTTTTCTAGCTTCAATCTCCTTTCATGCATAACAGCATTCGATAATGCTCCTTCAATACATGTTACAGGACGGTTGCTGTAGAAAATAACAAGTAAAATTTTACCCAAAGCTCCAAAACATTATTTATTACAATTACAATAAAAAATATTATTTGGAATTTGTAATTAATTTCAATATGAACAACAAATAAACATTTACAGTAAAAGTACTCACATTGCCTTCCCATAATTCATCTTATCCGTGTCAGCATGTCTCGATGTGACTGGCCGTTCTTTGCCATCCTTTAAGGCTAAATCAGTTAGGTACTTCTTAATGTACTGCTTGAGATGCACATTTTCCTTGGCTAGCTTAGCTTTTTCTGACCAAAGACAGATTGTTTGTACTCTAGCTCGATTCACTTTAAGGAGGAACTTGTCCATCTTTTTGAATTCTTTGTACTCTTCCTACAAAAAAACATATGTTTTAGGCTTCAGCACTTTTAAGTTAAGAAAGTTTTTGTTTAAAAATGAAAAGATTATTAATCTATGTGTAAGTTCATCATTTTTTATTTATTTTATTAAGTTTTTATATTTACTGATGTTGCTCACAAATTGAAGTAAAAATAAATACATATTCAAAAGTTATATTTCAATAGAAGATTGGAGCAAAGTATTCAGAATATATAGATTTCTTGGTACCCTGGAGCTGCAGGATGGGCAGGGGAGGAGACCTGTCGTAAACTGGGAAAGTTTTTTAGTAAAAGCTAGTGCTTTAGACACAGCTTGACTGACCGCTGGCAGACTAGCATCCGAAACGTCGGGTCGTAATTTAAATAATTTTCAAATAAGTTTAACTAATATATTTACGTTTTAAGCCGTTAAAATCTTTTATTTAAATGTAAAAGTACTCGCGTAAACTACAGACAGTGTGTGGCCATGTATACTACCATCATAGCAGCATCAAGATTCTCACAGTCTACAGACATTCCATCACTCTCAGTTCCATTTATTTGTTCTTCATCATCATTGATTTCATACTTGCTACATATACGCGCCATCTCATTTATTTTACTCAATTTTCCGAGCATTTTTTCTAAATACTGAAATTATAAGTAACTGACAATAAAGCTGGAATCAGATCGTCTGTTAGCAATAATTAAATAATTCCTATATTGATATTCTACTTTTATGAACAACAAGTTTAATATAATATTATCGAGCCAATTTTGATTTTCATAGAAATGTTTACTGTATGCTGCTGATATACCTATATTAATACTTTGAATAGGATGGCTGAATAAAGGCAGTATTTGGTTATATACGGGTCGTGGTTTCGTTTCTAGTCAGCGCAACATGTATCAAAAAATCTATTTATCTTTTTACTGAAACATGTTGGCGAAATAAAGATATTTTGTCCGGGTCACGAATTACCGTGTAAGTACAGTTATTTCAGGTGAATCCACGTTTTGATTTCAGTCTGTTCATTTCTGAAAGTGTAAGGGCCAAAGAGGTCGAAATCCCTTTACTTAATCTTATTCTTTAATCTTATCAAGCGAACCCCGTGCTTGTCTGTCAAAAGACCGTTACCGTTTTAGCTTCTGTACTGGCATCGACCAAAACAGCTATCATTTCCCCTTCTTTATATCTCTTAGCCTTATTATCCTTCTTCATCTGCCAGTATTTCTTAGCCAATTCGTCTTTGTGGTTGTTTAGTCGATCCAACTTATACGACAGAGACGTAGTCGTCTTTGCCCACTCTTTTTGTAGAGATAGCAGAATCTCCTGTTTGTATTTGATCGAAATATAATAAATAAAATAACACATCTTTGACGGTTTAAATTGTTAAGCAAGTCGGGCAAAATAATATGTAAATAAGATTCTAATATTTTTCGCGTTTTAAACTGTTGAAAGTGTTTTATTTAAATTAAGAAAAAGCTTAGAAAATTAAGAATGAAAGTCATATTCAGTAAAATGTTTCTAATATTGAGATTAATACTCTGATATTTTTGAAAGATTTAAGACTAAAGCTAAATTTTGCGTTCAAGCACTCTTGCGACGGTGTGTCGCAAGTTTGAATCCCACCAGTGACATGAATACTCTCTTGGGTTATTATGACGTTAATTAATACTTTAACGATAAAAATGCTTTGGGTGTGAAGAAACCCGCTCTAACAAGGAAAACAATGTAGTGCACTTAAAGTACGTGAAGACTGTACATGAGACTTGGCGATAAAAGGAGTGACGGCGAGTTTATTGCCAATTCTTCTCGTTCGTTCTCCACCCTTTATTTGAGAACAGTAAATGTAGATTTAGAGGCTTTAGTTTTAAACTCATGTGACGTTAATAAGTGTACCTACTTACCTATGTAATTAAATTATTTTTGACTTTAAATAAGAACTCAATACCGTCGCTTGTTGTAGCTGTATCTCGTTCCTGGCTATATCACGCTGATAGAAATCATCCTTTTCCTGTAGAGACAGGTAGTGGCTCATCATGGGATTGTGCTGTTCCAAATATCCATTGTAGACCTCTCGTAGCTTTCCCCAATACAAATCGATCTCCTGTTGTTTCGGACGACATAGACTGCGCATTTCTTCTTCGTGCTGTGAATAAAAAAAAGTTTATTTATTACTAATAATTTTTACATTTTAATAGACTAGTTGAATCAGCGACTTCGTACGTAGAATAGTTATTTTGGGTATCAATTTTGTTTTTGCAAACCTCCTGTTCAACTCTATACATTTAAGCTGTTACCCAAGACGACGTCCGCGTCCCGTCGGTTTTGGGAGTTAAGATAGACATACACTGTCGCGAACTTGTTTTTTTTTGAGATCATTTAAATAAATCATTCTTTCATACATATTTTTTGGGTGTCTTAAACCCATAAGAATGAAATTTTCCCCGTATTTTTTGTCATTTCCCGCTGCTTTTTCGCTCCTATTAGTCACAGCACTATGTTTCATATATAGCCTTCCTCAATAAATGCTCTTACTAAGACAAACTCTTCAGCTTTATATATTAGTATAAATGTAGTAAGTTAAGTAATTAATTTTAGGTATTAACGTAATATGGACATGATCAATACAATTGTTTTAATTTAATACTAATATAATAAAGCTGAATAGTTTGTTTGTTTGAACGCGCTAATCTCGGGAACTACGGGTTCAAGTTGATAATTTTTTGTGTTGGTTAGAGCATTTATGAGGAAGGCTTTAAGCTATTTTATAGCATACATTTTATGCACTGAAAATAATGCACTTTATATGAGATGAACTCATTACGTAGGTACTTATTAAATTTGCCAGAACAGTGTTTGCGTTCTCGCTCGAGCAATTAATGTTGTTTTTCACTTTTATACATTATATTAAGTAAGTAAATATTTTTCGTCAATGCTTTATTTTGATTTTTTTGACAAAAGCATCGCAATTACAAATTCGCTTAGCTTCCTGTGATTAATCTGTCATGGGTTTCCGTTACCAATGTTCTGACAGCTATTATATTATGTAATCATGACATGGTAATTGTCGTGGCAAAAACCTGGAACCAAAGCGTGCTGAATCTGTTTCATCCAGAGAATTCAAGCGTGAACAAAATGCGACATTATAAATTGTGCTGACTGTATTTTTGATTCACTCCATTGCAAACAGTCGATTTGGTGTCTTTTCAAGATGGTTAAAAAATATATTGTAGTATTTAGTTTCATGTTGCTAGAGATTTATGTAAGTCAGCTAAACGATTTTATTGGCATCTAGTAAAATAAAATTATGTTGTGTATGTTGCGCGAGAGGTGCATGTATCAATAAGTTGAAAAAAATTCGACGATGAGGTGTAGGATTCGGTAGCTAAATTGGTAGAGCAACAGCACGGAACGCTGACGATGCCGGTTCAAGTCCTGCCCGAGGCGAACATTTTTTCCAATTTATTTTCGATTTTTAAAATAATTCTATTAATTTAGACGTCATTTAACGTTAGTTTGGTAACTAAGATTATATATATATATTTAATATAGTAAATAATCTTTTTAGACATATGCTCATACGGATGAAACCTCAAATCATTCTATTGCCAGAAAAAAACAAGTTTATCGATTTCTAACAGATATTTATCATTCTAATAATATTATTCCGTTCATAACATACAGGCCCTCAACTGCCGCACCGAAGGTAGTTTGAAAAGCGATGAACTAAAGAGAATCTACAACAACTGCGCGAGACAACACGAAGGGAAGAATTCTAGCAACACGAGAAACTCTTCAGAACAGGACTGGCGCGATCGTGGAGGCCAGAGAACCGAAAACCAAAGAAATAGCGGAAGGGATGAGAGAGAAGAAGTTAAGAACTGGATGGACGAAAGGAGAGATAGAATGGGTAATAAGGAGAGAATGGGTGAAAACAATGATAACGGATATAATAAGGACTATCGCCAAAATCAAGGTATGAATGGTCATCAGTATAATGACTATGAGAAACAATATCAGAACGAATATGATAGAAGAGATGAGAACCATGACAAAAGAATGAACGGTAACAGAGACAGCGGCGGATATAAAAGTACAGGGAATTACCAAAACGATCGTTTTAATGGTCAGGATTTCTATCAGAACGATGAATACGGAAGTGTGAGTACTTGACTGATGGTCAAATCGTAACTATTGAATAGTTAGATTTGCATGAAACTGGGGCTTTTTAAATTTGTTAACGTTCACTGTCTATAGAAGTTCAACAGACATACACTCGTTAACAATTATATCTAAGCCTATTTCTAAGGGATAGTTTTGTCAAAGATCTGTTTAAATTTATGCGCGACATAAATATAAGCAGTTTTTTGCCTGACTACGTCTATACTAGCAATTGTTGTTTTTATATTTAATAGGCATTCTCTAGTGTCAAACAACAATGTAACTATACTTTTGTCTTTTGCTGTTCAATTTAATATCTAAGACATGATGAACTTTCGCCTGGCATTGGTATTCCCAGCACCTTTGCCTTGGAGGCGTACAAACGTGTTATCTAGAAAAGACCGTAGTGGGCTGGTGGTGTGTTTAGTGGTCCTGGTCGACTCGCGCGTCTTGTGGGGCTGGTGCCAGTTTGGGGTAGCTTTAAAACAGATAATGTGCTATGTACCATACTCCCTCGTCACAAATGTCAAAGACCTGACGAGCTAAAAACTCATAGATGGTCAAGAAATCAAATTAAACCTAGTAATTGATATTGATGCAGGGAGCTCAATCGCGCAACATGTACTCAATGCCAAGTCACAGATATAGAAGGGAGCGACCAGAAAAGAACTCCGGACAGCGAAGCCAGTACAACCCAAATACTCACCGATCGGATGACTATAGGAACTCCAGCGATTCCAAAGGTGGAAGGGCTTGTGCCATGCATTGTTTCCTTGACAACTTACAGATGGTAATTATACATAGGTACTAGGTTTTTACCGCAGCCTACATTGAAATGTAAATTAAGTAAGATTTGAGGATAAATATTTCAATTGTAAAAATCATTGAAGCTTTCTAATTCTTCTTAGAACTCTTGTCGGACTTTACCTGACATCTTTAAGCTTTAGGTATTGTTCTTATAGACTTATGTACAAACAGACACAAATGTAATGATATATATTTAAGCAAACATTACTATTACATGGTATACTAAATAAATATACCTATCTCTTTCTTTAATTAGACAGGAGAGAACGGTATGCCAGACAGATACCTCGTGACCAACGCAATGACTAAGGAAGTCAGGAATGAGGACTTAAGGGATTTCCTACAGGAATCGATAGAGGAATGTTTCCAGATACTTGATAATGGTAAGATCTCTTTTATAATGACCATTATTTTCAATGTAAGAATATTGTACCACGGGTAGAGCTCTAAGCAATCTTGGTACTAGGTGATGTTGTGTTTGATTTAATTGAGAAAATGACGTGAATCTTTATATATTTATGTTCTCAAAATCTACGGACTAAATACATATTTGAATCTAGAGCCATTTATCGGGATAGGCTTTTTGTTATTTCTTGGGCTCGTTAGCGCAATGAACGGATACGGTTAGCGCAAGTACGAGACCCACTTCGTCCAATGTTAGTATGAAACTTTGATATTAAAAATCTATTTAGATTGACAAAATTTGACGACACGGGCGGGTTTTGAACCGACATCCACATCATTCCGTGCTGCTGCTTTAACCAATTGATCGATGATATATGTATCTCTTGGTGTGCCTTTAATGGGTGGTCGGAATATCGAAATTCTGTACGGGTCATGAGCCACCGTCCACAGATGGAAAAACATAGTGTGATCGCGTTCCAATATTAATTTTTAAAGACTGAAAGATTTTTAATAGATCGATAGCGATGATGTTATATATCTGTTTGTCATCTGTCATTAAAAAATAAGACAACTTAACACTAGTAGCTTGATAAATTTTCAGAGAATTCCGAAGATAAGTGTGAATTTTCCAAGAACCTGTTAATCTGCTTGTCGGAGAAAGGTCGAGCCACATGCGACGATTGGAAGGAAGACGTTCAGTTTAATTAGGTTTTAAATTTGTACTGTGTGTAGATTTTGCGGGGCACATTATAAAAAAAAATCAACGGTTTAAAACGCAAAGTTAATTTGAATAGCAAATTATGATGGAGGACATTCAACCGATAAATACATTTTAATTTGTGTAATACTTAGTAGGAAATAACATCTAAAGAAGAAAGTTTTCAACCGTTGAAATTTGATCTATTTTAATAAAGTATATTGTATAACTTGTAATGTGATAAAGCCATTAGGAAATTACTTTTTGGTCTTCACTATAAAACATAATTAAGTGTTATAAATGTCAGCATAAGTCTAATATACTTGTATTGCAAGAAATAAATTTATTGACATAAAAACATTTTTTTATTATTTTTATGTCTCACTCAACACTCGTGAGTGGGACAGCCATTCTAAGAAGCATAAAAAATGAATTTAATTTATATATTACGCGTTTAAAACCGTTAAATTCGTTTTATTTAAATATATTTTACACTTTATAGCTTTGTGTAAATAAAAAATATATTTATATTAAAAAAATTCATGACACAGACGGGACTTGAACTGTGAACATCGTTGTAAAATAGCTGATTAACTTATATTAAGTGGCGTAAAGTGAAAATACATTTAAATAAAACAATTCTAACAGTTTGAAACGTGTAATGTATTAGTTAATTTTTAATTTATTTTATTAACTACGCCAGGACCTTTCTAATTTTAATAATTTCATTCACGTTTTAAACAGTTAAAAGTGTTTTATTTAATATACACCCGCATACCTCCAAACGAGCGTTATTTTTCACAGTAGCTCTTTCAATTTCTTTCTCATTTTTGTAAGCTTTAAAGTCTCTCTCTTGTATAAACGTGATCAGCATTAGTTTGAATTCGGACTTGACCTGTCCTTCAGTTATATCCATCTCTACTTTATCCCAAGTTTCCAAGAATGTGTTCTTTTGTTGTTCGTAAGTCGCTTGTAATTTGTCTAAGCGTTGAGTACCTATCCCTGAAAAGCAAAGTAGATTAATCTCGAATGTCCAAAGTCATAATAGGGCAATTCTGGCCTGGGTGTGTAGCCATCAGGGTGGAGTGGAGACTGAGGAGTTACATGAATCAATTGGTCATGGGTTTGAAACAGTAGTACACATTTAAATAAAACACTTTAACGGTTTAAAACGCGATATATTAGTTAAACGTCGGGCCGAAGTTAAAAATCATTGTCAAATAAGTTTAACTAATATATCGCGTTTTAAACCGTTAAAGTGTTTTAATTAAAAAGTTGGGCTTTGTCTGGACATCTGGAAGTGTCTTGTAGGAGTATGGATTTTCCGTCCGGGTTACGAACTATCTACCAACAAGAGAAGCCCACTAGCCTCCTAGCCTTCTAGCCTCCGCTATCATAAAAAAGGAACTTATGATTACATACTCAGAAAATAACTTAAGGTTTCAGTGTGGGCCTGAAACGCACGTCGGTGCTGTTCGTTTGAATCGTCAATAGCTCGCGTCAATGACTCTATCAGGCGGTTCTTTCGTTCCATCAGAAAGTTGAAGCTCGATTTCATGCCCTGTAATATGTTGTTCTCATTAGATAAAGCACTTTTAACGGTTTAAAACGCGAAATTTATATATTAACTGTGTTAACTACAACTTTTCCTCGAAAGTTAGTCTCGGAAGTTTGCCGTTAAAGGCATCTAAAACGAGAGGTGTCGTTAACAGTTAATTTACTATTATATTTTGCGTTTTAAACCGTCAATATTGTTGAAATTGATTTGTGAAAGTCTGTTTATTTGTATAATTTTAGCCAAAAACGATGTTACGTTAATAATTATGATAGGTACATATATTATTTCTGTCAAAAAAAGTCAAGTTCTTTGCAAAATCTAAGTAGGTATAATGACTATTGGATAAAATGTAAGTGGTAGAGTTTGTAATAATATTAGGTTCTAGCTAAGGGCTAGTATTTGCTCGCATTGCTAGCTATAAAATTAAGCCACTAACTTTCACATTTTCAATACAAAAAATATGATAATATAGTTTAATGCGAAACCACTTGGGACATATTATTCCTAAAAATAACCTGAACTTCCGCTTCCAACTGATGACATTTTATTTTTCGTAAAATGTAGCGCCATTCCTGATTGATCTTCGCTGTGTTAATCTTACTGAACGCTTCCTCCTTGTCGAGTTTGTTCTGGAAAGAAAACAAAGAAATTTACTTGCATACTATGCTGGCCTTTGTTTTCTATATAATCTATATTTCTAAGTATATTGTTATATTAATTTCACACTTAGGTACACAAACACAGAATATATAGATACACTGTGCAAATTTAAAACTAGGTAATGTACATGTCCAGTCCATCCGAGTAGAAAGAAACATTAAAATCTTAAATTTTATTTAAACAATTATTTTTGTACCTTATACAGTGTGAACTAAACACTTTAAACTTCGTCCCACGTTTTGAAAGCTTTGCAACAGCCGTGGTCATAAGGAGACAAATGATGGAGGGTGTCTCTAATGACAAATAAGTTACGCTAGCGCCATCTCTTGTACATAGTTGTCATTAAGAGAAACTAGCCGGGTTCTTACAAAACTGACCTAAGTAGGAGTTAATAGGTATTTCTTTACTACTTGTTGATTAACGTAATAAGTATAATTAAATTAAATTTAACCACGAAAAAAGGTTAACTTAAGACCAATACTTCGGAAAATTAAAAAAAATATTAAATTATACTTACTTTTATAAACCTCGAAATCAACTCTCGCTTTCTTCTTCTCCCCTCTTCTTCTACATCAGCTCTATGCTGCAAATATCTCGCCCTCTCCTCATCAGACATGCGAGCTAATTTGTTAACTTTGCTTTTTTTCGGCATCTTGTACCCGTTATAACCTGAATTTCTTCTTTATATTCTTCGTTATTACAACCTGAATAATTTAAATAAACATTGTGACGGATTAATACGCGAGAGAAAACAGTAATAGATAGTTAAAATTATTATAACTACGACCAGACGTTTCGGATGCCTTGCAGCAGCCGTGGTCATGAATTGACTGTCACCCCGTGACCACGTATTTAAAATAATTTTCAAACAAGTTGAACTAATATATATCGCGTTTTACACCGTCAAAGTGTTTTATTTAAACGTGTACTACTCGCGTAAACTACAGACAGTATTTAACCTGAATAATTATTCTTTACTAAGTGTCGTTTAATGCTATTGACCAAACGTAACCAAGCAACAAGTGCTTGCCCTGCAACGGAATTAGCTTACACCCGCACACCTATAGGTAGATATAGTAATTAATAGTGGCTGTGGCATGTCGAGGCGAACTAACCATATGGTTAAACGTGTTGCCTAGGACTTTAAGCGCGAGGGGTCTTTGATTTGAATACCAGGAAAACTAATTTCTGCACACAACTTACTCAGTATTATAAATTATGCCTAAAAGAGATATACTGTCGCGAACTTTTTTAGATCATTTAAACACGAATAAATTCTTTCATACGTTCGGTTTCTTGAATCGTCGTGTGCGCAGCGCGCACTACGGAATCCCTCAAAGAAGATCAATTTTTCCACATTTCCCTTTTATTTCTTCGCGCTTGCTGTTAAATGGTCCAACCAATACACAAAAAAATTGATTCGAACCAATAGTTCCTGGGTTTGGCGCATTCATACAATTATACTTATACTTTAACAACTGTTAAAGTATTAGTATAAGTTTCTAAATATAAATACGGTTAACACTTAACACGTGATGTATATGAGAAACTTATTATTATTTGAACTATACCATAGTACATCGCGTTTTAAACGGTTAAAGTGTTTTATTTAAATGTTTATTCGCGTAAGATACAGATAGTATTTAAGTGTTATGTATTGATATAATATTATGTTGCTATGACAACGAATTTGTTTACATTTAGAAGTCATCAATAAAATCTTTCTATACGTAAAAATTATTTATTAAAACGGTTGGAGGATGGAGACATCATCTGGAACCCTTCAGTCTCCATCCACGTTTTCTGAAAGCTCCAAGACTGGAAGCAGTCGATCTCATGGCAGTGCTAAGGATGAACCCGACTTCACCAAAGATAATTGTAAGAAGGACGTTTATAATATTGTACTAGCTGTGCCCGCGATTTCGTCCGCTTGGAATAGTGCCTTGGGGTAGAATGTTTAATTATTTAGGCTGTTTATTAATTTATGTAAGGACGCATTTAAGGCCAATCTATATTGTAAGTGCTACTTTGCCGCAACACTCTCACCTCACATCGGACCTACTAAGTTTCATTGTTCTAGCTTCAAAAACCATACAAACGTTTACTAGTTAAAATCGAGTAGTACACATTTAAATAAAACACTAACGGTTTAAAACGCGATATAGATAAAACGTCGGGTCGTAGTTATAATAATTATCAAATAAGTTTAACTAATATATCGCGTTTTAAATCGTTATATTGATTCTTTAAAACTAGAACTCGACTTATCATGTGCTTTTGCAATTAAATTAAAAAGCGGAATTATTAGTTTAAGTTTTAACCCGTTTAAAGTTCTACGTGTATATACTAAATTCCAGCTGCTTCCCCCATCGACCTGGAATGCCATATCCAGGCAGAGCGCATCACCAAGATCCTCGACGAAACCATCTACAAAACCAAAATGGCGTTGTGTCTTCCGCGTCTCGTTCAAGAGTACAAAACCCTCGACTCCATACTGTCTAAACAGCATATGGAGGACTTGGTCTTTATCTTCGAGCAGTATGATAATCCACTATTCTCTACCAGCCTTTTGAATTTGGACGCCATGGAGGATATAAAGGCTGTAAGTACGATTTCAGCTGATGTTGATTTTTTCATGATAGAGGTCAGCATGCATGGTTCACTTGACGGTCGATGGAATACTCCAGCTAATAACATGGAAACCAGGGCTATCAACCTAACAAGCCCTGGTTTCCATCAACCTATTTTGGTTTTGGATCTTCGAATATCCACAGACTCAAATCGTACCGCTGTTAAATTTGGCCCGGATTTTTCTAGTTTATGGCCCGGGTGGAATTTCCATATTCCTACCCATCTAATATCCAGATTTCCAGTCAAAGTTCAATATGTTTCGGAAAAAATATAAATTTGATTTAAAAAACTCGGTAGGAATCCAATTCACGACCCGTTGTTTATTACTAGCCTAAATAGCTTACAACAAAGGCAAACATATCTAAAGTGTATTTCTTAATATTTATCGATTATGTGTGTTTACATTTATTTCAACTGTGGTTCAAATGCATGCAGTGAATTACGTTAAATGTGAGTGGTCCTGGATTTGAGTTCCGGGAAATCATAATAATTTCAGTCGTACTAGGTAGGTTGATGAAATTGTCTGTGTGGGTCTGCTTCACTAATTTTTATTTATGCCTTATAAATAAAAATTCGTGAAACAGACACACATATGCGTTTGGATTGCACATTGAAGATTTCTATTGTCAGGGTGACGTATCATTGAAGAACCGATTGAATCCAGAACTTGGTCACCTTATCTACATACTGAACAGCTATCCCCAGTTAAAACCTAAAGTGGAAGAGATGATTACAGAGGTTTGATTTCTTTCCTTTTTTCCTTTTTTTAGATGTAGGTATGTATGACATTATCTGTAATAATTTATTTTTGTAGCAACAACCGTCACGGAGGTCTCCACGTGACAACGGCTGCTGAGAGGCATCCGGAATCTTAGGGCGTAGTTAAAATAATTTCCAATTAAGTTTAACTAAAACACCTTAAATTTTATACGTATTCTCTTGCCATTTTATAGTTAAATATTGTTTTTATTAAATTTTTCAGATGAAAGAAGAATACGCTGAGTATGTTGAAGTAAGTTTTTAACCCTTTAGATAGCCATACCACCTTTCAATCATACAGACAAAAACCTTTTAAAAATATGTATGTTATCAATATTTCTTATCCTCTTCTCTGCAGACACGCCGAAGTCTTCCAGGTCTAGAATACCTCTTAACTTTCGAACAATTCAGAGATCTGATGGTGAAACAGATGGATACCACAGCTGCTGATGAACTGGCTGCTAAACTCAACACGAGAAAATTAGAAGGGTCCAATGAGCGACTTATTGAGAAAATTCAAGGTTAAAAGAGCTTTGTGGGTAGTTTGGAAATATTGAAAACTCATTTGTCTACACGTCCCTCTACTATATCATAATAAAAAAAATCATGTTAAAAAATTTCTACTGTGGTTTTTTTAAGTTCTAGGCTATATTATCATTTTCAATTTACACATTTGTGAATCAATTATAACGAAGAATACATAATTATAAAAGGTTGCCTGAAAGAGATCGCTGTATAGCGAAGGCTGCCCATTGCACTCCTTAACTAGTAATAGTATATCTTTTTTTTTAATATTTGTATTTTAAGATACATTTGTATTTACTTCGTATGTGTTGTAGAGAATTTTATAATAATTTCAGAATATACAAAGGATCTGAAAGAAGAAAGCGAACGATTCCAGGAAACGATGAAGTTAAAATCGGAGATTATTGCGAAATTGGAAAATGAACTCGCCATGCTGAACCGAGACGCTGAAATTAGGCTCAAGAAGAAAATGTATGTGTGATTAGAGGTATTAACTATATTTTAAAGTTTTTGCTGCGAAATTACATTTGAAAACTTCAATGTCTTTCACATCATTGCCCTAGAATATAAGAATCGATTGTGGATTGAGAAAAAAGTATGTCGCGAGCAGGACTTGAACGGGCATCATGTCCTGTTGCTCTAACAACCGTAGCTTGGTTGGTGATGAATCTAGATTCGATTTTTCAATTTATTCTAAGCCTTTTATTATAAAAGTTATTAATTATTTCTCTTTTTCTTTTATAGGATTTTTAATTATTCGAGATTTGTATATAATTTAACTTATGTAACCTATTTTTAGACTAGTTAAATTCTGTCCAATTATTCAATGCATCGATTACAGTCTACACAATATACACATTTGAATATAACTAACGATTCGTCAGGCCGTAGTTAAAATAATTTGAAAAGGTAAACTAGTTGCTATTAGCATTATTACTATTAGTAACTTCAATTCATGTATTTCGCGTTTAAAACCGTTTAATGTGATTCAATATTACATGTATTTCTAAATACTTAACAAATATAGGGAGCTAATATTTTTTTCAGTTTGGATTCCGATCGGCAAATGGTCCTGGCAACTCGTGCGCACCTCGTGAAGAACGAAATGCTCAAAGAAGAGGAGGTGGAATGTCGTGAGTTGTATGAGAGCGTACTTAGAAAAAACCTTATTGATGAAAAGAATCAACGAGCTAGAAGGTAAATAAATAATAGAAGGTAAAGGTTTACGCTTGACACATTTTTATTACACATTGCGCGAAAGGTGCCATCAATTTTTTCAATAGGTTGAAAAAATAGACGATGACGTGTATGACTCGGTAGCTCAATTGATTAGAGCAAACAGCACGGTCAACGGGTTCGAGTCCTGCCCGACTCCTAATTTATTTCAGTTTATAGATGATTTTTAACTTAAATACTGTCGAAGTTGACTCGAGTAGTACGCATTAAAAAAAAACACTTTGTTCAATTTAAATGCTGAATGCGGGTTGATCTTAGCATTTACTAGTTACGCCGACGGGATCATCTTAGTTTATAGAGGTTTGTTTTTTTCGCGCCTTCTACTATATGGAACAAAGACACAAAAACAATATGAGTGTACCCACAGTAAAACATCATCGGATCGTTTTTTTAAGATCTTACGCCCTATTCTTTAGGTTTAAAGTTGAGACCCAGTTGCTATCATGGCTACAGAAGTATGACCTGGAAATGGCTGATAAACAAGTAGACTTAGATGAATTCACCGAAAAGTACGAAGATGAGGTTCAGAAGTGTGAGGTTCTAGAGGTAGTGTAAAAAAAGTATATATAGGTCCGTACTGCGAAATATACTATCAGATAATAGCATCAGATTCCATTAAATTTAAAATTATTATTAATTTATAAATTTCTGTTAATTAAAAACACAACAAGAATGGCATAAAAATAAAAACTTCAGATTTTAGAATCTTTATATATAAATCGTTCCTATAAACATCACTTCTCAACATCTGCTAGCGGTACTTATGTACCGATTATTAGTGGTGTTTATAGGAACATTTTCGTCACAGCTTCTTACATTGTGTCCTTGTACCAACCAACAATCAGAAAATATATACTTTTTTAGTGATAGAGGAGGCCATACAAGGATGGGGCAGCCACATAACATACACAGAAGATTGTCGACCTATTTTGGCTTTAGATATTCGGGAATCTACAGACTGAAGCCGAAACGCGATTAAACTTTACGGCTTTTTCATCTTTAGCCAGTGGCTGTTTCAAACGACGTCAAACATGTTTCAGAAAAATTAGTAATTAAAAAATTTTAAACATGATAGACCTAGTGGGGATCGAATCCACGGCTAGATGATTATCAGACATATATTGCTACCATTAGATTAACGAGGGCGTCAAACAATTTACACTATTTCTTAGCTATTTTCTCAAGGACCTCAAAAAGAAATTTAATCTCTTTAACGACCTAAACTTACTTTTATATCTCTAGGAAAAACTAGCGGAGCAAGACAAAGAATACATCCCGCTAATGGCAGAAAGAGAGGAAGAGTACCACCAGGAAATGGCGGAGAAGATGAAGAAGTTCCTGCTGGAGCACGCGGCGCGCGTCATCCAGTGCGCTTGGAGAGACGTGCTCGCCAATCGGGCTGAGAAAAAACGGGTAAGAGTAATAGATCGCTTAATACTATCTCGTTATCTGTATATATCTATTGTAATATATAAAACTGAAGAGTTTGTTTGTTTCGCTAATCTCAGGAACTACTGGTTCAAATCGAAACATTATTTTGTGTTGGTTAGACCATTTTTTGAAGAAGGCTTTACACTATCAAACATTAAGCTGCGACCAATAACAGCGAAATAAAAGAGCAAAATGTTTGAGTATGAGGACCTCCTCATACTTCTAAAACAAGTGGTTGGCAACAACAATTGTTTACGCTCAAAATAACTATTCTGCGCGGACGCAGTACACGGCCAGTATAGTAGGATGTATATATATATAGCTAAGATAAGGGTTACTTTAACAAAGACGATTTATTTTTATTGATATTATCCGTTATTGTTGACTACCTCTTAGTGTTCCAACTCGAAGGTCAACCATTTTGCACTTGTATTAAAATGGATTCTTTCTTATGCAGCTCAAAGGTAAAGGCAAGAAGTCTAAAAAGAAAGCATAAATCAACGTCCTATTAGTTTTATACCCTTAATTCATATATTTTTCCCTACCACATCCTATCCTAACCACCAAAACCTTACACCTACCCCGCAGCTCAAGAAACTGCAGAAGAAAATGCAAGCAGCCGCCGCCGCCGCAGCTGCAGCAGAGAAGAAAGGTCAAAAAGGCGGGAAAAAATGACAACATGCTATTTTACAGTTTTATTTCTACATGGCAAATATAGTTTTCTTAAAAATAGTTACTTTAATATATGTTTTCTATATAAAGCTGCTTTTTATTTGAAAATCAATTCTTATTTATTTCTAGGTTAGTGACAGTTCAAAAATGGTTATCGGTTTTTGGGCTTACAGTTATTAACTACAGGGGCACAAATGCCAACATTGTCAATCGTTGATCTATTTCATAACCCTGTGTCTTGGGCATTTGTCCCTTGGCGCATTGATTCACAGATGTTTTTCCCATTCTGAACGCTCGCCTTTTGGTGCAGGCGAGGATACACCAGGAAGTCTGCAATACCCTAGTGCCCTTTGACATAACATGTGGTGTTCTATATTGACTGAGATATTGAGAATTCGCAGACTGACTGAATAAGTATGGTTCAATAGTGTCTATAGTTTATGCGAGTAGTACACATTTAAATAAAACACTTTAACGGTTTAAAACGCGATATATTAGTTAAACTTATTTGAAAATGATTTTTAACTTCGGCACGACGTTTCGGATGCTATATATCGCGTTTTAAACTGTTAAAGTGTTTTATTTAGAAGTATGGTTCAGTTGTGTGTCTTCTGAGCTAATACAGATGGCAAAATGTTTTTGTCGTTCCTGCAAGAGCGAAGGCTATATAATTTTATGCTTTACTTATATGTATAATTGTATATGCAAATAAATAACTTATCTCTACTTCGTACGTGTAAAATACATTAAACACTATGTTCGCTGTCTTTACTCATATCTTTTAATCTTATATTCTTTTCAGGAAGAGAATTTACTTGACAGATAAAAGACAATTTTTACAGAGAGGTAAATACTAGATTCAATTAAAACATATACATTCGAAAATATATATGTAGCTTCAATGAGAAAACAACTTTTTAGACTGATATTATAAAGCTGAAAAATTTGTTTGTTTGTTTGTTTAAACGCTTTCTTCTCAAGAAGTACTGGTGCGAATTTAAAAATGATTTTTCTTTTGGCTATATAAATAAATATAGCGACCAATAAAAAAAAGGGTGAACAATTTCGTGTTTATTATCTCGTGTATATATCTATTGCGTGCGCAGCGAAAACGGTTTAAGAATCTAAAGAATGTGCACGTATATGAAATATGTATGTATGATTCTCCTTTACGGGGCTTTGTATGTCCATCTTATAAGATTAGCTAGAACCGTTTTTATAATAAGAAAAATGGACGAAAATAATACGTTACTACCAATTATTAATTTAATAATAACATAATAATGTTAATCTTGCAAATAACAAAATAACGTTTCTTGGATCAGCTTATACTACTAAATAACAGCTAACTATTTTAAGAACTTATTCAAGTCTTAGTCATAAATTACTTTACAAATTTTCATTATCGTCCAATACTTTCAAGTGCCTTATAGCTCTGACGTCTATGAGGGTGTCGGAAGAACTCTTGGTGGTAGGTACGAAGGAGATAGCACGCCTGGCTCGCTCGCCGTTGCGGAGTGTTGGGTTCAGATCCTGAATAAGAAACAATTAATGAATCACCCATATTTTATATGAATAGGTATAGAATGTTAAATTTATCAACCGTCACCAGCTATAGAATTTTCTGTATTGGATTAACACTTTAAAGCTTAATAATGAATATTATAAGTGTAAGCAACTTAATGATACTTCTGTAGTTTACGCGAATAGTACACATTTAAATAAAATACTTTAGTTTAAAACGCGATATGTATTAGTTAAACTTATTTGAATTTTTTTTAAACTACGGCCCGACGTTTCGGCTGCTAAACGCGTTGCGTAAATATATACCGCGTTTTAAACCGTTAAAGTGTTTTACTTAAACTTAATGATACTTGTACTCGTCGGTATAATAGTATGGTCTGGCTATTAATCAACAGGTCGTGGGGTCAATCACCACTAGATCCAATTCATTTAATATATTTTTTAACATGTAGGACTTCGTCTGAAAATGGATATTAATGTGTGGTAGCCGGTACAACCATCGAAAATTCCGTCCAGATTAAGAGGCAACGTCCACAAATGTGAAGCAAGGCCTTATAGCGTTTCGGTTTCAGTCTGTTAATTTCCGAATATACACAAGGAAAATAGGTCGTGAGCTCTTGCTTAGATGTTACATGGCTGGGGTATCTAATGGAACTTGTTCTCCTTCTTCTCTATCATAAAAAACAAAGCAAAGAGGTCTACAGATAGTTTTAACTTACTCCATAGGGTACTGATGTATTATAATGACCTGAAGAAAAACTGTGATATCTTTAAAAAGAGTCCACGATAAGGACAGACAAATCCCTAGATTGTTTAAACACAAGGTTGTCTCCAACTTTCCTGGAGCATAAATGAGGATATAGCTCTTACCCTGAGTTGCACGTGTAACGCATTAGCATTGTGTTCAGTCTTTTGTATCTTCTCTTGGGCTGCGCGTAGTTCTGCATCTAAATTCTGTTTCTCTTGCTCTAATTCTTTTAGACGACGTTCAGCCTCTATCAAATTATTTATTCATTTATTTATTAAACAATTAAAACGGCAATAGCCACTTACATTAATTGGATACAAGTACACAAAAGAATTATACCTAAAATAGGTTATGTATCAAATACATTCCGACAAAATTTCATACACAGACAATTCTTTCAGTATTGATGACCATTGTGAAAAGGTCACATTTGGGTCTTAATTTGAGGAGAGCGTTGAGTGAGGTTAAAATTCATCGTATCGGCGAAAGTCATATATATTAAATCTTAAAAGAAGAAGTAAAGCATATTTATTTTAAGTAAACATAGCACAAACATACCTCTGTATTGTGCTTCCTTCTCCGCTTGTAACATTTCAAATTGCTTCCTCTTTAGTCTTTCTTCGTCTAGCATTCTATTTTGTTCCTCCTGGAGTCTTTCTAACTCTTCTCTTCTCTCCCATTCTTCTGCAAGGACTCTGAAATATAAGATTGTAATTAGATTTAAGTACTAAACTTGGTTTTAATGCTTTTGCCGTATGCACTAAGTGATTCTTGTTAGTTTTCTTACCTCGCTTGTAATGCCCTAACAATTTCCTCATCCCTCTTAGCTTGTGTTTCTTCTTGCAAGAGCTTTTCTAGTTCAACTTGTGCGTGCTTTAATTCTTCTAGTTTTTTGTTGTCTTGTTGGGCTAATTCGGCTAGCTCCTGTAAAAACAATCGCAAACAACTTTAATTAAAACCTGATCAAAGCCAAATTTTAAGAATGGAGAAAATACTATATATGTACAATACAATGTAGTATTAAAGTCAATAATGTTAACGATTTAAAACGTGAAATGTATTAGGTAAGTATGAAAAATCTATTGCCCACCGTTTTGGTTGCAACTTTTTAGCAGCCATGGTCTCATGGGGGCCCAAGTACGAACTAATTTAAGTCTTTTATTTAAAGGTGCTTGAAAAACTATAGACACTACCTACTTATTATCTTGTATCTTACTTGGGCCTGAGCTTCAGCGGCCAGTCTAGCTCTGACTTCATGCTGTAATCTTGCGCGTGTCTCCCGCACTTCTTGTTCCCTCCTCGCGCCAGCTCCACGTCGACCGGCTCGTGCACGCCTTTGGAAACCTTCGGCACCACCAGACACGGCTGCTGCTTGGCGCAGGGCGGACACCCATTGGAGACGACTCCTAAAACCAGGATCTATACTAGAGAACTTTTTCAACATATATTGTTTTGAATTGTATTGTATTGAAATGCAAAATATATTAATTGAACGAATTTAAAATTATATTAACTACGGTCCGACGATGTGGATGCTTTGCAATAGCCGTGGTCTCGGAGAGACTTAAGATGGAGGGTATCTCTAATATCAACGTAAAAACTGCTACGCTAGCGCCATCTGTTTGTAGTTGGTATTTGGCGAACTTTGGTTATTATTTAAATTAATTAATTTTAACTTTGGTTTTTAATAAAAACTTATAATTTAACTACTACATTTCTTTAAAGTGATTTATTTAAATTATTTCAACAAATTGTATCGTGATGTAATAAGGCTGTAGTTTACGCGAGTGGTACCTACATATCTAAATATTAAACACTTTTAAAGGTTTAAATTGAATACAAAATAAGTTAACTCATATGTTTTGCGTTTTAAACCGTTAAATTTTTTAAATTAAAACATTATTTATTAAGAATTAGCATTGTACGTTTAACTCTATGCAAAAGATTGATTACTTGGTGTTTTTTTTAAATAAATACACAATAAACCCCACATAAAAAAGTGTACTAGCTGGCTTATTTATTTTTTTAGCTAAAATAATATTACTTGTGATCCTGCGTCCCGAACTCAAAAGTCCTTTCCGGCGTGATGAGTTGAAACTTCTGAATCTTTCCATCTCCCGCTGCAGCTTCCACGGAGCAGTATTCATCAATTGGAATTCTCCCACACTGATCCTTCTGAGAGGAACTCTTGTAGTACGTGAGAGCACACGGTTGGAGCACACACCAGTACTCTCTCATCGTTGGTAGGAGGTACCCCCTCTTGAAGAGGTAACCCTAAAAACAGATACAGCAATATAATTAAATAGTAAATCGACAACTTTTACTTACAAAGAGCAATTATAGGCATATGGGAAAATGTAACCTCTAAAGAAAACATCATCGTTTGATGCGCTCCAAACATTTTTTATTTTACTTTAAAACAAGAAGGTATAATAATTTCAACAGCTTGTCTCGAGCTTTACATATTTTCACATTTATTTATACGTCGAAAATTAACTCTTTTCCACAGAACTGGTGAAAAATTAGTAACATTTTGACGGGTCTAATGGTAGCATTGTTTGGCTAATAATCAACTGACCGTGGGTTCGTTCCACACCGTGTCCATATTTTTCTAATCTTAAATTTACAATATCTGAAACATGTTGTATATCGTCTGGAACTCTAATTAAATGGATGGTAGAAACATCAAAATTCCGTCTCGGGCTCGAACCATCACCAACTAATAAGCCGTGAAGTTTAATCGCGTTTCGGTATTAGTCTATAGATTTCCGAATACCCAAAACCAAAGAGTTCGACATGTTACGATGTTATATAGCTGGGGTATTTCGTTTTTATATCCAACAGCATTGCACCGGAGCGAAGCCGGGGCGGGTCGATAGTATACAATAAAATAACATGCTTCATCGTCAAAGCAAAGTACCTTCTTAATAATATCCTCAATAAACACATCGTAGATTTCGTCTACAGCTTCCACGAGTGCTTCTGAGTGCAGCTGCTGATCGCAGCAGTATTTCGCCTCCAGGACAGCGAGAAAGGCAGCCCATTTGAAGTGGCCTATGGAGGAGCCAAGTGCTTCCCAATCGGCTGCGTCCCAGCGTAATCCAAGGCAGTGCACCAGCTGTTCCGCGACTAAACCAGCTTCTGATGGTTGTAAGACCACCTGTAAATAAGAAAACCGTTAATAAAACAAATAAAACACAAGTACTCAAAAATCGTAATTTGAAAATGTTTCCGTCAAACAACCTTTAAAAGTAATAAGTAAATATAAGGAAAATATCCGATACAAAACTATATATATTCCCTACTTGGAAAAACCGAAAGTTTGAAGTTTTTATCGGTTTTATTTTGAAGTTGATTTTGTGTTAGTTAATACACGCAATAGACAATATGATAATTAAATACTGTCTTGTTTACGCGACTAGTACACATTTAAATAAAACACTTTAACGGTTTAAAACGCGAAATATATTAGTTAAACTTATTTGATAATTAACTATGGCCGGAAGTTTACGATGCTTTGCGGCAGTGGTCACGGGGAGGCTAAAGCTGGAGTGTGTCTATAATGTCAAAGTAAAAAAGCGTCTTAACTAACTAAAAATGTGAAGGCTTTAGTAGAGTAGAAGTAACATGAAGACTCAGAAACTTCATCAATGTAAATAAAAAACCACAAAGCGCTATTATTAGTACTTTAACATATAATATGTTCACAATTATTACTTGATCTCTTAACCGCCGTTGTTGCTAAGTACATGCACTTTATACGCCCACCACGTTAAAGATATTTTTTTCTTTTATGATAGAGTGGAAGTTAGATGGAGGGGAATCCCCAGCCATATAAATCTCACAAGATGTTTGTTATTTGGTGTTGAATTCGAAATGTAAATTAACTAAATATCTCTTGTTGAAGTGGTTCGTGACTAAATTTTTAATTCCACTTATAGTTTTCCAAAGACTGTTCAACCTACGTTTTTACTAATTTTAACTAAATGATCCTTAAGTTGTTTTCTTATTTATTCCTATAGTTTTCTTTCTTTATTTTGTAACGATATTTGTATTAATGGGATAATATTTCTTTTTTTATATGTAAGTTGTTACAGGCAGACTACTTTTCATTATTTTTTTACCACAGATCGAACCTAATAATATGTTTAACACGTCAGCCAGGATGTCACGTCGTTATTCTTGATAACTCAAACGAAAGTCATTAAACAAAATAATTCAATTAGGGAGACACATTGCAAGACTCAAGACGCAAATTAAAAAGACAATAAAACATGTGAACGACCTTTTAATAGATTATTAACACATGCTTACAAGCGCAAGACGCATGTTACTGTGTATTTAATGACTCTGTGACGTTCGAGTGACGCAAAGAACTTAGAAGATTAAGTCGCGTTAAAGCCAATTTGCTACCTTATATGGATATAGATTTGTGAGTATCTACATATGGTCTAGGTCTAGACTCTAGAGAAAGCTTTTTATGATGGAAGATAGAATGCATTATACAATCGAACTAGCTATGTCAGACGAAAAGCATGCAAATTTGGTTTTATAAAACTCCTCTTCATCTTTATAAACATATGCTGTTACCCTCGACGTCGGTCGCGTCCCATCGTTCTTGCAAGTTATTCTTCAAAATATCTGATGATATCTGAACCCAATATTACCCACCAGCAGTCATGTAAAAATAATAATGTTTAAGTACTATTCTGTTACCTAGAATTCGTTTTTTGATCTTAGTTACCTTTCGAGTTGTCGAGTTTAATTAGTATTTGACAAACGTTGAATTACTATTGAAAGTGTTAACGTCTTTTGTGACAGCGAGAAGCTCATGTTTTTATTAATGATATGAAAGAGATCAGAAATCTATACCATCATTTTAACAACTTACAGGAACTTTTAAACTTATTCCTTAAAACGTTTTAAATAATTTTTAAAGCGACCTTTTTCTTTAAAATAATAGTTTTTTTGCAAATTTTGTAATACCTTTTGAATCTTACGAAACCGTTACTTAGAGTAATTCGTTAGGTAATCATTTGTTTCACTAATTATTCGACTTATATTAATTTATATTATTTATTTTATTTAATTTCTACAATCTTTCTTAAAGTATAGCACTACTTTTCCACTTACAATATATCTGTTGGAGTCATCAGCATCCTGCACCAGGTCTGCAAGGAGGCAGAAGATACGAAACAACTTGAACACAGAGTCATCTGCGAACACTGCTTTGTCTCGAGTCAGAAGATTCTTGCGGCAGACGAACCAGCATACCTAGAAATGACAAACAGATGTTGCCAAATACACACACAGTTACAAATATGTATTGTTAATAATGTGTGTTGTTAATGTATTATTTATTTGCAATGTGTGGCTAATAATCAACGGGTCGTAGATTTGATTCCCGCCTGGTCCAGCATGTTTTTAATTAATTTAAAAATTTTCTGGAACATATTGGACTTCGTCTGGAACTGCATATCAAATGGTTCGTAGGAATATCGGAAATTCCATCCGCTCGAACCACCTTTTACAAATGAAAATACGTTAAGTTTTATCGCGTTTCGATATCAATCTGTGGACTTCCGTTTATCGAGGGCCAAAAGGTTGTACATACACATCTTGTTGAAATGTGGTATTTCATCCGTCCATCAAGCGAAGCCCATGCTTCTGTCCTTCTTTCTCATTTCAAAGAGATACAATAGCTCGGGGCCAAAGCAACGCACGGTACGCTATCCAGTATTCGAATCTTGCCTGTATTTATAGTTCTACACTGTTTTAATTGTGCGTAATTAAATACATTGCGCAAGACGTGTAAGAACGGTGACGATGCCAGTTCAAGTCCTGTCCGTATCGTATTTTTTTTATCTATAATTGATTATTAATTTGTATGCATTAGTAAAAGTTAACAAGAGTTATTTTATACAGTTTTCCAAAGGAATAATGGAAAAACTGACCTCACTAATTTTCTTTTCGAATTCTCTCGCGATCGGAAGAGTGAGAGTTTTTGGCAGAGAACTGAAGACCTCATGCTGAAGGTAGTAGCGGAACTCGTCAAAGGTCAGCTCCTGGGAAGACCTGAAGTGGTCCAGGCCTTTCTCCACTCCGTATAGGTCTAGAAGTGTGCCGATATTCGCCGTTAACACCTGTAATCGGAAGACCAAATTTTAAGTAAAAAGAAATCTTTCTGTGTTTATTTCAAATGATAAGTGGTTTATACTTAACAAAAATAATAACTAGTTGTTTCAATCGACTAACTAAATGACTGGTTAGATAATATGAATAATATAAGATAATTAAAATTATTTTCTGCATTATTCGGTCCTTTTATGTTAAACTCCCTTTTATGGGGGCGGCAGTGTGGCGCCCTCTGAAAGTTTTATAATAAGAGGCTTAAAATCGAAAGAAATATTCATGATATAAGAAATAAATATAATTATTATCCTATCGTCTATTTGACTTAACGGTGAAATATTCACGGTGTCATAAGAAGTATCGAATGAAATTAGACGGCCACTCTCATGAAAAACATAAATAAATATGAGAAATAAGGAACTGTTGAGCTGCATAAAATGCATCGGCGCACGTACATATGCACAGTGTGTCAAGGCTATCTGGTCAATTCCTGTTTATTGCTCTTGTGACTTATTTAAACAATGTCATGAAAGATACTTCTCACCCTAGCGTCTTTTAAGCGTCGACGTTACCACGCTTTTTTTGAACTAAGTATAGTCATTTAAATAAAACACATTAACGGTTTAAAACGCGATATATATTAGTTAAACTTATTTGAAAATGATTTTTAACTACGACCCGACGTTTCGGAAACTTAGCAGAAGCCGTGGTCACGGGGAGGCACAAAGTACAATCAAGCACAACAATCCTTCAATGAGTGTTTTTATTATTATACTTGTATATCAATTTTGGATCAAAATGTCTTGTTAAAAAATATTGTCAAATGTAAGTTAAATATGTGGTTGTCTAGAGTTCAGGAAAGCGATTATAAGATTATTGTTAACATATTAAAAAACATAACACGTTTATGATTATTTGAATCCCGAAACAAAAGTATAATGAATATTGTCTTAAAAACAAATAAGATACTCATTGAAGGAGTGTACTGAGACGACAGCGACGCTCAAACGACGCTAGTGTGAACGGTCTCTTATTATTTCTGAGAGCATTCGGCATAGTTCTTGTACAATAATTGGCATATTTCATTAGACAGATAATCTTTATTTGACGTTATCACTTCTGGGAAAATTTTGAGAAACATTTTTGTCATATTTTAAGCGAATTAACTTTTCCTAATATCGTTGACAGGCCATTTTAATATATTGAGACTTGTTTATAATGAAACTTACACTGTTCTTGTAGCATTATTATTATTACAATACTTAAAACATCTACAATGTCCTTTTGAAATACTCTCGCAGCGACGATACGTAGTTTTACTAACATGTGAACAACTGTTAGTATTATACTGTGGACAATAATCGGTTTTGAATACTATATAGTAGCTTTTAAAGAACACTATCGGCTATAGTAATAGATTGACCCTGGAATGAAGGTGAAGGAAAACGTAGTGAGGAAAAAACTTCAACATGAGTCATACATATTTGGTCGGCATATAACCTATACACTCTTTAAGCTTGAGTCCAGGTTCGTTGGTGTTATTGTAGCTATGCACGGCTATCTAGGGGTCGTGGGTTTAATCCCAGCCGGCTCCAACATGTTTATAATTTTTCTGCAACATGTTGGAAATCTAGATATTAATTCCGCCCGGGCCACGAACCACCTTCCACAGATGATAACACCGTGAAGTTTAATCACGCTTCTCTATCTAAATCCAAAATAAGCCGACAGCGCATCTTATTTAGATGCTATTAAGGGTATTTAACCGACCGAGACTAGTAATGGGTGAATTAAATTTTGAAATTTCGCGTTGACTACGTTTAAGAGATGTCGTGGTAGGAAGCAATATCGATGTCTTATCGGAATGAATTGTCGTCCATTGTTGTGTACAATGGCCGTACTTATGACGCATGCGCTGTTTGTTTTTAACTACTACTTTGGGAGTTAGTTGGTAAAACATGCCCCGTGTAAGTTAATTTGTTCTCTACTAAGAATATACTACGTTTTAACCATTACTAGCTGCTAACGACTCGTCGCGTAGAATAATTAAGAATCATTCCTTCAATATATTTTTTTGGTATCTTGAACGGTGTTCGCAGTGTACGCTACGAAAACGCACAAGATTAAATAATATTCCCCGCTTTTTATCCACATTTCCTGGCCTTATCGCTCCTATTAGTCGCAGAGCGACCTTTTCCCCCCTTTATATATCTCACAAGACAAGGACTAGAGGAAATGAGGCGTGGGGCGGTCATATTTCTGAGTACGGTTTTAATCAATACTATTTATTACTATAGAATGTTATGTTGCACGCGTAAGTATGTGACTTGCGATCACAGGAAGGACATTCATTTGTATCTTCCGATAAAGCTCAATGCGAACTTGGTTCCTTTTAAAGAATCCAAGTTTTAACTGCATACTTGTGACCTTATATGACTATAAACACTTTTAAACGGCGCTGGATAAACTACGTAATTCGCACTTTGATGATTCATTCCTTCGAGATTTCTACTTAGTATTGTACGTAGTGTGATTAAGGATGTACCTCAACCAAGGGCCAAGCTTCGGCGCCAGGAAGGGGGTCATAGTCGTGGTCAAGTCAAGAACTTTTATTTTAATTTTGATAACAATCGATACGAGTCAAATGTAGGTATTTTATTCTTGTACACTTGAAAAATTTAACACGTATTAATTTGCAAGGTAAGGCCTGGAACCAGCTCGGGGGGGCGATGACCCGATGACCTCCCCTAAATCCGCCGAGAGGTCCTGGGTTCAAATTTCACTGAAACAATAAATTGTTTCTCGGACGGGGCAATGAAGTGGGATCAAATACATTAAGTCTATCTGTTTCTTAATAAACTTTTACCTTCGAATACTTAAAGTAGTGTTAGAGCATAGACTATAGAACGATCTCCGATTGACGCAATGCGCAAGCGCCGATTTCAGATAGAGGAGATAATGTAATTTGTAAATTAATAGGATTTACTTACGCTTTTTTCGATTGTCGGATTATATTTTTTTATGATAGAGAGGACAGACAAGTTTGGGGTTCACTTGTAAAAGGTGACCTTAGCTATATTACATACATCTCAAGGTGCCAACCTATTTTGATTTTGGATATTCGAAAATCCACAAACTGGGACCAAAACGTGATTACCTTCCACTTTCATCTGACAACGGCGGTTAGACTTTGACAGATTTTTATATCCTACCATCAATTTAATATCCAGTTTTCTAGATCCAAGATTTAATTGGTTAGAAATATGTTGGGCCCTGTGGGGATCGAAGCCACGATGATTACCAGACATCATCTCATGGTGGCAATGCCGACAAGCTCTCGCTCGTTATGGGATTATATGGTATTTGATCCAAAATATATTGCAGTACCGATTAGAACAAAGTTATTATAAATATAACTGCCATTTTATTATCACTACGTAGTAGTAAAACATCGCTTTTTCTATCGCTATGTACGCTTATATCTTTAAAACTACGCAACGGATTTTGAGGCATTATTTGAGAGGAAGTTTTTTTTATATACAACGTTTATCTGCGGATATTTAGTAGCAGCCATGTTAGTTATTAATAAAACACAAACAGATAAAAGATATAATAGTATTTACTTTGCAAAAATACACCAAAAAATGCAAAACGAACGTGAACTTTCACAAAATAATAAGCGAAATGATTTCGTCCTTTCGCCGACATTTTACGCACACGTAATAGGCTACGTCATTACGCAAATGTCAGGGCTACCGATAATTACTTTTTGTGTTAAATGATAAACATTTTAAGATAATAATCATTAAAGTGCGTTTAAGGTAAATAAGTTTACACAATAAAGCTTTTTGGTAGAACATTTTTTTGCCTTTAAAATATACATTTATTCTTTTGAAAACCTTAATATTTTTCACATGTTATTGCACATGAAGGCACTATACAATTTAAAGATCGAAAATAAATTGAAAAAATTTTCGACTCGGGCAGGACTTGAACCGGCATCGTCAGCTTTCCGTGCTGTTGCTTCTACCAATTGAGCTACCGAATCCTCAACGTGTCAACCTTGAGTTATTTTTTTCTTTGAGAGTTTTCGTTGCATGACTATATAACGTCAACAATGCATGTTGACGTTATATAGGTTATCACGTTGCTTGTATATGTCCTCTTATACAGTAAAAAATACTTTTTCAAGTCTCTATTAGTATTAAGTATAAATATAAGTTACCAGTATTTTTTTCATTATACCTATACTTCCCTTATTAAACGTTACATCAGTAAGAGTCGTCTTGGTCTATCGTGTGTTTGTGACAATTGTTCAAAAGGAGAGGACTTCGAATCCAGGTGGTGCTACATCTAATACGTCTTCTTTGGAAAGGAGAAGTTCGCCATACCAGCGATGAAGATTCAAGTTACATCGGTGGGAATTTAAAATGTTTTATATAGTTTACTCATAGATCAAAAGTTCGTAGTTAGGTATACGTTTCCATACAAGAGAATCCGTGTAAAGAGCTCTCTATAACTGACCATTAACAGTAAAAGCGAAGTTAATTTCGTAGAGTGCCCTCCAAACGAAACACAAACCGAACCTATCTCTTAATGAAGGTAATTTCGTTAATAAGCAACATACTGCTAAAGTTTTTGCATGATTGGAAGTGACTCATGCGCATTTTGTATCTGGCTTTACGTAACTACTACTTTTAATAAGTTGTGTTTGTGTCTAAATTTTCATAAATTTATTGAAATAAAACTATTTTAAAAGTTAAAACGCGAAATATACACTAAACTTAGATTTGCAATACTTGGCGACGGCTACTGTAAAGCATTTGAACGTCAGGTCATAGGTAAAATAACTAATATTTCACGTTTTAAACCGTGGAGTTAAAGTTACAAGTAGTCGTCAAAGTAGTCTTTATTGTGTTGCATGTAAGATTGTTAATGTTGGCTTATTTGTAAATAAGTAAACTATTATAGTATAGTAACATCTTAAGACAATACTAATGGCACTAAAGCTTATAGACATTTCTAAGAATCATTTTCTTAATTAAATTATAATAGCTATTTAATATCGCTTTATTTCGTAAATCTATCTTATTGAGGCACAAATAGATAACTGTTAGATGTAACTAGAGTCCCAGCAGTGGGAATTTTTATAAGCCGGATTATGAATGTAGAACATCATGGTTTATTATTTGGTAAAGATTAGCTTGCAAATATCTGAAACGACTAGTCATCAAGTAGATTAAGAGTAAGCCGGAAAAGAAGGTTTTTGTTTTTCATCTGTACTAATATTATAACGCTAAAGACTTTGTTTGTTTGAAAGCTCTAATCTTAGAAAACAGCGAAGCGAAAGGGAAAATTATTAATAATGCGAGAAGGGGTTGAGAAACCATACGTTAACTCTGTAAATGATAAAAAAATTTCGCCACAGTTTCCCAGTCTACTAACTTTTCAAGAACGATCGGCCGCGGACGACGTCGTGAGTATCAGCTAGTAATTATACTATCAATAGATAAAGTTATTGTCTTCATTTACTTTCTTAAACAAATTTATACATCGGTCATTGATATTGTCATATATGAGGCCGCTAGAGGCAGAGTAGCCTAACTGCAATTTTATGACTTATCCAATTTTATTCATTATTTATATTGTTATAGCGACCGAAAATTGTTAACAACATTTTCTATTTATTGAATCGATTTTTTTATTTATTGAAAATATTTGGTTTTTGTTATTAGGCCGCTCTGCCTCTAGCAGCCTCATATCTAACCTTTACAACTTTTATTCTATATTGTTATATTACATGTATTTCAGTTAATAAATTGTGTAAGGCTTTCAAGGCCATCGTTCAGCATATCATTGTCTTTCGAGCTGTTCGGCCGATGGGAGCGAGAAGAGGTATTTCAGTATTTGTATTTACAATACGACAATGTTAATAGTTAATCATCTTGCTGACTAAAGCAGTTTTGGTATTCGCGATCTCGGTCGCCCGACTGGCGGGCGTCAAATATAAAGAGGGTGTCACCCCTACAAGTTTGAGATCGTAAAATGGCGGGAAATCAATTGACAATAGACATTATTAGAATTTCTCGGCGGGAATTTGGCAGATAATAAATATTCTATTTGTTATTTAAATTGTAAGTAACTTAGTTTTTTCTGAAATAAATTACATATTTATAATGTCTGTAACTTGTATGTAAACACAAACATAGTTGTTTAAAATTAAAAACATGTATGTTTTTTTGTATATTCGTTGCAATATTTTCTAAGAGAAGTTTTCTTTAGTAGTAAATACAGTAAGTAAATTATAAAGCACAATATATGGTATAAAATAATTAATACTTTTCTTAACGATAATTTAAAGATTGAATCAGCGAAAAATATATCTTATTAAACTAATAGTAAATATATCTATAAATTATTATTGTCATTCAAAGTTACTGTATACATTCATGTCCTTACGAAGGCTATGAATAGGATACTTACAATACTTATTTAAAATAAGCTTAAGGCGAGTTTAAACCATTCCCAAGTAACAATAGAAAAGGTGTGAATCAATGCACGAAATGCATAAACAAAGCTAATAGGAATATTGTTTCATAAGAAATATTTTCACAAATTCAAATAAAGCCTCAAAATCTGCCAGTTTAATCGCTTTACTTGACTGGCTCGGTGGTCTAATGGTAGCTAATAATCAACGGGTCGTGGGTTTGACTTCCACCGGGTCCAAAATGTTTTTAATTTTTTCTGGAAGTCTGGATATTGGTGGTAAGGTCATGGGTGGTAGGGATATCGAAATTCCATCAGGCTGACGAGCCAAGTACATAAAGCGCTGAAGTTCAATCACGTTTCGGTTTCATTTGGTGGATTTCCGAACATCCAAAGCCAAAATAGGTCAAAGGAAGGGATTGGCGGGGCTTTCACCCCCACAAACCCAAGTTTACCTTCTGTCCTCTGTACCCACACACAATTTTCTGCTTCTTTAGTTTTCGTAAATAAGACCTCACGTGATTAACGAACTAGCTAACATGTTGCAGTCGATCGAGAGATACATATTATTATAATCATAATATGCATAAAATATGCTAGTGCGTCAGAGTTGCATGCATCAAATTAATTAAATTTTCAAATCGATCAATCAGATTATTTTTTTAATGCTAACGATACCTGCTGCTAGTCCACGTCAAAACTGCAAAATCTACTTTGACTAGGCTTATAATTTTAAAACTATAAATTTCCCAGATTCACTTTTAAAAGCCCAAATCAAATGTTTTATAAGCGTCTAGAACTAGAAACATAAAGGAGCTTTAGGTATAATACCAAGGAGTCAAATTTCAAGATCATTTATTTCTTTCTTTTTGTTAAAAGAGATTGTATAGTAATGGAAATTCCTTGGAAATATAAATATTGAATAACTTAATAGAATTGCAATATATACAATTGTAATATATTACCTTTAATTTAGATTTATGCACCACCTCATTGCTCTGTAACGACTCAAACGCATGCCAAATGCAATTAGTCACGTTTTTTAGTAACGCCGACATTTTACAACTGGCCACTCACACTAAACACGAATAAAACCTCTTTCGTTCATTAACACAGACGCGTCTGCGGGGCGCGCGTTCGATTTTCAAACTGGCATTCGTGATATCAAGAGGAAGTAGACAGGCGGAACGCGATAAGGCCGAGAGTACAATGTTATTAATTCGAAAATCGAACAAATGGTAATAAGGAAGCCTGTACTCTTATCTTACTTAAGAATATTTTTGACTATAAATGGACTTCTTACTTCAGTGCTTCTACTTAAAGTATATTACATTCTTAACACGTAATATGGATTATTGTATAAATTTTCCGAAAAATTGCATCTCTATTAGATTAATACAAAGTTTTAGTTAAGCAAACTTATATCCGTCACTTGTATTACTACTGGCAATAAATGTTCTTTAACCATATAAAGAGTTTCGACTGAATGTGACTCCCATAAAAACGGTTCTTGTGATTTGATCTTACATGATGGACACATGGACGTTTTGTTCGATTATCTAAAAAAGTAGGAAAAAGAGAAACAATCTTTCCCTCTTTTTTTAGGTATCCTTATCTGTGTTCGCAGTGCATGCAACGACAACCCTCCAAGTTGAATAATTTTCCTCGTTTTTTCATTATTGCCTCCGGGTTTTTTGCGCCCTCATTCAAAGCTTAAGCCTTTCTCGATTACTAGTCTAACCAACACAAAAACATTTTTTTTTAAATTCAAACGAGTAGTTCCTTAGATTCAAGCGTTCAAACAAAAAAAAAACTTACCTTTACATTATTAGGCAGTCATTCGTACGTTAAATAATGTTTTATACTTGCGTACCGTACAGGTTATAGTAACTTAAATAAGTGTGAACCGCGCTTTACGCATCGGCCTGTGCCCGATTGAAATAATTTATCTGATTCCCTGGTGTCGAATGCAGGACCTCGCGCAATGACGTTGGACGTAGTATAGTAAAAACATACATTGAACAATGATATTAGTAGGAGCAATATGCATCTCCCCGTGACCACGGGTACTGCAAAGCATCCAAAACGTCGGGCCGTAGTTAGAAATAAGTTTAACTAATGTATATTGCGTTGTCATTACAATTTTTAATTAAGTTTCACGCGTTACTGTGATAAAACGTCGTCTGCCTTCAAGATAATAATAATGTTACTCATCAAAACGTCGAGATGGCCTCAGTATTAGCCATATCCGTTCCGATGACTAACAGCGCCTTTGTCTGTTGCTATGGTCGATAATATGCATTGTAATCGCCTATTTGACTGAAAATATAGCGTCAATAACTGTTGAGAGCGTTAACTATAAGTTTAGATACAGTAAAACAATCACATATGTTAAAAATAATAAGTAGTTAATCTAATAAAAAATCCGCAATCAAAATGTACCATTTTAAACATTTGTCACGTGACACAAACGCCCCTAATTGGCCGGGTTTATGACGACTTCACTAGCTTATAAACGGTGTTATAAACCGCCGAGCTTTCTAGTGTTAAAACAGTCCTATTCTCTGCATTAATAAATGAAAACATTTGTAACTCATTTTATTACCTCAATCATTGTTAAAATTTAAATGTTTGGCATAGAATACAGATGCATACCAATGGCCAATATAAGGTCCAGACGTGCCGTGTTTCAGTGTTTGCTAAATTCGCGTTTAAGCGCGCAATTTAATTTTATATACTTCAGTAAATACATATCAGAATTCAAAATACTATACCTTCTCTGACCTACCAAATAAAAGGAAATAATAAATTCGTTTTTTTTATTGTTACATTAATTAAAAAAACAAATGTCTGGTGGAAATAGTATTAATAATTCACCAATTCTTGGAATTTAAATAAAACACTGATGAACTGATTTGAAAATGATTTTTAACTTCGGCCCGACGTTTCGGATGCTTTGCAGCAGCCGTGGTCACGGGGAGACATCTTGGAATTGTTTAAAATAATACTTATGCGAAACATGCATTCTCACCGAGTGTTGTTCGTTGACTCTAAGATATTGTATTACTAGGTTCAATTTCTCTAGTTATCTAAGCAAGACGGTGACACATCAGTGATTCAAACAATCAGCTGAGTGGGTTCGGCTTACACGCCTACAGTGCGCAACTTTCTTTATTTTGTCCTTCGATAACTTCTAGATAAATATGACATTAGTTGTTAAAGTTATTTAGACGTACGTCTATCACAAGAACCAGTGTTTATCTGAAAAACTATGATAGTGTGACAGATAAAAAATGTTCAGGTGTGTAACAAATATAAGAGTTTAAATTAAACGCGTAACGGTTTAAAACACAAAATATACTAATTAGTAGTGGCCATGGTCATGTGGCGACTCACTACGACCACGGCTGCTGCAAAGCGTCGGTCCTAATTAAATTGTGTTAATAATAAGTTAACGAAAATATTTCTAGTTTTAATCCGTTAAAAGTGTTTTATTATGTACCATTTTGACTTTTTTAGCCGATTACCGATACCGCTATGAAGACCTGTGAGCATGGATGCGTTCCAGACTTGGTCTGTTAGGTAAGCGTTTAGTTGTAGGGATGAAAAATCTCACTCAACCTAATTCGACTGGACTTTCAGTTTAGTCTCGAAAATATTCTAAATAGTTACCTATATTATTCCATTGATTGCTAAGCTTACTTATCTTATTTAAAAGTCTAAAAGGGATTTACAATGATCAGTGATAGATGATTACTGGATAGAGCATTCGCGGTTTGAAATGTAAAATAAAAGTTCCTCGGGATTATCTAGTACACTATCATTAGCTCGAATCGAGTACAATCTTCGAGGTCTTTTGACCAGGAACACCATCTCCCATATAAGAGCAAGTCATGCAAATGACTTCTATCGGAAGCGAACGAAGGTTGCGCCTTATTTGTAAATACGACCGCGTTTGAAATAATTCGTTATTTTTTTAATGAAAAAATATTTTAACTACAGCTTAATTGAAACAATACAATAGTTATGCGAAATGCATTTTTCAGTTTACCTATATATTTTTTGAAAAATTAATAAAAATAAATGGTGTTAATTATTGCAACATAATATTTAAATTATGTGTATGTAAATACTAACTGCAGTTTACGCGAGTAGTACACATTTTAATAAAACACTTTAACAGTTAAAATAATTTGTAAGTGAGTTTAACTAATACTTCGCGTTTTAAACCGTTAAAATGTTTTATTTAAACGTGTACTACTCGCGTAAACTACAGACAGCTCATATATTGTTTTCTATCTAAATATAATTTTAATTCTATACAAAATAATCCCATTATGATACTTTGCGCAAATGTATGTTGTTGACCCCCAGATAATTACTTGGGCCATCGTTATCGTCAAGATTGACTCTTTAGTTCCCAGCGCTGGGACTGAGGCTTCACAGGGTATATACGGTCGCTGGTATGGCGTATTTATTCCGCAGACTGTATTGATCGAAGCACGGCTAGCCCTTATTATTATGACCTTCCCGTTATTTTAGGACGCTGCTTAACCTACCTGCGATATATTTTTTCTAACCTGGCGTTTTTAGCAAGTTAGTCCTCACAAACTTTGAATTGATTTAATCTAAAAACACTATGAAACTCTGGATTATATTAAACTACTACAAATTCACTTAATTTTTCGTCGTTTCTAATGAATTTATAGTCCTGAAAAACTTTTGACATTGTCTGACAATTTGCATTTACACGAAATTAAGTGTTATAGTTATTAACTGAATTTTAAATAAAACACTTTAACGGTTTAAAACGCGATATATTAGTTAAACTTATTTGAAAATGATTTTTAACTTCGGCCCGACGTTTCGGATGCTTTGCAGCAGCCGTGGTCACGGGGAGACATCAAAATCATTTTCAAATAAGTTTAACTAATATATCGCGTTTTAAACCGTTAAAGTGTTTTATTTAAATGTGTACTACTCGCGTAAACTATAGACAACTGAATTTTATCAAGCAAAAAGCAGGACAAAATGTCGCGATCGCCATTTCTAAATAAAACAAGGATGTCTTTGGTTTAATTTATTACGTATATTCATTACATTTAGAGATAAAACGACGAAACTGACAATTACCGAATAGTACACGTTGTACAGATTGAATTAGCGAAATGTAACTACACTACGGGCATGACAAGATAATGGAATCCCCACTACACTAAATACTAATAGTTCACGTCAAGCCTGGTACGATTTGAATAAAGCGTGTATAAAGAAAACCTAATGAATCTAACATACATTTTGTTATATTGATATAAAAGACATATACAGACATATAACACAGGTGTAAACCACATACAGTTTGAATGTCAATCAATCGGGAGCATGGCCTAAAGAAGTTAACTAATCTAGGGCCCATCCATTTAGTATGTAAGACGGTTTAATGGGGAGTGCAAGGGGAGGTTTGAGGTTAACAATGTCTTATTACTTCTTACAAGGGCAAAGAAGAGAGTCGTACTAGATCGTACGTAAAATGAAACTAACAAATACGCGATATTTAAATTATTACTGTTGACTGAGTAATAAATAATTAAAAATAAACTCCAATCTTGAAAGTGGTTTTCTTTACACACGTCCCAATATCTAGTGACATTTTTGGATATAATACATATTTTAAGCAAGAGATTACCTACACTTATTAATATAATAAAAAGAATATCTAAGTACCCTTCAGTTTCCCAAACATCACGCGTATTATTCTAAAATTAAATTATCCGTGCCTAACGAATGGAGGTAGTTTCATATTTCTTGTCTCTGTTGGAAATCATGTTAAATCGTAAATGGGCGCTTATATTTAATCTTAAATAAAAGAAAATAGTGTTCTTAAATCAATTACACCTGCTAATGTGAAACTACCTCCAGTTAAACAGGCACAACTAATGTATAAAAACTCTACGGAATACAACGGAATGTAAAACGAGATAATAAGTATTCACACAACAAATTAATTGCAAAGTATTTATATATTGTGTTGTAGTTGTGTAGCAAAGTGTATCTTAAAAATAGTAAAATTTTCATTAAATAAGATAACGAACGAACCCTCCTAATCTTGGAGCGGACGATACCAAGAAAAATCTTTGGCCTAACAAAGAGCTATACAATATCCACCAATATCGTCAAATTAATTTCAAGCAACAGACAAAGATTTTGACATGTGCGCAGAATGGCGAACGTAAGAGCCCCAAGGTCTTGGCTCTCAACCAGGAGGTAATCGAAGCCACCCAGTCTGTGGTCGTGGGATAGAATTAAGAAGGACCTAAAATCTTAGGTGCCCAATAGATCTAGAATAGATCGCTATTGCAGCGACTAGGCCAGTCCGTGTCCACGAGAGGCTGTATAGCCATTGATGATTATGACGTTGGCCATGTGATAAAATATAGAAGTGAACGTCTCTTATTTATTGAGAATATACCACACTTATCTAACATAATTATAATTATATTAAGCGCAGGTTGATTTAACACTACTAAGTACAAACACTTAAATTAAAAATATTTACAAAACGACCATCAATAAATAAATTTACAATTGTAAAAAAATTAAAAAATTAATATTTTACAATTTGGTTATCAGACGCAAAAATAATAAGCATTGATAAACGAGTATCTTTGACTCAGTAGATTTTTAAATACTAACTCACATAAAGCAATCTTCAGAAGCTAACAGATTACAGAAATAGCATTCTTCCATTTTGTTTTGAGTTACAATGACAAAAAAACTATAAATAAAAAAAAAATATTTAAACTACTACACATACTAACTACACCTCAATATAAATAATTAATTATAACTAATTAGAAATAATTCTTATTTAATTTGAAAATAATTTGATTTAACCAACAGGGCATCTTTACTTTCCCATCTTTCCATTGAAAAGTTAAAAAATTAAATAATTTTCAGTGAAAACCCTCTATTGTGGTAACACTGAACTGAAGTAGTCATCCTTAAATTAATGCATACAGGTATCTGAGGTGATGTAAAAAGATATACCTTATTAGAAACAAATACAAGCTTTTATATACCTGATGTAAAACATATGTATCTAGATACTATTTAAATAAAACACTTTAACAGTTTAAAACGCGATATATTAGTTAAATTTATTTGAAAACGATTCTTGAGTCTCCCCGTGACCACGGCTGCAAAGCATCCTAAACGTCGTCGGGCCGAAGCTAAAAATCATTTTCAAATAAGTTTAACTAATATATCGCGTTTTAAACCGTTAAAGTGTTTTATTTAAACGTGTACTACCCGCGTAAACTATACAGTATTTAATCTAGATATTAGATCAATACATATATGACAGGCAAATTTATATTTGAATTTTACGGCAGTTACGCCATTTTTTCTTATGAAAAAATATCACCTGTATGCACTAATCCTTACAAGAACGCACGCACTTTATAGAGAAACAAACATACACATATAACATTAAATTGGATTCTAGAGGTTGACTAGGTTTTGTCACAGAAATGTCTCTTACGCTATGAGTACATTGAGTTTAAAATTACTTTGTGCCGCCCCACCGTGGCTGTAAGCTGACTGCGGAGACAACTTCGGAATAGTGTTAGTGATCTTCAAAGCCAGTGACCAGTAAAGGTCATTATGAAAACAAATGAACAAATATTAAACTGCGCAATGTAGTGCTACAAAGTCAAAATTTGAGCGGTGTATTGCGACGATAAATTAAAGAATTTGGTTTACATTGCGTGCTTAAAGTATTTTTTTTTTAAACATAGATGGTCAGTGCTATTTGAGTTTTGTGGTTAATACTTTGATTATTATGAAACACTTTGACAATTATACGAATTATTAAACACGTAGAAGATGCACCAACACTATTTCAATGTCATCTTTAAATTAATGTCAAACCACGCAGTATTTTTTTTCACAGATTTTTTAAACATTTTAATCTGCGGGTTTTGTAGAAGTGGGTCAAATAAGAAATGTTAACACACATTTCACATATAATCCACTTCTGATAAGGAAAGGAATAAAGTTTTAAACATCCTGCCTTTTAGAATCGAAAACCGATTATAATTGTGATATCGATTACTTATCGAATTGTAGATTCAAAATGGCGCATTCAGGAAAGGGTTAAGTACTTTTAATAAAATAATATTGTAATATTATTAACTATGTAACAAATAAGGGCGGTCTATTCTTGACTAAAATCACACTAAGTTTTGTGGGTAGAATTACAAGTTTTAGTTAAGTTATAGTATTGAAATTTCTATCAAGATTAGACCTTAGGAAAAGCTTTCTAATTAAGCAAACGAAGTGAAGCTAACAATGTACGTAATACAAAAGCTGAAAGGCATATTTCAAACAGTACAAAACGTACATATAAGGTATATCGTCAGTCTGTTCAACCCGACTGCGTCGGTTAACGTAAAAAGGGACCCTGTATAGGAACTTAGCACATAATAATCGATTTTCGATTCGACTTCAAAAGTCCCAATCGAATTGAGCACTTTGACACATCTAAAAGTGTCATTTAAAACTCTGGAATTAAAGCTGACGTTTTCGTACTCCCGAGTCAAATATGACTCGCTACTATAAAAACGTTTCAAATATTGACGGTCAAAACTCGACCCATATTCGATTCGATGCAGAATGTTTAAAACGTTAACGAGTCGTTTTCTACCAGATGAAGAGTAGGTGAGAAAAGTTTTTGAGGGTAGATCGAGGCAATGAGCGAGCGAGATGGTGGGGCGCGAGTGAGAGAGAGGTCGCTAGGGTATTACTGGCGGTTCTGTTGGCGATACGGGTCACCGCGAACCGCCGCGGCCTCGCCTTCCCGGCTTGCCGCGTCGATTGAAGCCCCTGCGGGAAACATAATTTTAAATCTGTTTAGTTCTTTAATCTTTATACAGGTTTTATTATTTCATTAAGAGTTGCACGACAACAATTCAAAAGCCTAATGTAACTGTGCTGTTATTCGGTGTTTCTGTATGTATAGAGGTTTCAGAAGGTTAATCTAGCACAAGTAGTTAAATAATAAAAAAAAAATATTATATATAGCAGGTTTATAAATGTAAAAAATACCATGTACATACTACATCATCTAAAATGTTTTTGTGTTGTCGCTATATATCAATCTTTCTGCAATGTCTCACTTGTAAAAGGTTCACCTTAGCCGATAGGGAGGGCGTGTGGGCGAAGCAGGGGCGCCGGAAGCAGAGTTTCCTGTGGTACGGACGCTGGTAGATGTCTCCGGTCGGGGTGCGCTTTGGGTACCGCTGGTGGATGACTTCGGCTCCTTAAATTATTTATTATGTGAAGTAAGAAATGTCAACGTCAACTGTTGACAATTCTTTGTACTTTTATATTGACAGATTTGAGACTGTCAAAATTTAAAGTACAAAAAGGTTGTTACTTAAACTTTCCCGCTAAAATCATATGGCATGTGTAAAAATATGTGCATGAAATATTTTCATTATTATATTATCCAAGACACAGATTATTTTTTTTCTTATTGTAAGTAGTTTCTTACCTGCTGGTCTGCTGGGTCAGTGATGATGAGCGGTGGTGGTTCGGTATCACCGATTCCAATGACTCCACCACGCGAAATTTGGTGAGCCATCAGTGCAGCCATGCGTTCTTGCATAGACTAGAACAACACAGTAATAATAAATAATAATACTTACAAGCAAAATAGCACATAGTTGAATATCAAAGAAAAATATGTTTAAACATATAATAGATGATATTGGGTTGCTTATAATATAGATATATTTGCTTTTTAGAAAATACTGTGAACAGCAAAGTAGCTAATATGCTCACCCTAATTTCATCAGTTAGATGAAAAGGTTGAGCATCAATCGATTCGACAGGTGGTGGTGCCAGCTTCAGGTCATCTACATTGAACTGCACAGTTGAACGGCATACTGGACAGGTTTGCTGTAAGAAATTAAATAAATAAAATGTATAACCTGTAAGGGAACAGAGCAGAATGCATGCTATTGGCATATTTTTAGCATGTTATTGGAGTAGTTTGTACTATTTGGTTTCACTATTTCGGCGGGCTCGTTGGATTAATAGTAACAATGTATGGCTTATAAACAACGGGCAATGAGTTCGATTCCGTTACCAACATGTTGCAATTTTTAATTTTTCTGACTTTGTTCGAAATCTGGATATTAACTGGGTGGTAGGAATATCAAAATTCTGTCCGCGTCACAGATGAAAAAGCCGTAAACATTAATCGCATTACGGTTTCAGTCTGTGGATTTCCGAATATCCAAAGCCAAAATAGCTCAACAGTGCAACTTGCTTAAATGATGATACATCACCTCCCATCAAGTGAATCCTGCATATAAAAAAAAATACTAACATTAAGAACCTAACCAAAAAGATTTATTGATGTGCAATAGAGTTTACCCAGTGTGTACGTACTTGGTATGCTTTAGCTTCCATCCTTTGCCAAGCGGGTAACTTATCAAGTTCCTCTTCATAATACTTCTTCCCAGCAATGAAGTGCTTCGACAGACACTGGCTGTGGAAGTAGTGGAAGCATGGTGTCTTGATGAAGATGTCGCCTTGCACGAACCCGTGTAGGCAGATGACGCACTGCCCACGCGGTAGATTGCACTGGGTCAGGCATTCCCTTACCATCTGAAAGATATTTAATAAATTAAGAAGAGAATTGGCATACAGTTGACCAGAAGTCTGTTCTATTATGTTTTCCAGGAAACCCAGGATCACTGGCACGAATGGCAATGCTAAGTAACGTGTTGACCCATTAAGCCATGGAGGTGGAGGAGATGAATTAATTAGAAAGAAATAGCCATGTCTAAACTATAAATGAGCACTTTTCTATAAAAAATACTCCTCAATAGCTAGGTTAAGGGCTTTTTTTAGTACAACCAAATCCACCAATACCAAAAAAAAAATCTTATTATTCAATTGTTCTAATAAACTGTTCTAAAAAGAAGTGTATTTTTGGTATATGTTATTAATATTTTGCAAAATTCTACATTTTTTTAAATGTATATGCATATATTATGTACTTTGTTGCACTTCAATCCTCCTCCATAGCTTGATGGTTAAACATAATATTTAACCTTGCATTGCATAAACCACAAGTGTTTCTGTGTTTGAATAAGAAATTACTATTATAGAATTAATCAGTGTAAAAACACACAAACATGTTTACCCCATGCCCTATATGGGGAAATGGGATTTCACTTAAGTGGCTTTCTAATTCTTAGGGTAATTAAATAAAATATAGACAATACATAAATAAGCATTGAACATTCCATTCAGGGAACGAACAAAAATCACTGCAGAATTCTAGATATATTGAAATTTTTCATTCATTTATATTTGCGTTTTGTTCATTAGCGTTTGCTGACAATAGGCTAGGTTGAGGGCACAATTTAGCCTTTGTAGCAATATCTAGGTCATACAGAACCTGTTGCATAAACTATGTGATAAAGACGTTATTTTTATGTGTCTTATTAAGGGATTCTGTTTGTCCTATTTATTTTTATATGAAAAATTTCGCAGAGCTAGTTACAAGTAAATATAATTATTAACAATAATAACAATTGGTACATACATAGTGCCTACTTAGTAAGTATAAGTTGCTTGCAGTCTAAAAGTCTACTTTAAAAATACATGTAATAATTAAAATTTAGATTATATAATCAAATATATAATTACAGAAGAAAAAATACTATACTACTAATAAAAATACTATATATAATAGTGTTTTGCTATAGATGATAAATATAGTGTGGGTAATTGGAAAGAAGCTATATTCATTTTAAATATATAAGGTTGTGAAGTCTTTAAAGATCTAGGCAACAGCTATACAAATCAATAAAATACACACCTCAATCAGTTCATAAACAATAAGGTGGCCAATATTTTCATTTAGTTTGTCTTCAATATCCGACTGCATGCAAGACAGGATTCTATCATCAAGCCCTCGCGGGTTCCTCATGATAACCTTGGGACTAGTCTCCGGGTAGTCTGGAGACAGGCAAATTTCCAGGGTCAAACGTACATACTGCTCGTCCGTATTATCACAAGTGGACGGGAGTACGTTCATTTCGACACCTTTCGGTACACCATCTTCCCATTTAATTATTATATCCGGCGAGAATATCGCTTCAAGTGCTTGTAACTCCTCAAATACTCTGAAATATGATAATCAAAGTGATAACCGCAAATTTTCTAAGAAAATTGTTGAATTAAAATGGAAAAATATAGACCTCTCGTCAACGTTAGCGGCCGACATGGTGATATAGCGCAAACTGGCCCAAATTTTATCCGGGGCTCTGGGAGCTAGCCTTTTTTTTAGTGCATTAAGTTCAGGCAGGCGCAATGCAGTCGCTGCAGCTAACAGCTGGTTCTCCGAATCCCAAGGCTCAGCAAAAATCAATCTTGATATCTCGCGCACAGATAACCATATATTTACTTTGTGCTGCCAAAGTGCCAACTCAGACAGACAACATAACGAGAACGTCAAATGCTACTGTCAACGAGTGGTGTTAACAACAAAATATTTTAAACATAGATTAAAACTTACCACAGATTATAAATCATGATGAGATCAATACAAAGTCTCTTAAGAAAATATCTTATTCTCTAGCTATTTCGCTCTAGTTGTGCCAGTGGCTTCGTGCGCTTAGAATATTTGTTAAAGTTGGCAAACTTCAGTTTTATAATATAGTATAGATTATCAGCGGATGTAATAAAACACACAGTAGAAGTATTTTTATACAAAAGTATATTTAAAAATAATACCATAGTATTAACTCATACTTTTTAAAGAAAAGCTTAAACAATAATATACTTGTTATTTTTGTTATGTATTTTTTTAAAGATTATTGCATCTGTTAGCACGTTAGGGTAGGTAAAATCAATGACTAGCTTAATTTCCTTATTCAAGATAATGAGTTACAAGTTTCCATGAGTCTTATTTATCAGAGAAGGTAGTAGTGGAATACATTAGTAATTGTCGCTTCTGTTTGATGAAATTCGCATTCTCATACTATTGCCATTTATTCTATATTCACTGTTGGTGTTAACAGCACTGAATTTTCTAAAAAAAAAAACAGATTATTTTATTTTAAATTTATAATAAAGCTACTTCAAAAGCCTTATATTCTGAAGTTAAAACTACTATTCGTTTTATGAACGAAACGTTAGAACATTTGTCTAATTTAAACACAATTAGATTCTACTAAGAGTTTTTTTTATTTTATTGCTATATATAAAAAAAACATGGCATATCACATATATAAATATTATTTTATTGTTCTTTGTTTTCACTTACCTCTTTTGTGTAATGTCTAACCAAATACGTTTCTTGCACACAAGTACAACGAAGAACGCGACCCCCATAAATCCATTATACAGGTCGAAGATAAACAAAAAGTTCTTTAAATTCTCACCCGGAGTTACATGGCTCACTATCTCTAGTAACCAGGATATTCCCATTACTATTGAAAGCTTCAAGACAACTAGCAACCTAAATTAAAAATAGAGTAATACGTTGATTAACTTTTCATTAAAATCTGTAGTTTACGCGGTTTAAAACGATATATATTATGAGTTAAACTTATTATTATTGAAAATTATTTTTAGCATCCGAAACGTCGGGACCTAGTTAGAATCGTTTTTAAACAAGCTTAACTAATATATATCGCGTTTAAACCATTTAAGTGTTTATTTAAAGTTTACATTGTACCTAAGTTTTAAAATCGTTTAGGAATTATACTTAAGCCTAATATACAACTACAAAGTTGTTAATTGTTGTTAATTAAAAGATTACAAAAAAAATCGATGACACTGCGAGCTTTGAACCCACTTCTACGGCGTTACGTGTTGTTATCTTTTAATTTATACAAAACTATCATATGCATGCAATAACATGTGAAAATGATTAAGTTTCAACAATTTTACATTACGAAGAAAAAGAACAAATCTCCTCTACTTACCTAAGCTTTAAGGTTTTGGCGTCTTCAATAACGACTCTAGTTTCTGTAATATTAATCCACAGATTATACGCTGTCATTATAAAGAATGTCCAATTGCTTGCAATTAAAATTATCATCGGTAGGTCTAAATACAACAACATTTCGTTTCCTGAAATAGCGAAATAATAAGGAAAATAACAGATTGGTGAGGACGGGAATATCGTGTGAACTCAAGGGCATGAACGCATGGCAAAGTTTTATACATTATATAATGAAAACCTCTGAACGGATTGTCAAGTGCGGCGGTTAGCGAAGGAGTAAAAATATTTATTATTAAGTATTTTTTTTTAATCATTTTAAAATATATATTACGACGATTCAGCAAAGTCATGTGGTAAGGTGGTGTACGTGAAAATTGTTTTGTTCTGAAACATGTTGGATTTCGTCTACAAATCTAGATATTAAATCGGTGGTAGTCATATCGAATCACCGTCCACAGATGAAAAAGCCTTGAAGTTAATCGCGTTACGCTTTCAGTCTATGGATTTCCGAAAATCCAAAGACAAGTCGACAGCTCATCTTGTGATGCTCTATGCCTGGGGTATTTCGTCTACCATCAAGTGAATGTCTTTAATATAAAGAATAAAACCGGTCAATGTAACACGCTCATAAAGTCTGTTTTACTTTTATTTAATTTGTAGACCTTGTTAACTCCTAGTACTATTACTAGTAGTTATTCTTTTTTATATAATAATTATCTGTACTATAATTATTTTTAATTCATATCATGCACTGAGATCTGCTAACTACTAAGATATGTTTTCTCTAATTTGAAGTCGGGTAATCACGGATAACATACACCTAATGACGTCAAAAAGAATATGGCGCCTCTAGAAGCAGAGTAGCCTAACTGTATTTATATGATTTGAGTTATTTACATTTCCATAGTCTAAAAATGTTGATCTACAAGAGCACAGGGACCAAAAATTTTCAACATATTTCTAACACAAATTATAGTACAAATTATTTTTCGCCTAAGTTAATTGCGCATTTTTATTTTCCTACTTAATGATAATCATGTTTTTGTTATTAGGCCACTCTGCCTGTAGCTTCATATCATATCTTATGTCCTCACCTGATAGGAAACATCCATAACGTAAGATGTTTGGTCTGATAAACCAAGCGGCTCTATGCTCCAAGTCCACGTTATCGACGATGACCAGGAAAACAGTCATCAGTAGCGGTGTTCCCCAAGCGTATAGGGAATATTTCAAAAAGGCCTTGTTTTCTTTTTTTCTATTCTGTACAATGCGGTTGTAGTTATTCTTTGCGGCCTGTTCAAATATGTGTCTGTAATGTTTTTATGTTTTTAGTTAATAAGTACGACATGAAAGAATTTCTATAGAAGTTAATTTAAAAGTTTACATTTTAATAAATTGTAATATTTAATATACGAGACAAGTGCCATAACGCGTTATGTAACGAAATGTCTCTCTTAGTTACGTAACACGGTAGTTATAACGTCATATGAGAGAAGGAAAGTTAAAACTATGAAGAGTACCGGTGGACATTATAGCTAGAGCTATAATAATGTATAAAGTTTTACTAGGTTTGATTCCTAGCGAACATTCCTTTTGTAAGCATAGGTTTATTATTTATGTGAGGCACTAACAAGAGTTTCTTTAAGCTTTTCTCGATATTATTTGACTATAGACTTTGGTTAGTGAGTGATAATAGTAGAAAATAGTTTAAATATATTCTAACAATACTACTAAGTTTGGATTATTCTATTATTTACCTATTATCTCGCCACATCTTAAAGGCATGTGCGTTCATCCAAAAGAAACTTGATAACCAAAAGAAGTAGAAGAGTGACGCTGTAATCAGAGTATTATAATTTTACTTTGAAATTAAGAAAAAGTTAAAGTAAAAAGGAAAGTTACGCCCTGAAGATATACGAATTAACACAATCTCAAAGACAAATAAAATAATTAAGCTAAAGTGAGTACACGCAGATATCGTAGGGTCGGGAGTTCGATCTTCGGTTTGCTACCAACTGCTAAGGGCCGTTGCTATTCGTCTCAGCCATATTGATTTATTTTTAGGACGAATCATCGCGCGGAAAATCTTAATAGCGCTTTTCAGAGAGTAAATTGTACATAAAACAAATGAGTCATTATGACAATGACATTAGCATGTCATTATGACAGTGACATTTACTACAATACAGATTATAAATGCTAATGATTATACACGTTGATTACATTTTGTAATAAAAATTATACTTACTTGATGTATAACAATATAGTGAGCTTAGTGATGTAGAAGTAACGATTACTGTTATGTGCTTGATCGCCAGCGTAAGAAACGAACCCAAAAGGCTAACGATGCAAGATATTGTGATTTTTCCGTTGAAATTACGTAGCCGTGGCACCAATATGTATACCACTATGATCAGGAGAAAGAATAGACAAGATATGAGCAATGCTGAAAATAAACGTATTTATTAATGTACATGTAAATTATTAGACGGTATAAATCTTCTCAAAAGCTTACAACTTACAAAAACCAGGTGGAATAAATGGGACAGGACTTTCACAACATTGTGCATAATATTTAATACGCATTGTATATTTTAAAAGTACCAACAACAAAGTCAAAACTAAAAAATCTTACAATAGGTTCAAAAATTCGACGATGACGTGTAGGACTCGATAGCTCAATTGGTTAGAGCACGTGTATGCCGCATCAAATAGTATTTTTTTCAAATTATAGTCGATTTTTAATTTATAGAGTGCCATTATGTTCAATAACATGTAAAAAATATAAAAGCCAAAAAAAATAGTAATTCTTTCCAATCTTTTATTTATTTATGTGATGAAGGCTTATTTAATATTATATTATTTTTAAAAGTACATACAAGCTGCTACTCTATCAACGTACACAGTCTGTTGTGGGATCGACAACCACCGTTGACATATATTTTTTATTTCTTCTAATTGCATTTCTATTTATTAATTACTATAGCATTTCTTTAAAGACATCGAATGTTAAGTTATAAGGGCCTGTATTTTGTCCTTGGTTCAAATTATGTTTCTTTAAGCTTTACTAAAAGAAAATCGATCCGCTACATTACTAATACGAATATCCATTGCATTAACTTGGTTAGTTACAAAGCTTTTAAATGTATATTAGAAATTAAAAAATAATTAGAAAAAATATACCAAACACGGCGGGTACTTACAAATTATTGGAAAATAGTTCACATCCTGAGTTGATTCTTCATAGTCAGTAGTATTTGTATTTGTTATAAGAAAGAATCTCGGCTTCACGTCATGCTCACTTATTTCGAGTTGCTCTATGCAAAACTCATTCTTTTCGGCGAAGTCATAACCATCTATTACATCACCAGTCTGAAAATAAATAATATATAATAAGTAAATACAACGTCTTGTGCAATAAGCGCAAGAGGACCTGGGTGCGACGTCGAAAGAAATAAGTAATTTCAAATTTCAAAAACAGGAAACCCCAGATAAACCATTGTTCTTATACAAAATACTGTGTGCATGTATTTTACGTCAAAACAACTATTACAAAGTATTGTCAGTAGTTCAGGCGGGTAATACCCATTTAAATAAAACACGTTTAACGGTATAATAACCACGAAATATATCAACTTATATTGATATTGTTTTTTAATAAACACCCATCATCTTCAGTCCCCCACGAGACCGTGGCTACTGGAAAGCAACGTCGTGATTAAAAAAAAGTAAACAAAAAGATTACGCGTTTTAAACCGTCAAAATTTTTTTATTACTACTACTGTCACTTCTTGGGTCAAAGTGATTTTTACGTTCTTATCTTTGGCCGATATTGCTTTCAGCTGATATTTTTCCCACAAAAAGGGGCCCTGAATGTAGTTGTTTGTTTTTAGCAGTTAATATCATCCCAATTATAGTCACACAGTTGGGAAATTTACACTACCTTACATAAGAAAAGAAAAAAATGATACTTACGTATAACAACTGGGCGTTCTCAAGCAACTTTCCAGCAATTATCGACGAGTTGTACACAAGATGAAAAGCATCGTAAAACGACTCATCATTCTTGAAAATCCTACTCCCTTCGACACTATGCACGGGAACGTTGGAGAAATTGTGATTGGCCAAATCGGGAACACAACTTGTGTTACGCAAGTGGAAGCCATTTGTGCAGCACTTGAACAGATCTTCTTGTAACGTAGTATGTACGATCACAAACGACACGGTGACATATAGTGTTGCACGTGACATAGTTGTAGCTGTAATGACTAAGTTCGATATTAAATTGCTCATACAAGTTTCCCCGCGTTTATCAATTGTGGCTATTGCAAATGGCGGTCTAATTTCGTACTAAGGAATTTTTGTAAAGCGGGCATTTTTGTGGGCTACTCTCGGTAAACACTCGGTTTAATGAGTAGGTTAAACTATAACTCCATTTATGAAGCACTCGTAAAATAATGCGTATCTAAATATATCTTCGCTGTAACCATTCTTAATTTCTATTTCTTATAAAAACAATACGAAAGTGTGTTTGTTCATTTGTTTTTAACGCTGAAACTGAGCAAGAGATCCTTTGAAGTATTATAATTTTAACAAAAAGTAACCTTAAATAAGTCAGTACCTATGTTTAAGAGAATTAATTATTTCTTTTAAAATTTTCAATATTTTAATAACATAATTTTGAAGTCGGTGCAAGAAATACAATAGTTTAGAGAGAACTGTTTTGTTATATGAAACTAAATAATTAAAATTAAGTAATCAATTATGATGTATATATTTTAATTTCTATAAATCATTTAATTGTTTATTTTTTCTGTATTTTAAATACAGGTGAAGACGTGTTCAAATCTAGTAAAATTTGTAAGCAGTAAACTTTTCCAGAGTAGGCGTGTCGATCTGAGAACTATGGACGCGTAATACGCCATAGTTATTGAGTACTTATTTATAGCTGTGTATACAATGGTCAACCGTCACGTCTGCGAGTCCTGAGTTTATTAAATTTATAAATTTAACGGAATTTATAGAAATATATGTTGCTAATGTCTGTATACTAGCGGATTTCAACCTGTTTAGGTTTTTTTAAAGTAAGAATATATGATTGGCTCTTTTGTCAATGGCTTTTATCCCCATCAGAGTCAGCGCCTTTTTAAACAATTTATATATTTATGAAACACCCAGATTTAGAGGAAGGATATTATGAATATCGTTATCGAGACATGAAAAAAGCCGTGAAATTTAATCGCGTCTCGTTTTTAGTCAATGGATTTCCAAATGTCCAAAACAATGTTGGAATATTTTATATTCCATCTAGTGGACCCCATGCTTGTTTATCCTAGCATTAAAGTCATGTAAGCTTATCGCATATTTTATTCTTGAAATATTCGCGGAATACATACATATTTGCAGGGACGAACGACGGCAAAAGCTGTTGTATACAGACTATAGACAACAAACTTACTATTGGAAATTATATTTGTGTGTATCCGAAACGTCGTAATTAAAATAAGTTTACTAATATATTTCGCGTTTTAAACTGTTAAAGTGTTTTATTTAAACTATGTGTGTGTTAAGTAAATATTATTTTTCAGAGTGTTGCGTCATAACCTGCGATAGTCATAACCTTCCAATTTTCCCACTGTTAACTTATATTTTAATTCCAATGTACACAGTTATAGTGTCATCATAGTTTTAATTAAACATGTTTGTTAATATGTAAATTTTAGGTCCTATGGGGTATAACCTGCTAAAATCAAAGCCCATTAAATAAAGATCTAATAAAACTAATCCAAATAAGCTGGTATCTTAATAATTTGTAACTTAACGATTCTTCAATGACGTAAGTTATCAAACCCGTCAAGATATCTCATAACGGTCACGCTTGCGTAGGTTCCATACGTCATATTTTTTATTCACAATCATTTTGCTTTAAAATGTCTTGTATTTATACAATTTGGTTTGAGTCACGGAACTGTTTTTCCTGTTCCATCTTGAATCTTATGTCAATCGATTTTTGTACTTATCTCTGCCGAGCGGAAGGAAAACATGGCCAAATCAAGATGAGTCATTGCCAAGTTGCATTGATGTGAAATAATCCTTCTAGCAAACAACGAAAATGGCTACTATATAAAAAGTGAAATCGTCTATAGTCAGTATACACATTTAAATAAAACCTTTAACGGTTTAAAACGCATATATTAGTTACACTTATTTAGTTCCCTACCTCTACTCAACGTCGGGCAAGTTAAAAATCATTTTCAAATAAGTTTAACTAAAATTTTATATATCGCGTTTTAAACCGTTAAAGTGTTTTATTTAAAAGTGAAATACCGTTCGCGGGGCGAACACATTTCTGCGTCCGTTTCACTGATCGGTTTTATTTACAGGCAAGTAGTTGAACAGACTCCTGTGCCCTGTCCGAAATAATTTTCTGTCTCCCCGGGATTCGAACCCAGGAGTTCTCGTGCTTAGCACAATTCTAGACAACACGTTTAACGATGTAGCTACAGAGGCGGTTATATAAAACAAAGGAAGACTAATAAAGTAAAATTAGTTACTTATCGTACCATCGATTGATAATAGTTATAATATTATTTACTTAACAAATACAAAATCACCTTTCAAACCTAAGTTTTATTTTTTGTAACAACTGGCGAGAACTACTACAGTTGTTTTATTAACATGATTATTTTTTATTATCATTTTACTTCCGGACGACACTGTATTACTGATTTTAAGATATTCAATATGTTGTAAGGCTATATATTATTCCGAATGTAATCTCAAGTACTCCACCGTTAGACTTATGTTGTACATTGTACATGTGTACTGACAGTATGTGTGTATGTTTATACATAAATATATTAGTTGTGCCCGCGACTTCGTTCGCGTGGAATAGTGAGTAAGAGCGAGAGTTTTTAATTATTTAGGCTGTTTATTAATTTATGTAATTGCGCATTTATCGCCGCCAATATATGTTGTAAGTGCTACTTTGACGCAACACTTTCACCTTACATCACTCTACTCTAACTCCCACTCTCACTCTCATTCCCACCCCCACTCCCATTCCTATTCCCAAAAAGCCAAAGAAGAAAGTTTCATTGTTCTAGCTTCAAAAACCACGAATTTCCATACAAACTTTCATCCCCCCTTTTAACCCCTCACAACACCCTTTTCGCAATAAAAATAGAATGTTCTTTCTCAGGGTCTAAACCATCTGTATACCAAATTTCATTCAAATCCGTTTTGTAGTTTTGGCGTGGAAGGGTAACAGACAGACAGACAGGGGTTTTTTCGCCTTTTTAATATTTTGGAGGGGAAATTTTTTTTATTTACTTTTAGGATATTACTTACTTTTCTCCAAATGACGTTGTGCCTATCTCCAGGTACATCAAAAGCTGCGTGGTGTCTTTTCACATTTATCAATTTTATTATTTATTTTAAGGTTACATATGGATTCTTTTTATAATAGTTAATATTTATGTTTAGAATGTCCAATTTAATTAGATTACGACACAGTATTCAAAACTATGCTCTCGCACATGTTCAAAGAGTTTCGTTCACCACAAACCACAAACTAAATCTGTAACTTGTTCCACAGATTAAATTCGAGACCGTTTGACTGTTGGGTTTTATCCACGGCAAAAGATGCCGCTTGTAACTTTTGACTTGATGTGAACTAAATACTTTCTTTTAGTCTTTCCATGCGAGACTCCTTAATTCGCTGTAGGGCTCCTTCTTCCTAAAATCTATACGAATATATAAAGCTGAAGATTTGATTACTTTTAAAAATTAAATAAAAACTTTAAGTTTACAACGCGATATATTAGTGAAAATATTTTTTGATGAATGAGTCTCCCCGTGACCACGCTGCTGCAAACATCCAAACGTCGGGCGAAGTTAAAAATCATTAGTTACTACTCCTAAACTATAACAGTTTTAGTTTGTATACGTTAATCTTAAATCTACTGGTTCGAATTGAAGAAATCTTTTCGCATTAGTGCATATATTTATTAAGGAAGGTGTTACCACAAACATTTCATCCCAGGAGAATATACAGTGGAAAATGTGGCAGACACGGAGAAAATTATTCATATTTAAGGGTTACTTTCGTTTGAAAAGGTTTAATGATCTCAAAATGGTCCATCCATTTATTTTCTTTCAAGATTAACTTCAATAACGACGAGACGCGGAGACGTTGTACAGATATAATTACAAAGATGAGGAGGTTTGCAAAAACAAATTTTGACGCCCAAAACAACTCCGGACGTACTAACTTGACATAATAACAGTTTGTAGAAGAATACTTCAATATAAGTGATAAGCTATATCTATAAGTAGACCGGTACGATATTAAGCGGGCTCGTTTGTGTAATGATAACAGTGTATGGCTAATAATCAACGGGCCGTGGGTTCGATTCCGGTCCAACAACATTCTGGTCAACACTTTAACGGTTTGAAATGCGATATATTAGTTAAACTTATTTAGTCTCCCCGTGACCAAGGCTGCTGCAAAGCATCCGAAACGCCGGGCCCAAGTTAAAAATAATTTTCAAAAAGCTTCTATATATCGCGTTTTAAACCGTTAAAGTGTTTTATTTAAATGTGTACTACTCACGTAAGCTATAGACAGTATTTAATACAATATCGTATTTGATAACCTCAGAATTGGTAAAATTTTGCAGACACTCTCTGAGATCAAATTAAAATAAAAAAGATTAATATTGTTCAAGATATCTTATAAATATTACTACTTATGAATATTATACATATATTAACCACCTACTGGATTTAAACAAGCGATTTTTCCTGTTCAGTCAGAGTTCCCATCTCAGACATTCAAGACGTCGTTTGAGAACCTGTTATTCGTGTAGCATGTTATTCGTGCGAATTCAAAATGTATCGCCTTATAGTATTAATAATTTTATCCCATATTCATTTTGTATGTTCATCTATAGCCACTAACGACATCAACAGATATAAATACAACTGTACTCAAAAAGACGGCGAATGCGCTAAGCAAAAAATTCACGTAGATTTCGAATTGTGTTCGTCAAAAAGTATGTATTTATAAATGTTGTTTGAAGGGTGAAGTTGTGAACGGGACCGAGTGTGTTAGGGCGAGCAGTGGCGATTTTTCCAGTGTTAGTGTGTATGACTATTATTTATACAAAACGGATAAGAAGCTGAGTGATGCGTTCCACGTTGTTACGAATAAGTTCGGCAATCGGGATTTCGCTGAGGCAGCGTATTATGCGACTTATATCGGCGGTGATGTGTACTTGGAAGAGGTGAGAAAAAAATATTGTCCTGGGTATAATGTAAGGAGTAGTGCTAGACGGTACGGGCTAAAACCATAGACAAGCATTTTTTCAAATATTTTATAGATAAAATACAAAAGTCATTTTATAAGTAGACATGGGGACATAATAGCTGTTCTATGCTGCAAAACCTTACATGAAAATTTTTAATATAATAATATTTATTATGCCACTGTTATTATATTGGTCATTTATATTATAGCTATAAAAAAATAATATGAATCTCTATTGCAAATTTAGTATTGTTACTATATTTAAATAAAACACTTTTAACGGTTTGAAACGCGATTTAAATACTGTCTATAGTTTACGCGAATAGTACACATTTAAATAAAACACTTTAACGGCTTAAAACGCGGTATATTAGTCTCTTCGTGACCACGGCTGCTGCAAAGCATCCGAAACGTCGGGCCGAAGTTAAAAATCATTTCCAAATAAGTTTAACTAATATATCGCGTTTTAAACCGTTAAAGTGTTTTATTTAAATGTGTACTACTCGCGTAAACTATAGACAGTATTTTACATCAGTTTAACTTTAATACAGGCTATCTTAGTATGAAATTACGAAAATTGTCATTAGAACCGATATAATATTGCTGAAAAGTTTTTATGAAGTTTCAGTATTTTAGAAAAAATACTACGCATTATTTACTTTTAATATTATTACAATAAATAATTCAAAAAGAGGGTCAGCAGCGCAACTTCTACAGTTACAAATTTGGGGTATTACCCGACCCTGTGCTTGTCTATCCTTCTCTATCACACAAAAACATATTTCAGATTTAAGGTTGCTCAATTGCAACAGCAAGGAAAGATTTGGTCCTAGGTTGGACTCCGTGCATTAATTTGTTTGAAACTAAAATATAATATACAACATAAGGTCCAAGAGGTACAAAACTTAGAATAGATTAGTGATGTAAATATGTTACTAACGATGTGTAGTTTTAAATAAATTAACATATATATGCCCTCAACACATAGGTGAATAAGTTTTGTGGCAGTGGTCTAGACTTGTATCTCGGATGTGTATGTCTAGACCATTGATTGATATTTAAATATGTCATACAGTCATAGTGTAAAATATTTGTAACATGCTATAATTATATTCGAGTTCTCTGTTTCGAACGATGTTGTATCAAAATTAAACACTTTAACGGTTTGAAACGCGATATATATGCGTTGTACTACTCGCGTAAACTACAGGCAATTTTTTATTTTACAAATATTCAATACATTGAATGAAGTGGTTGTGGGGCATGGGGAAAACATACTTCTGTATACTTTCTATAGATGATGATGTTTCAGAATAGACCGACAACGCACCTTGAAGGGTTCTTTAGTAAAATGGTACCATTGACTAGTAATCAACTGGTCGTGGATTCGATCCCTGTGATGTGAAATCTTGATTGGGTGGACTATCGAAATTTCGGACTGGTGACCAAGTACAGATGACAAAGTTGTTTGTTTTTCTTACGTTATTTCTATAGAAGAAGCATTGCTATCTTATATGAGTCATAATTGTAATATCTGAAGAAGAGATTGTTTGTTTCTTTAAACGCGTTAATCTCAGAAACTACCGGTTCGGATTGAAAAATTCTATACGATATAGGCTACAAAACATTGCCCTGTGACGAATACAAGCGAAGATACAGCGAGAAAAGTGAAAAAAAAATAGAAAATTATTTATCATTATGGATTTCCGACGCGTACGCTGCAAAAACGGTTCCAGATAACAAAAAATATGTATAAAAGAATTATTTATCATTAAATGATCCAAAAAATGTCCGCGACGCTATATGTCTATCTTTTTTAGATAACCTTGCAAGAATGATGGGAAGGGACGCAACCGCTGTCGTGATCAACAGCTTAAGTTTATAAAGATAAAGAGGGTTCACAAAAATCCCAATTATCTTTATAAAAAAAAACGATTCTTGCGAACAAAGTCGCTGGCACAGCTAGTTGATAATATTTCTCGTATAGCAAATTTTCACAAAGAGAATAAGGAAAAACAGACAATAATATAAATCCCAATTAATAATATTGCAAGTATACATGTAGATAGCACCGTCGGGAAGCGATTTAAGTATTCATGAGGAAATACCTTTTCAACATGCGCGAGCGCATGACTAAATACCTATAATGAATTGAATTATAGGATTATTGTCATAATAGTAATGTTATGTCAGTTTAACGACAACGACAGGGAACAAAAAAGTTAATCAAGCTAATGTTGTATAAGATTTTCCTTATATACAGGATGCTTCCTCAAATAGTTCAAGATAAGATAATAAATCTATCAATAGGTACACTTTTTAATAAGATACTTTTAACGGAATACTGTCCATAGTTTACCAATAGTACACATACAACGTCAGGCCGTAGTAAAAAACTATTTCCAAACAAGTTTAACTAAAATATATCCGTTTTAAACCTTAAAGTGTTTTATTTAAATAATTTTAACGCATTAAAACGCGGCATAGTCAATGCCACCTATTTCGTAATACTCGCTAAACACAGACAATACTTGATAGGTACATTTTTGTAATACTGATTGATTTACTTAGGTAGATCAGTTTTATAAAATAATTTAAATAATAACAAGGCAGTAACATATAAAATTGAGGAAGATAATTATAACACAATAAAACTTTGCCTGGTTGTTCTTACTTAGCATACGCGGCAAACAACAGACAAGACGTATAGGTTACACTTGAGGCTACATAACCCAGCCATACACCATCTTAACAAAATGCCGTCGAACTATTTTGGTTTTGGGATATTCGGAAATCTACAAGCTGAAATCGAACACAACGTCACCACTTTTTAATCTATGGACGGCGGTTTGTGATCCAGGCGGAAATATCCAGATGTTGAGACGAAGTCCAACATGTTTGTTGGTGAATAGCCATACATTGCTAATTACTCCGTCAATAAATTTATTTACCTATGATTAATAATAAATAAACATGTTTTTCGAAAAGCAAGGATATGTTTAAGAAGGAAATAGATACAAAAATACACTCATTCATAATTTTGTACAATATGACCTTAAAAAACAAAGGAAACGCAACGTCTAAATTAGTTAATGGACTAGTAATTGTAGGAAAATGAAATTAAAAGACCTGCATCGTGAGTGGGCATCAATTAATTCACACCAAGGAACTCCAGGGACCAAGGTGGATGATAATAAAGATAAAAATATGATCGGCACTCAAATAATTGGTTTTTATAGAAAATTAATCTTAACAAGCTGTGCCCGCGACTTCGTCCGCGTGAAGGAGTTATTTTGGGCATTGTATTATTTAATTTTGCAAACAACTTCCTCAGCCTTCTTAAGGACGTCAACTGTGTGCCGTCGCGTCATTCTTGCGAGTTAGTTTAATAATAGACTGAATAGATATACCGTCGAGAACATTTTTAGGGAATTTAAAGAAGAATCATTCTTTCTCACATAATGGTTCGGTTCTTGAATCGTTTTCGCAGGTCACCCAACGGAAATCTTCAAAGATGACTAATATTGCCAGTGTTTTCCACATCTCTCTCTATTTTATAGCTGTCTCATGTTTTATAGCCTAAAACCCTTCTTCGATAAATGGTCTATTTTTTTATTCCAAATTTAAACTATTCAACTTATAATTATAGATTAAATCCAGTATAATAGAGACTAATTAAAATAATATTTTTTTTAACTTTAGGCAAACTATGTCTGTACTATGAGCGTTTACGCATTTACAATTTACCATTTAAAATGTACAGTTAAATAATACACTCCGCGTTTTAAAGCGGGTTATTTGTTTTATTTAAAATAATGTCACTATTCAATATAATTGCTGCAAAGCATTCTAAACTTTGACCTGTGTTAAATTAAATTTAAAATAAGTTAAGTTATATATTTCTCGTTTAAAACCGTTTTATTAAAATGTGTACCACTTGCGTAAAACTACAAAACTTAATGACATTTTTGGATTTTTTCAGAGCGGTGCCTTGTATGTGGAGATGCCCAATAAATTCGACAGATGGCTCCACATATCAAATAAAGACTTCTGCATAGATTACGAGCTGACGGAGAACGGCACGGTCTCGGAAACTCCTCAGTTTTGGGTGAATTACGAAGCGGCACCAGAGCGCCAGAAGAACTCGGTTGTGTTTGTCGTGGGTAAGATAGCTTCTGAAATATCTGGTTGAGGAGGGTAAGATAAATGGAAACCCCTTCATGCAAGGACGACGGAACCCGAACGAAGGGTCGCGAGCGACGGGACGCGACCATTGTCGTGGGCATCTTAAATTATTAAAGATGTATTGGTTTTCAAAAATGAATTTGGATGCTTCAAACAACTATTATATGCGGACGAAGTCACTGACAAAGCTAGTATGTAATAAAAAGCGAAAACTTTAACAAAGATTGAACGAATTGTTGACACAACCGGGAGTCAAGTCCACAACTTACAGCGTATCACATAATTGCCACAGTTATGGGTACTTTTACTATATTAAAAGAGCTACGACTCGGTACGCTCTTGACTTTCCAATCTATATATTTATATAATTCCCCCCGTGACCACGGCGCTACCAAGCAACGAAAACCTGGGGCCGTAGTTGAAATAAATTGTAAATACTACTAATATATTTCGCGTTTAAGCCCCGTAAACATAAACACATACTATAGTCTACCACATATTTCGCGTTTAGGTATTAAGCTTTTTCGAAAGATTTTTAATTGGACGTTTCGGAAGCTTTGCAGCAGCCGTGGTCCTCCGCATCCAAAGCATCCGAAACGTCGGGCCGAAGTTAAAAATCATTTTCAAATAAGTTTTACTGATATATCGCCATTAAACCGTTGAAGTGTTTTATTTAAACACATTATTGTAAAATACATTTTAAGACTGTGTAAATTATATCTCTGTAATTAGATAGTTATCCGGCAATTTCGTCTAATGGTAATAACAACGTAACTTGATCTCAGCATGTGTTTGTATGTTTTTATTCTTGATTTCCGTCTTAGTCACGCACCACTCATACATGGAAAAGCCAAGTAGTGTAAAATATTCAATTAGTATTCTTTACTGTCACAGGAAAAGCAAAAATAACAAAGGAGAGAACTATGCAATGCTCGAAATACCAACAAAACGGTAGACACATTTTTGTATTTCAGTTTTTTCAAAGGAATAAAAAAAGACGACAACACAATATTCCTTATGAATACTTTGAGCAAAGCACATGTTAATAAACAAAAAAATAAAAATATAAAATGGCGGTTAGTCTAGTGTTGAGAATACTTCAATGTGGATCATGAAGTCCTTTGATCCAATCCTATGTTGGTTAGTAAAAGAAGGGAATACCTCTTTTAAACTCATAAACCTGATTCACACGCTGCGGTTTATCTATTGATATTCCCTTGCACTATACATAGAAAATTGTAGCGTACATTCCATATACAACAAATAATTATCCTCAAGTTATCCATAATTTCTAATATAAATCCATGTTCTTTTCAGCTTTGGGCGTCTCGTCCTTCTTCCTGTTCTTAGTTCTCCTCATATACATCTTGCTGCCAGACAGCCAGAACTTGGTGGGCAAGATACGAATGTGTTACGTCAGTAGCTATATTGTATATTTCGTATCATTGGCTGTTATCCTCGGCAAACTACATTCTGAGACGACGTGCGTCGTTTTATGTGAGTATGTAATGTCAAGGTCCTAACAAAGATCCTTGCGAAGCTCCATTGTCAATACAATAAGTTTGATAAAGTTTTTAGACGTAATGATTCATATATATTATTAAATAAAAAATGTTGACTAATAAACAAATAAAAAAATATCGCTACTTTGTCTTGTATTATAATAATACTTTTTTTTATTTCAGCTTTCATAGCATACTTTTCAATTATCGCTACATGTTGCTGGATGAACATCATGTCTTATGACATTTGGTCTACATTTAGGTAATACTGCATCATATTTTTGTAATACATAAAATGAAAATAATTAATTAAATAATTGATTAAATTATTATTTTGTATGCGCAAAATTAACCTTAGATCGGTCAAATCCACTAGTCTCCGCGCTCTATTACTACATTATAATTTTTCTTATGTTGGCTTTATTTAACTAATATGTGAATAACGGGTACAAAGATAACATTTTCGTTTAGAACCAGCGCTTATCAGGATCTCCTATTAACGTCTACATAATTGAAAGTTTTTTTCTCTTTTTAGAAGCAGATCCAGCACCAAGTTTTCAGGATCGAGCGAGCGACGAAGAATTGAAAGGAGGAAATTCAGACGATATTGCTACTATGGTTGGGGTCTGCCTATGTGTATGGCCATTGGACTTATGATAATTAATTCTCTAGATATGACGGATGTGCCATGGTTCATTACTCCACAAATACCTGCTTATGGGTGCTTCTTAATAGGTATAGTGTATGCTAGATTCTTCTAGAAGAATTTTTGAAATACTCTTTTCTAATATATAAAGGTGAAGTTTGTTTGACGCACTAATATCAGAAACTACTGGTTATAATGGAAAAAACCTTTTTGTGTTGGTTAGAGCATTTATTGAGGAAGGCTATAGGCTATAAAAGATTGCTCTGTGAATCATAGGAGCGAAGAAACAGCGGGTTGTGGGTTTGCCGCGAAAACAGTTCAAGATACCCAAAAATACATACATGTACAAAAGAATGATTTCTCTTATAATGATCGAAAAAATGTCCGCGACACTATATGTCTAATAACGCGGGCGGCGTCGTGGGTAATAGCTATAATATAGCGAGGAGGAAACCAAATTTTGATGCTCAAAATAACTATTCTATACAGACGAAGTCGCTAGCGCAGCTAGTGCATGATATAGGACTAAACCTTCTTATAATTCGTTAAATACGTGTGGTAGTTAAACCTGATTTTTTTTGTAGCTAAGTGTAAATATAGACCGCCTCTGCAGCCAAATGGTTAAACGTATTGCCTAGGATTGCGTTAAGCGCGAGAGGTCCGGGGATCGAATCCCAGGGAAACAAAATTGTTTCGGTCGGGCAAAGCACAGAACGGATCAGAGAAACGGACACATAAATGTGTTCGCCCCATGCCCGACGGGAAACGGACTTTCACTTTTTTAAGTGTAAATGTAAACTATACTTTCAGATGGTCAGCAGTTGGTGTACATGTATATTCCCATGCTTATACTGGTCATGGTGAATTGTGTTCTATTCTTCTTAACAGCCTGCAGCATTTGGGCTTCTATGCAAGGGAATGAGGTTTTAGGAGCAGCAGCTACTAAGCGACAGCAGCAAAGGTAGATAACTCATTGAAGGAGATATAATTTGACGGGCTCGTTGGTGTAATGACAATGCACGGCTAATTATCAACGGGTCGTGGGTTCGACCCCACCGGGTCCATTATGTTTCCAAGTTTTCTGAAAAATGTTGGAATTCGTCTGGAAATCATGTTAAGTGGTAGGAATATCAAAATTCTGTCCACGCCACGAACCACTGTCAACAGATGAAATAGTAAAGTTTGATCACGTTTTAGTTTCAGTTGGATGGATTTCTGAATATCCAAAGCCAAATTATGTCGACAGCTCATCTTGTTTTGATACTATATGCTGGGCTGTTTCAAATGTGTTTATGTTTTCCTAAACCATTAAATAAACTCCATGCATGTATGTCCTCCTCTATTACTAAAAAAGCTTTACCTGAGACAAATATTTGTTAGACTTGGCAGTTTAATTTGTATTTTGTAAATACTGTCTATAGTTTACCGAGTAGAAAAAATTGCTAGCTAGATGGCGCTACTAGCAATTTTTTACTTTGACGTCAGAGAATCCTCCATCTTTAGTCTCCCCGTGACCACGGCTGCTGCAAACATCGAAATCGGGCGAAGTTAAAAATCATTTTCAAATAATTTAACTAATATATCGGTTTTAAACCGTTAAAGTGTTTTATTTAAATTGTATTTTGTCGTTCCAGGTTCAAGATCTGCATCAGGCTGTCTGTAACAATGGGGGTCAGTTGGATTTGGGAGGTAATAAGCTTCCTGGTACCAGCTGCAGATGCTTTTGCTATATACTTCGATCTCTATAACGGTTGCATTGGATTCCTAATCTTCCTCATCTTTGTCTGCAACAGGACTAAGCTCGCCCATCTTAAAGCAAGGTAGACGATTGACGATTTATCGTTTTACGAAAATTAAATTTTGCTTTATCCTTTTGATAAAACCTACTAAGCATATTATCGCTATATACAGGACCGCTAGAGGCAGAGTAGCCTAACTGCAATCGCCTTGAGTTACTTATATTTTCATAGTCCAAAAATGTCAATGTATAAGAGCACAATGACAGACATATTTTAACATAATTTTTACACAAATAAGAGTACAAATACATTTTATTTTCCGTCTTATTAAAAATCATGTCTTTTTGTTATTAGGCCACTCTGCCTCTAGCAGCTTCAAAATTTACTACGTTTTGTTTTACTTTTTAGCCAGTATGTATATAGTTTTAAGGATATAAATAAATTTTCCTAGATATATAATACACTAGTTGTAGCATATCTATATGACAAAGAAAATATAAAGTTTACTTGGCAAAATGATGTACTGCAGTTTTACCCTACTAATATAAAATAATTTCAAATGTTTAACTAATATATATCGCGTTTTAAACAGGTAAAGTGTTTTATGTTAATACATTTTACTGATCGATTTCATTTACTAACTATAGATCTAAATCTTAGTTGCAAAATTCCAGAAGTCCCTACAACGTTTATTTTCAATGGGGTTTGTCCCAGATTGTAATAGTCATCACTATATATTTTAATTCCAGATACGAGTCTTGGCGGAATCCAAAGACCTTCAATCAAAACAGTACGACAAATGGATCACAGGCCGTCGCTATGAAGAGATTGGATAATTCCATGAGCAATACTGATTTTTAGGATAGCTTACTTTTTTAGACTGATTCATACCTAATTTTAATTATACCTATAAACTTATATTATTTTGTTATATTCTGAAGAACCTAAAATACTTGATAAGGATAAATCTGGGATTTTTTTTCTAATCATCAGCCTTCCTTAAAGCTGATCATAAGAGTATACTTAGGTCCTGGCCACGCTGACCAAATACTTATTAGAATATGAGACAAGTCGTGTGATTGGGCATGGGGCATGGAGCATGGGGCTAACATACCTACTTCTGACTTCATTTCACTCATTGATTTACATGTAATTAGCCTATCAGACTTTTGTGCCCTGCCCAGTTTGTGTGTGTGTATATAATATATACACAAAGAATAATTTCGTTGCATTGTTTCGACCAAGAATCAAACTTGTGAACAGACAAACATCGATCTCACTTATACGTATAATTTTTCATAATTATGGTAATTATTTATTTACTTAAAAACTCTCATTTACTCCCTTAGTCTAGTCTTTGACAACACTTTTGAACACCGTTTTCAAAATGGTGTTGAATTTGAAATAGTCCAAAATTAATTAAACCAATCCTTTTACACTAAAACGTCGGGTCGTTGTACATTCGATAGTTTCCTCTGGAAATTGGGGTGGGGGCAGATATTCGGCAAGTCTTGGCTCAGGTTCGATTCCTGGGTGATGCTTGTAGTCGTTGATCGTTTGGGGAAGCTGTGTCGTCTGATGGTTTTGTATCTGCAATAGGATTATTGCGGTTTTACACCAAAATCATATTTATACTTAATAAAATTATAATAAAACGTGAAAAATTATTATTATTATGAATAAGAAAATTAACATCGGCGGAACTCAAACCAACATCGGTCCAGTATTATGGAAGAATTTTTATGGATTTATTTACCGTTTAAAGTGTCACTAGTAAGATAAAAGTAACTAGCGTCTTGAAGAGTAATGTTTTTTATGATATAAGAGGAGAGAAAATCGTGGGATTTACTTTTAGTTAGGTGAAGGAGATACCAACTATATTAATATTTCGTCTACGGTTCGTGACCCAGACGGAGTCTCTCTGAAAACATACTTCAAAAAGTAAGAAAAGACCTGATAGGGGGAACCCCCCACCCGTTGAATATTGCTATCGTTAGACCAACGAACCCAACAAACGAACAAAAATAACTCACTTTATCATCAGCTTGTTGTAAATCGACTCCTTGTAGATGAATATGACGAACATGGTGACGCCGATGAGGAGATTGTAAGCGTCCGTGATGTACCAGATCTCCCAATCTGGGTAAAAGGAGCTGACCACTTCTAGGATCCAGTTTATCCCCATTATGACAGATAGCTTCAAGTAGAGAGTAAATCTAGAAGGGGTATTTTTTGCAATTGGTAAAAATATAACTACCTCACAATGTAACATTTTTAATTAATTTGCGTAGCGAAAGATGGCGCTAGCTTAGCTTTTTAATAGGGACGCCACCATCTCTGGTATGACCACAATTGCAAAGCTTGTAATACGTCGTATCGTAGTTAAAATAAGATCATTTATTCATATATTTCGCGTTTTAAACCGTTATGTGTTTCCGAACTTACATAAGATACTTAAGAATAGTTAAGATACCTACTTCTAATAGTTTAAAACACGAACGTATTGTTCGTTAACTTTGAACTAGTATACAACAGCTGTGCTTTTTTTAGGAGGGGACTAATAAAAATATTATATTTCGAGTTCAAAACCGTCAAAAACTGTATTCGAAAATCAAACGTTATGTATTTTAAATCGTGGGAAGCTTGTCTCATTGCTTTTATGAAGCTGGTTGATACCTCTGTTTCTGTGACCGATGAGATGCTGGGTTTCCAGCAGCAGGTGAATTCAATACTGCTGTTCCTCTCCTCAAACGCCACACGTTAAACGCTGTCATTAAGTAGAATATCCAGTTGCAGACGATGAGAATCAGCATTGGTAGGTACAGGTAAACATATTTCTGACCTCCTAAAACATAATAATACGGAAAAATAGAAGAACTTCTCGTATATCTGTGGCTTACAGGAGAACAAGTATAGCGTTGAGCACGACAGGCCTTAAGTTCAATTCCCGGGAGAGCATAGAAAAGTTCTTCTGGGTTAGGCACAAAAGTTAGAAGAAAAAAAAACGTTTATTTTTTGAATTATAGATTTTAAGTTCAATTATGTTCTTGCTGATCACTATGATGGCTCTCAAAGCTCCTAGAAAATTTCTAAACATATATTTTAATCTAGCTGTGCCCGCGACTTCGTTCGCGTCCCGTCGTTCAATTTAATTTAAACGTAACACGGACATTATTTTAGATCATTTAAAGAAGATTCATTTCTTTCGTCCATGATTTTTTGATTTTTTTTGAACGCAGTGCACGTAACGGAAACAGTCAAAATCTAGATAAAATTTTTTCCGTTTTTATATTAAATAGTTAATACCAAAGAGATCAAATTTTTTGTATTGTAATAAAAATGCCAGCGCGTTCTACCTGCAAGGAAGCAGCCATGGTTGGGTATCATGGGCTTGATAATCCACGGCTGATCACTCAGATCAGCCTCGTTCATACACACGAAGGCAATCGCCATGATGATGGGGACACCCCACGCGTAGAGGCAGTACATTATGAACTTGAATTTCTTCCCCCTTCTGTGTATGGGACGAGCTTTAGCGTAGCCTCTGAAAGTACAAGAATTTTAATAAGGGTCAACCGTACTATAATATACAATATTGTACTATAATCTAATTCTGACGAAATACTATATCCTGTAAAAATTTGGAAAAGAAATATGGTACGAAAAATACTATACATTTACAACGTCGAAAATAAACAAAAAGTTTAATGTTATTTTTATATTACCTTTTTTATTGTTAAATAATTATTTTCCACAAAATGTTGTTTAGAAGTTCTACAATATTTAAATAAAACACTTTAGCCGTTTCAAACGCGATATAAAATTATTTTTACTACGGCACGACGTTTCGGTTGCTTTACAGCGGCCGTGGTCTATACTATAATTAAAGATAAAAACGACACTATATTTCGCCGAAGAAATATGGCAACTCTTGTGAACAAATTTTGTTGTTTCCAAAGTGATTCTTATTTTGTTTTGTTTCCCAATATGAACATAATCACACTAAATACATCTTAAAAAATAAAACATTAAATCGTGTTGAAAATATTTTCGACCATAAAAAACTTTCTTAAAAGTTATTTTAAATGTGTGTTTGTTAATAGTCACAAATATTAGTTCATACATTATAAAAAAGCCTTATTTTAAGTAAAAATCAGGAGTTATTAATTATTTACCTAAACGTCCACCAGATGTCGTACGACATTACATTCATCCAGGAAAACGCAGCCAAGAAGAAGAAGTAAATTATAGTCGCTGGAATAAGAAGAAAATCAATATTGATAATAGGAAGATTGATCTACTTCTACTTTTGTTTATTATATGTATTAAAAAATATATAATTAAATTATCAATTTGAAACAAAAACAAAAGGGAAACAGTAGAAGTTGCATTTAAAACTAGACTTACTACGTAATTTAGCTTCCGTGTTCTATTAGTTTGTTTCGCATTGTGATATGCGCGAGCGGTCGTAGGTTCAAATCCCGCTAATCCACACCTTAAACATCACTTTTATGATATGGAGATAGTGGCCGTGACTACCATTTTATATCCAGATTTCCAAAGTCCAACATGTGTTAGAAAAATTGAAAATTGATTGGAAAATTGTTAGGAATCGAATCCACGACCTGTTGATTAGCCACAAAATGCTGCCAACTGACGAGCTCGTCGAAAGCTGTACAAATGCAATTACTGATACGGACACAAAAATGCGTATTTTTAGAAATTTCAATAAATAGTGTCGTAGCTCTTAAATCTAATAACAATGTGATAATCTAATAACTCACATAGTGCGACGCAGGTTTCTTTAGGATATGAGCCAATTTGCATAGCAACAAGACTAAGGAAGGCTCCAAGAAGGCTAGCCACGTACGACATCAGAACTTTGCCCTGCATATTCCGCAATTCAGGCAAAATGGCGTAAACTATTAGCAAGAGCGCTAGGAAAAATGATGACACTAGAAGCGCTGAAAGAAATGAACACATCCGTTTGTAGTTAAACACTTTTAACGGTTTAAAATGCGAAATATTTCCCTGTGACCTCGGATCGGGAGCTCGGATGGCTCGGGCCGTACTTAATATAATGTTGTAAATTAGGATAAAAAAAACTTAGGCAATATATTCCGCGTTTTAAACAATTTCCTAAAAATTAATAAGTTATCATTTAAATAAAACACTTTAACGGTAGTCACAGGAAGACGTACCTATGCCACGGCTGCTGCAAAGCATCCAAAACGTCCGGCCGTAGTTAAAATAGTTTGTAAATAAGTTTAACAAATACATTTCGCGTTTTAAACCGTTATAAGTATTTTAATTAAATAATCACTTCTTGTCAACGTTCAAAGGCCCTACCTGAGATTAGCTTTCCTTAAGGCTTATTTAATTTAAACTGATAACGAATAAATAGAAAAAATACCTTTTGTGGAAAAAGTATTTTTTTTAATTCTTGCAATTAATTCCTTAGTACAGAAAGGGGTGTCTTCTCCTATATTTTATACTTAATTTATCGAACAACATTTACCTCCCACTCTATTTTCGACAACATTTTTTCATATCCTGCTAGCGTTCAACACTCCATGTCTCTTTTATGCCTATATTGTTTATTTTTCTTCATTTAATCTATAAAACAAAACGGCGTTTGCCGAGTCAGCTAGTATCTAATAAGGTCTTACCTATGTAATAATAGTCGTTGTTCTCCACGACAGTCTCTGTGTAGACCCAGAAGAAGACCGTCAGATTCCCGTAGTCGTCCGGGGCAAAATCCGCACAGAATTTGTCCGGTTCTATCGGCGTCCATCTTTGGTATGCGTTCGGCATTTCCATGAAAACTATACCACGCTGAAATGTTTGAAGCAGTTATCTTTTAAAGGAATTTTTATCGTCGTTATTTAAAATGCTTCTTGACGTTTCGTACAAGACGTCATCAGGAGATGTGTGTTCGTCGACTGAGAATGTCCTCAATTACGACAATTAAACACCTCAGACGCAAAGAGCACAGTGACCGAAGATTGTTAACATAATTCTTAAACAATTAATAGGACAAATTAATCATGTATTTGGTTATTTTCTTATTAGGCCACTCTGCCTCTTACAACGTCAATAGTTAGGTGAAACTAACACAAATTTTAAATAAAAGTGGTACATGATGAGAAACGATACAAGACACATTTTATGTCCGTGTTTGTGAATATCTTGTGTAACAAGGAGCGGCATAGCGACCCAAACTTTGGGCTATTTTTAACCATGGTTTGGTAATTATAATTTTCCTGTTACAATAATACGCTAGAGTAGTGATAACACGATAAGCAAGTAAGTATAAGGCTCCAGTCTCATATAAAAGCAGAAAGTTGCTTACGTCTTACAATAATTGCTATTATAAAATTCAGAGCATTATGTTGTTTCCTTTACACATTAGCTCGTGTTTTTAAGCCGTTTAAAAGATTTTATTTATCAAAGATTAATTTTTAACTAGTGGTATAATACGTCTCGTCGCATAAGATGAACAAACAACTCACGTATTGATTTCGTAATTAATATAATCGCCTCTATAGCTAATTGGTTAAAGGTGTTGCCTAGCATTGCGTTAAACGCCAGAGGTGCTGGGTTCGAATGCTGTGGAAACAATAGATTATTTCGGTCGGGTAGAGCAAATTATTCTGATCAACTACTTGCATGTAAATAAAACCGATAAGTAGGACATAGAAATATATTTACCCCATTCCGTACGGGGTGACGAATGATACATGAAATGGGATTTAAATTTTTTGACGCGGCGTAATGCGTTACAACGTACGCGATATATGGAAGCTTATGGGAGACCACAGTTTAATGTCGTTTTTACTATATAATGTAGACGTAAAGCAATTAATTAATACTACGTTATCATGAATTTCAAGGAGCGCTGTGGTTGGGTCTCTTGGTTGACTATTGGTCTATAGGGTTTTATTTATAACTCTGACACATATGACCCAACTACAAAATAGAGTTAATAACTGCTAGTATAGGTATATTAAGAAGTGTTGATACTTAAAAAATAATTTATTTTACATTAAGAATTTTACCATCATTATAATTATAAATTGAAAAATCGATGGCACAAGAAGGTCTGGAACCCACACCACACGTACCTCATTGTTATTCTAGCCTATGTCATCACACGTCTACAACAAACAAATACAACTACTTAAGCTCTAATATAAAGAAAAAATTTATGAATAATTAAATATTAAAATATGATGAATCCCGAAAATAATTGTTACTTGTTATTAATTTACCATTATCATAGAGGTCTTACAAACGTCAACATTTAAATAAAATACTTTTAACTGTTTAATACGCATAATATATTGGTTAATTTATATTAGCTACTGCCCGATCTTGCCCGATGTTGCTTTGCAGCATGTCCTCCCAATGTGAAAAATAGTTAATATTCGTTCACCGTTTACCTTATTGAAGACCATTACGTCAAACCAATCACCAAATAATTTTCTTATGTAGACGATTATTATAAAGCTGTAGAATCAGTTTGTTTGTTTGAATGCGCCAATCTCAGGTATGACTGATTCGAATTAAACAGTTATTTTATGGTTAGGCTATTAATCGAGGATGGCTTTACGCTACAAAACGTTCGATTGCGACAAATAGGAGAGGAGAAACAGAGGGAAATGTGGTAAAATCGCGAGAACGACAGGACGCGAAGAAACGTCATGGGTCAGCTATAATTTATAAAATTGTTAATGTTTAAATTATTTATTAATATGCACAATAAGGCATTCCACCTGAACAAAGTCGCGGGCACAGTTAGTTTACTTAATAACCTTATAATCCCTAGTGGTCTGTACATTGTTAAGCTGCAACTCACTTCTTAATAAAAATACCTTATTTAGAAAAGTCCTCAGTTGTATATACTGCGGCACGTATGATTCCATAGCGAAGATTTCCTCCCGCATCAACCCCGGTTTCAGCCGAAAGAGATCTCCGAAATTCTCATTGACTGGTCTATCGTGATCCTCCTCATCGTATAACTGAATTTTGGAATAATCCAAGGTCCCATCACCGTCGTATTCAACGCACACACTGCTCCCGGGTTCGGTCCCGTTCATGTACTCGTTCCTATCGCAACATTTGTTCAGACACTTTTTGAACGAACAAAAAATGTCGAAGTCTTCTTCTTCCAATATTAAATCGTAACATGAAATTTGTGAGATCAAAATAACTAAGCAGAACAAATAACTGTACATATTGAACGCGCTGTGGTCCTTAACACATAATGAGTAATGGACGATTATAGCGGACCACAAATGCGGTTATCATATTCTGCGACATTAAGGGAATTGTTAATACTAATTACCAATTCCCTTAATTAAAAGTCACATATAGCGAAGACGCCAACACACAATGAGATATGCAGGAAACTAGTTGAGGTATATTGTTTTGAACGTCATCTTACTACTTGCTGTTACTTGCTGTTTTTTGTAGTACAGAGATTTCTAGTTCGAAATTTGAACGAAGCAGTGGTTTGGCTAAACGCTACAAAAGGTAAATTGTGTAAGGCTTAAATATTGTCTATAGTTTACGCGGGTAGTACACATTTAAATAAAACACTATAACGGTTTAAAACGCGATATATTAGAAACGTCGGGCCGAAGTTAAAAATCATTTTCAAATAAGTTTAACTAATATATCGCGTTTTAAACCGTTAAAGTGTTTAATTTTAACTCGCGTAAACTACAGACAGAAATTTGGTGAACTCTATTGAAATATCTCCATTGTATGTTATGTAAGTAAGGATAATACGAAATATGGCAATTTACCAAAAACTTTAAGGAAAAATTACATAATTAAATAAAAAGACTATACGTTTAGATAATTTATTTAATTAATAGTACATCGATTTAAATGCAAAAGTTCTTAATCTAAGAACTGATAAATATGTAAAATTAAGAAATAAGTTACAGTTATAAGTGTTGTATATGAGAAATGTTTTTGTGATTTAGGTAGCACTTAATGTCAAAACAAAGTAGTATATTTTATCATAATAGTATAGTTATTTTGTCTTTTTTCTCCCTCGTTTTTTTAATAATATATAAAATATTATTAACAGCTTTAAACGCGAAATATATCAGTTAACATATTATTTTTGTTATTGGCCCTCCGACCGTAGCAAAGAATTCAAAACGCCGCGGCCGGGCGTAGTTAACAAATACGTTACCTAATGTATTTCGCGTTTTAAACCGTTAAGTGTTTTATTTGAACTCGCGTAAACTACAATACTTGTATGTACAAAACAAATCTGTTTTAAATTACAGAATATACATTGTCACTATTGTCTGTCAAATTATAATCCATCTGTAGTAAGAATCTTTGACAGATTATAATTGACAAAAGTCATATTAAGAAAAAAAATAAGACAGACGGTGTAGCGTAGCCCTATAACATCTGACTAAGCGCGCTGTCGCCCTATTTGGCTCAAAACATTCGGAAGCTTGCAGCTTGCAATTATATAATTAATTAGGTTGAGATCAAGTGATTATAAATACAAATCGATTAACATGTGATATTCTCTATGTTTTTTTTAAATCTAAAAGGACTAAACACAAAAATGATAAGTACAATACAGCGAAAAAAACAAACGGTTATTGAGAGTTTAAACTAGTTCGTAATATAAAGACATTAAGTAATTCTTAAACAACAATTAATAAACATACAAACTAAATTTTCATCATCTAAAGAGCTACTAGAGTTTAAGACGTAAGCATAGTTGACTGAACTTTGAAAGTTTTTACTATTGGTATTAATATGTACAAATATTTTTTCAATGAAGGAGGACGGACAGGTATCGGCTTTATTTGATGGCAGGTGGAATACCCTAGCCAAATAACTAAACAATATGCGCTGTCGGCTGGCTTTGGATATTCGGAAATCCACAGACTGAAACTGAAACGCGATGAAACTTCATGGTTTTTTCATCTGTGGACGGTGGCTCGTGATCCGGACGGAATTTAGATATTGCTACCATCCATTCAATATCCAGATTCTTGAACAAAGTTCAACATGTTTCAGAAAAAATATCAATTAATTAGAAATTTATTGGACCAACTAGGTGTCGAAGCCAGGACCCGTTGATTATAAGCCATACATTGCAACCTTTGTGTCAAGAGTCCGAACAGCCAACAGACACCAACAGAGCAACGTGGGTCTAAGCTCTTAAGACCCCTTGCTGGGTAAAAGGAAAGTTAAAACGATATTTGTACCCTTCATCAGAGAAGCAACAAAATTATTTCCGTACTACATATAAAACAGTCATCAAAATACTTAGTTATTATTTTTGATAATAAGCCTGATGTAATTGAAGTTATGGAAACATTAAACATTAGTTTAATTTAAAGAAAATTAAACAGTTTCTGTCCCACGTCTATCTTTCATTAAATAAGTATTTTAAGAGCAAAATGTTAAAGTGTGCAGAACTAAGTTTGAAATATTTGTACCTATACCAAATAAAAGTTGTCGAATTGTTGTATTAAATAGTCCTTACTGTAATTACAATGCAAATAACTTTCATGACAGCTGCTAACATTTTCTACAATAAGTATTGTAATCTAAATTATGTGTATCTATGACAAATACTACTACATGAAAAGCGATAGATTAAAGGCCGATTTCGGAGCTCCACTGATAATCGCTGCCATTTGTATAAAAACAAGCGTAAATACCGGAGAATTGAAACCGGCCCTAATGTCAGATTCGTTGCGTGACTAGAATGTTGTGAAATGAGTCTTTTGTTAGTAAATAGAATATGTATACTGACTATATTAAATATTAATGCTTAACTGTAGTAAGTGCGACATCTTCCTTCGTCGAAAAAGTTCTGGAGCTCGTAGTATGACTTCTGGACATAGGACGGCCGCGGACTTGTTTGTATCTGAAGAGAAAAGTCATTTTCTAAAATATATCAAAGCTGATATTTATAACCCAGGCTAAACCCGATAAATATCAAATAAAGAAAGAAAGAAGACTTCACGAGAATTCAAGTTCAATGCAACCAGAAATACGATCGATAATGCCAGAAAAAATGATACCAAATCCACTTAAAAAAGAAAGCATTAAAATCAAAACAGCATGTTCTCCCAAAGAAAATATTAGATGAAGATTAAAAAGATTGTAGCTTAAAATTGGGCAGCCAATTTGCAGTACTTGGGTATTCCAGCTGTTCAGTAGCCAATTGGTGCTCAAAACGACGCCCGAACAGTTGGAAGACCTAAATAAATGAAATTCATAATGTTAATGCATGAAAAGGGACAGTTGAAGTTAAATCTTTGCCACGTTTAAAATATCCACTCTCATTTTAACATTTCATTGAATTATAAGCAAGTATTTTTGTTAGTTCAGCACTTTCCCAACTCCTAGTAAATCCACACCTTCGATTCATACCTCCGTTATAGGGTGTTTGGTGGTAAAATTTCTTGGTTTGTTTATATAATATCTTCTAAAGATTTTAAATTGTTTTTATTCTATCAGTCTTTTTACTAAACGCCGCTCGTATGTAGAGTGCTTCCGTTTGACGTCCTAACAGATTCTGAACTGCTTCTCTGCTTTAGATCCATGTTAAAATTGCTTCTACTGTCATTACTTCTCTTCGTATCTCTGAATTCTGAATTTCTTCCATGAAATCTGTCTTTGATCCTAAGTAGAAATCATCAATAGATTATGTATGGAGCTAAGCGTCTCTTTTTCTTATGCGCACTGGTAGTTCTACTAATTGTTGAAAGCATTTTCTGTCGAGTGTAATTTTTATCATCTTTTATTAATTCATTATCCAAAGTAATCGTTTTTAAATAAAACAAAATATACTTTAATAAACATTATGAAATGTAGGGGCACTAAACTATTGCCTAGTACGGTGCCTTTTGTTTAATCGTATATAAGCTATATTAACTGAATAAAAAGTAACCTTTTTTTAAGCAAACGGTAGATTTTCTTCTTGCATACGAAGAGAATGAAGATGATCAGACCGATAAGAACATTGTAGGCATCAGTAAACTTCCAGATCTTGTCTGCTTCTGGGTAAAAAGCACTTAATACTTCTAATCCCCAGTTGATACCCATCACGATAAATAGTTTCAAGTAAAGGAAAAGCCTAGAAAAAAATATTAAAATGAAATTATAACGGTTTAAAAGAAGTATTATAATATATATAATAAACAAATGAAGAAATATCAAAATATAAGGCTACAAAAGTTGTTTTGTTGACTGAACCAATCTCAATAGTTACAAGGCAGAAGTGAGAAAAAGGTAATTAAAAATGTCTCACTATTTAAGTTTGAAATTGCTTCCTCGTCGTCGGTTAACAATAGTGAGCGACTAACTTTAAAATAAGAAATGTTTTATGGGCTTAAAACGGAAATATTTTAAACTAAGATCCAATGTTATGGACGCCATTTATCCAGCTATGGTCACGGAAACTTACCTTTGCTTGTCATTATTGTGCTTATCGTGTGTTGTAGCACTCTCTCTAGACTTCAATACGGCTGTTTGGTCCTTGATAACTTTTATTTTCAATAGAGTTAAAAGGAAGAAGACACTGTTAGCAACAATAAGGATTACAATCGGTCCATACAGGTACAGAAGACGGCTTGTTCCTGCAAAAGGAATGTTTCGATTAGCATTTCGATCTTGAAATTGATTGCCGCTGCTAGGAGTATGGGGCAGACAAATTTATGTATCTTTTACTATGTTTACTTTTATCCCATCGTCATTCTATTTACAGACAAGTTGTCGATCAGACTTCTGTGTCTTGGCCGCCCGAAACTATAATATTTTACAGAGATTCAAACAAAATAATGGTCTTACATTTAAATACATTAAGTCTGGAAATTTTCCGTGTTAGTTTAATTTATTAGTTAAAGTTATAAAAGCTGATTTGATGAAGTGTCCAAAAAATAAAAAATCTAATAGTGTACTTTTAGACATCTTGTTAAAAATTGAGTATAATAATAATAATGAAAATATCTCTCTTTATTTTAAAGGAATCTAATCTAATATAAATGAAATTTTATATGACGTACCAGCGATGAAACACCCTTGCTGAGTAAGTAAAGGTAGATACCAGCCAAGTGGTAGATCGGAAAACTCCAGCGCAGCTAATAGTATGGTCAAAAGTGTGGGACAACCGAATGCGTAGAGCGCATACGCCCTAAATCTGGTTTCTGCTGACATCCTCTCGATGGACATGCCGCGGTGACCACTGCAAGACAAAAAACGGCATGTATTACATTATTTAATAGCTTTAAAAAATTCTATAACAGTTTATGCTAACCTTACCCTATAACAGTATGTTATACAATTTCCCATTTTTTTATGACTGTCTTTTCATTTTTTAGTCACGTAGATCGAGGTTCAACGTCTGTTATGGCTTTTAGAAAAATAGAAGTAATACAATGTGAAATCCCTGGGGATAAGGTCGGCACATTAGTGTGTTCACTAAAGGAAATTACGTACAAGCCAGTTGTTGATCTGATGTGTGCCCCACGCGACCGAAATAATTTGTTTCCCCTGAATTCTAAGCCATCTCTCGTGCTTACTTATTGCTAAGTACTTAGGCAACACGTTTACTGAATAATCAAGGGAAGCATTCAAAACAATGTGTAGACCAAAACTTTTAAAGTCCTTTTTTAATATAAAAGTATTATAACTGTTTACTATCCTTTTAATATTCCAAAGAGACATATATTATCCAAAAACGTTACGTAAATGCTCTCTACACGTATATTTACTATTGATTGTTATACATACCTGAAAGTCCACCAAATGTCGAAGCACATGACGTTGAGCCAAAAGAACGCGGCCAAGAGAAAATAGTAGATTATGAAGGCTGAAATCATAACATAAATCAGTTAAACAAAGAAAGTCGACATCAAAGCACATAAGCAAAACAAACTGCGTCATCCGCGTTTAAAAACGGGATTATGAGTAAGATTTACTTCAAACTTTTATTCGGTATACCCACGGAGATATACAGCTGGAGCTTAAATAATCTATACTGATATTGTAAAGTTGTCGAGTTTGTTTGTTTAAAGGCGATTAACGGCCCGACGTTTCGGATCTACTAATAGATCTCGACGAGAAACGTCGGGCCGTAGTTAAATAATTTTCAAATAAGTTTTATTTAAATGCATACTACTCGCGTAATCTACAGAAGGTATTTAACGTCTAATTCTCTTTAGAAACTTCACTTAGGCTTTTTATGTTGTTTAAAAAATGCAAGCTAAGTACTTCCTAGAGTTAGCGTTCTGACTAAGAACGGTATTTCAGTAAGTTATTAACTATCGTGCTTAACTAACTATAATTTCCAAGTATTTCGGTAATGACTTATTTGTAAAGACCGTCCATTAGTAGGGCACTGACTTATCACCCACGAGACCGACTAACAAAGGGGAAGGTATTTCCTCTTGTTAGGTGCATCTAATATAAAATTAGATTTTTACTTCTATTAACTGCCTTTAAAGTGAGCTGGCATTTAGCGAAATATATTAGGTATAGCATTAGATTTGGTATCAAACATATTCAAAATTAAGAGGAAATTAAGCTGCGTTCAAACCTGCCCTAATTGGCGACATTTATTTTATGCTAGCTCCGGAGTTTATTGTTTGTACATTATATATGCCGTTACTAGTCTAAGGAATAAATTTGACCACATTTCATTATTAGAAAAAACGTTCTTGTAGAGACATATACTGTAGCAGACATTTTCTTTAGATCATTTCAAAAGGAAACATATTTTTTAGTTTAAAAAAACACTTTAACGGTTTAAAACGCGATCCTCGATATAGCCGTATACGGGGGTGTCTCACCGTGACCACGGCTGCTGCAAAGCATCCGAAACGTCGGGCCGAAGTTAAAAATCATTTTCAAATAAGCTTAACAAAAATATCGCGTTTTAAACCGTTAAAGTGTTTTATTTAAATGTGTACTACTCGCGTAAACTATAGACAGTATTTATATTTTTTAGTTTCTTAAATCTTTTTCGCAGCGCGCGCAACAGAAGCCCACAAAGATGAATACACGTAAAGCCTACCTCAAAAAATGGTATATACAAAAAAAATATTAAATTCGAACCGGCAGCTCCTTAGATTAGTGCGCCTAAACAAAGAAAACTCTTTAGCTTGATAATATTGTTATAAAAACATTTTAGAATATGAATGAACAAGTCACTTAGTCTATTGACTATTTAGTCTGGATGTAGATTAGGGAGTAAATAATCGGTATTTACGACGAATTATAAGCAAATAAAACATATGGACTACTAAATAACCTATATTGTTGCTCCCAATTTTCCTCATTCTAACCAGAATCGTTATAATTGAGCGTTTCGAGAGTAGGCGGTCAGGTAAAACAATTTATTCTGTACCTACTTAATTATACCATCTACCTTGTATCCTTCATGCTAGATGAACATCGTTATCTTGTCTTATCCTAGGTATTTAAACGCTAGATGTAAATAATATTGAAAAACAATCAATATAATCCAGTTATATAAGTATTGTCTCTAGATTATGCGTAGAACAAATATAAATAAAAAAACTTTCGGTTTCAAATCGGAAATTAGTATTATTAGTTAGTTAGTTATTATAGCTCAGTAGTTACAATTTGGGATGGCATCCTTCCCGGGAGAGAATCCTTTTTTAATAAATGAATTAAAATCTCCCTTTTACGAGTAGCTTGATTTATAGTATATGCACTGAACATAAAAATAGACAAAACCAATGTTTATCTAACGGCATTTTCCTCATGTAGAAACAATACCATAAACTACAGTGTGTGACTCAAGAATAAATCTTTAAGTAATTAGAGTAATTTAATACGGGCTACGTGGCGCGAATTATTTATGGTTCACGGATAGAACTTATGTCACCGTTATATGGGAAATACTGATAGATTATAAAATATGTAATGCGTTTTAAAACTGTCGCTGAAAATTGCTAGATACAACACATCGTCAAAACAAACCAAAGATCATTTTCACTTCCAATCTATCCAAGACGATATAAAAGAAGGGTTTCTCGAAGTTTCCCCCCCCCGGGGGGGGGGGACCCCCGGGGGGGGGGGGGGCCCCCCCCCCCTTCCCCCTTCGGGGGGGCCGCCCCCCCCCAAAAATTTTTTTTGGGGGGGGGTTTTTTTTCCCCCCCCCCAAAAAAAAATAAAAACCCCATATTGTCATGAAAAAGAAACAAAACTACTTTTTTTTGCAATTAAGAACGAAAACCGTGTCAGCTGAAGTTTTAATTTACATATAAATTTGTTTTAAACCATGGTTTTGTTTTATTAAAAAAATATATTTGTGTGTAATTCAATATAGAAATTTAAGAAATTATGAATAACAAATATTTCCCAGCAGTTGCGGTTACAGAAAAGTTTAAATAAATTTGTCTAGCTTACAAATGTAATAACTATTATAGTCTAACAATAGCCTGTTAATAGTGTATTAACTCTAAAGTTGTAAACACAGAGAACGATTATTTTATTACAGTTTACGATCTTCTCTGATATTTTTTACGATTGTAGAGAAGTTTTCTGTAGGCTTGTATATCATCACAAAAAATAGTTAGCAGCTGTTTTTTGAACGAATCGTTTGGGTTAAGGCCAATGTAGATTCGACCATGAAGAAATAATATTAAGAAACCGTTCATTAAATTGTCAATTCTCGGGAAACGGTGACAAAACAACCACGTAATTTTCGTTGTGGACTTCTTAAAATTCATTAATTTTGCAATGTTTATGCTAAACTGACTAGTTTATAAATCATTCTCGTTAATAGATTTTACAGATTGAAAAATGAACGGATTAAAACGCGCCAATTTATCAGTTTTTTTTAGTATGGCAATGCTTTATTAAGACATGACGTTTTTGTAGGTTTTAGCTATGACTAGCACTAGACCCTTATTTTTGAACTGTTTTGTGTTTCAAACAGGTTCCAAGCCAAGGTTAAAAATTAGAGCCCGATATATCTACAATTAGGAAATAATTAAATTCCAAATCAAATAGTTCATAGTATTTCAACGTTTATTAAATAATACGTGATCGAACTTCCGACCCACGACTGTATGATAGTCTCCAACAATGAACGAAACAAGATAATAAAGTTGTCTCTTTCTCACAATCGTTTAAGAAATAACAGGGATGCAAGATGAGTGGGCGTCACCCACGCACGTATTTCACAGTTAAAGGTAAAGACTACTTACTGAAAATCATACAGCATTGCTGAGTAATGTTATCCATGCTGAGAAGGATCTGCATAGTGGAGAGGAAGATGAAGCCGACGAAGAGGCTCAGGAGGTAAGCGATCAGCACCTTTCCATGCAAGTTGCAGAGTTCTGGCAACCAGCAGTACACGGCTACCGTAGCCAGTATGAACACGCAAGATGTTAGCATGCCTGGAAGAAAAGTCTTATTAATTATATAATAATATGTTTTTTTAACTAATCAATATAAGTAGAGTAAACTTTAATATCATATATAATCTAGTATATAAAGTTCGCGTGTTAGTTACCAAACTCTTTCGAAACGGTGAAAAAAAAACGGTTAGTAATAGAATCTTTTCAACCCCTTCGATACTTGGTAAAATATCCCCCCCCATACGTCTACAGGTGTTACTTCTTTTCCAGTAGCACGGAGTAGCCGATTTTGCCAGATCCTTACAAACTAGAAATAGAATTATTATTGCAAAACATTTGGCGGGTCAGCTAGTATTAAATATAACTTTCTCTTTATAATTATAGTCTTGACTAAAACTGTACAAACTCTCCGTTTATAATTTATATGACAGCTTTCAAAGTGTTTTAGAAGAACACCCTCAAGACAGTTTGATATTTACGTTGAGTAGTAGAATATAGGGTTATAGAAAAAAAAATGGCCAAGTCCGAAACTGTTAAAAAAAATTGACGGGCTCGTTGGTGTAATAGTAGGAATGTACGGTTAATAATCAAAATGTTGGACTTCGTCTGGAAATCTGGATATTAAATGGGTCACGTTTAATCACGTTTCGGTACCAGTCTGTGGATTTCCGAATATCCAAAGCCAAATTAGATCGACAGGGAATCTTGTTATGCTATGCTTATATAGCTTGCCTCCACCAGGTACCATTAAAAAATATATATTACGCGATTTGAACCGTTATTTTTTTTTGAATATACACTTACAGGTTATGCTAGCGACATAACTGGTATCCTGGTGAGGTTTCTGGTCGAAACAGACCAGGGCATCGATTTGGGTGATCTTCTCCTCCCCCTTTTCAGTCACGAATGTGTCAATACAATACATGTCCGGTGTGAAGGCGGTCCAGCGTTTGATATCCGTAGGAATGTCGACGTAAAGTTTTCCGTCCTGGAAAAAAAAAAACACGAGAAATTAAACAACACAGAGACACAGAGATTCGAGTATCTGACTTTCGCTCGTGGTTTCTAAGGTTCGATTACAAGATATGCATGAGAAATTGTATGATTCATTTGTATGTCCTCGTATGTTATTAAACAGTTTATTAAGACTTATTTATTTGAAAACTTTATTATCTTTTACATGTTATTGCACATGGAGGCACTATATAATTTAAAAATAAAAAATAAATAGAAAAAAATGTCGACTCGGGCAGGACTTGAAACGGTATCGTCAGCGTTCCGTGCTGTTGCTCTGACTAAACTTTTTTTGTAAAAAAAAGGTCAGACATAACAAGTATATTATTAACATTATAAAGACATTGATTAACAATCTTAAAAACAAAGTCAGGTTTGTCGGTTGTTTATACCAAAAAACAAACTTTTTTTGAAAAAATAAGTATGACTAACTTGTTTTCAATTTAAATTCGCCCTTCTTAACGACATTTCGACTGGCGCGTCGTTCAAATGATCGCAAATTGTGGCTAATAAGAACGAGTCCCGGGTTCAATTCCCAAAGGATTCTTTGCGTTTCTAAAATTAATTTATAATGTTCTGAAAAATTAAAAAAACTTCATTTGGAAAGTATGGATGTTAGGAATGGGTGGTAGGAATATTTAAGTTCCGTCCGGGCCACGAACCACAATCCACAGATGAAAGCCGTTAAGTGTGTGGGCCACTGAGTGGCTACAATATTTGTTTTATCAGTAATTCGTATTGTAACTTTGGTCTATGAACAAAAAGTGAATTTAGAGCAAAATTGTATAATATTTATATTTGAAAATTGTTAAATAGTGCAACAAAGGGAAATTTCTATTAAATAATGTAATTCCATGTAATGTAAGCTTAGTGCGATAGCAAGGTTATTGACCCTACGACTAGCTTTAACGCCTGGTTTTACATTTATTTTCTCGACTATGTCTCCCGTTTTTGCCGGGCCGCATTACTTGAAAAAGTACGAGGACGCTGACAAAAATCAAATTCCCGATCGAATTTTTGCTTCTAATATCTAATTTGTATTCTTTGTTAAGCCAAGTGATTTGTGCCTTATAACTTCGAGGTCAATATAGAATAGAATATTATATTGATATTAATGTTGACACTAATATCTTATTGAATTATTGCATCTACTAAATTCGTCATTGTCCTAACAATATATGGATCGCCGAATTTTTCTTCGTAACTACAAACGAGAAAATTATTTAAAATGTTATCAAATCCAAACTGAAATAAATGAATAGACGAATCATTATGACTGAATCCCGATTATCAAACGTTCGTTTTGTTTAACGTTATACTAGTACTACTAACGTATATAAATATTAAGAGCAAAGGATTTGTCAGTTTGATTAAACTTATAAGAATCTTTATTTGGATACTTTGGAGAAAACAATTTAATTTGTCTCCTAGTTCGTGGCAAAAATGTAAAAAGGTCTTTAAAAGAAAACTATCTATAGCAGGTTTGTTCCTATTTAAATAAAACATTTTAACGGATTAAAACGCGATATATTTTAGTTAAACTTTTGTTCAGAATCATTTTTTACATCGGCTCGACGTTTCGGATGCTCTGCAGCAGCTGTGGTCATGGAGAGACTAAAGATGGAGGGTGTCTCCGACGTTAAAGTAAAAATTGCTACGCTAGCGCCACCTGTTCCGTCGAAGTTAGTATTCGGCTAAACTGGCCGGGTCCTTGCAGAATTGACTCGGGTAGTTGGAAATAATTCTCAAAAAAGTTCAACTAAAATATATCGTGTTTTAAACCGTTGATGTGTTTTATTTAAATGTGTACTACTCGCGTATACTTCAGACTAGCTTGTTCCTAATTTAATATTTTCGAAATTTTAGACTTTCTGCAATAGCAACAAGCCTAGACAATAATAAAAAATCCGCGACGAGTGGCTAAAAAACGGTTAAAGCCGATAACAATAAACTTTACGGAAGAAGTGAAAATGACTATTTTGTGTACTTTTAAAACACATGTAACACCGCGAGAATGCTAAGGTAATACTAATATATAAAGCTGAAGAGTTTGTTTATTTGAACGCGCTAATCTCAGGAACTACGGATTCAAATTGAAAAATTATTTTTGTGTTGGTTAAAGCATTTATCGAGGAAAGCTATAAACATCGCTCTATCGGCTCATCGGCTATGTATATTTGAACATAAAAGCTTTTAAAAATTGACCCAAATAATTCCACAGATATTCTATCTTTTATTCTTGGGTTAAGTGGGCTTGTAACTTATCTAATCTATGGTAGGCATTTCATTATACTAGAGTCATGTACTGTACGTCAATGAGTACACTAACTTTAGTGTTATGGTAGCAATGTATGGCTTATTAGCTTATTAGCAACGGGTCGTGAGTTGGATCTCTATCGGGTCCATCATTTTACTAATAAATTTATAATAATCCTGAAAGATTGGACATCGTATGGCAATCTGGATCCTAACAATATATTGTTTCGGTGGGGCAGATCACAGAAGCCTGGTCAACTACTTATCTATAAATAAAGTCGATCATTGAAACGTTCCCAGGGTTCTGGGTTCGATAAACGGGATTACACTGACATGATCAGACATCTTGTAATTAAATACTTATATCAAGAATAGATACATAAAAAAAATAGTAAGAAAAACTGTAAAGCGCCATTTTGTCCTATTACCCACAACCGTAAGTAACGGTAACTTGGACATTCACCTATTTACTAACAAACACGGATAAACATTATTTATTCTTAATAAATATTCTCTTTATATATAATTAGGACAAATTAGATTTTAATTGTGGATTGTAATTATAATTCTCACTAAAGATCACCTTGGTCCGAAATCAATAAATTTTTAAACGTTATATACCGCTAGTCAACTCACCATTCCAATTTTGAAATTAGGAAACACATCCCCAACAGCTACACGCACTCTGTTGTCACCGCACTTCGGTTTCCCCGTTGTAAACTGGATAAAGTCCATCACCGTTTCGTTATTCACCGTCCGGACATCACCAACTGGCTGAAAGTTGGTGATGTTCTGCTCACATTTCCACTTTTCACCATTGTACCCTTCGTTGAGGGGACAACATTTGTTTAATGTCAGTTGCTTGATACACGCGCGGCTCGTTTTATTAGCACTCTGGTATTCTGAATCCTTGAAGACCATGCCGCTAAAGGATATCATATTTTTTATTTTTTCGCCACCAGTTATATCCAAAGAGTTTTTTAAGTCACATAATTTTCCACTAACACTGGCCGCTAACAGCGGTAACAACACCAATTTTAACATGTTTACAGTAATTTTATCAATCGTGTTGTGTCACTGAATGAAACATGAAATGCTGTAGAAAGGTCATATTATGAATTAAAGTTTTCATTAATCATTTCTATGAGGGATTTCCTTGTTACGTTAACAAGTATATTATATTGCTGCGTAATTATATAACTCCTAATTAATTCTACTTGCATGTGTTTATTGTATGTATTATTGCTTTATAAAATAAGCGAATGTCAAGATTTAATTGACCTTCATGATAAATATAAAAACTTGGTCTCAGCGGAGGTACCTGTGCTATGCGGGCTGATTTAGAATGTATAAAGTATGACTGTATTATCCTCATAGTTTAACTTATATAATTATTTGTATATTTAAACAAATAGACAAAATGGTGATGATATTTTGGGGAAATCCCAGAGCAGAACAGAAGATAAGATACTATCCGTATTAGTAAGTAAATAGCTGTAACCACTTGAAACCAATGCACCTCAAGTGTCCACTTAGCACGTTTGAGAATAGCCAGGTTTTACACGTAACTGAGTGGAATAGCAAAAACTTTCGAGACTTCACGAGAATAGCTTCTTTCGATTCGACCGGCATTAAACAGGTTTCCTGTTATACTGGGGTTTACCTGTGTTTTGCATTTTATCAGTGCACTCGAAACATTTGATCGATCTTAACAATTTACTCAGGTATAGAATTAATTAGATTCTTCCCATGTATCTCTTTGTTGTTTCAAGACACGATTTTGTGGTCAGCTTTAAATTAATTCTACAAAAAAAATATTATTCACTACCTGTTTTTTCGTGCGGTTTAAAATGTAGTCGTGGGATTTTGTACACATGTACAATAACTTGTAAAATATATTAAAGATGACAATAATTATAAAAGAACGCGTTCAGGTCTCGAACCCGCGATCACATCTTTTTGTACTGTTTCTAAAATAGAATTTTAATGATACTTCAAGATCTAATAACTTTTGTTACCAAATACACACAAGAGATATATTATTTCTATAACTATCTCATTAGATACAATATACACACACAAATTAGATAAAAAGTGACAGGTACATAATTTAATTTCTAATTAGTTGTCATAGACACATACTTCGTTAACTATAACACTAATATTACACCATTTTTATTATCTTTTATCAGTTATATCGCACTAATTAACTAACTTTTTCACTCGCGACTAAACGCTTGCTTGAGACAACACGTGCGTTTTTCCCAAGATCTAAAAGAACACTACGTACTCCGGTGCGTAAGAGGAATCCGGTGTTAATGACCAGTCTTGATGAATTACTAAATCGTCTAATCAGCTAACGATCAGCTGATAGATTAGTAGTGTTTGGAAACGGCTATAGTTAAGCAAAAATATAGTTATTTTGGTTTTTCAAACATCCTCCTCATTTTTTCAAATTATAGCTGTTAGCCACGACGCGCGTCGTCCACGTCGCGTTGCATCATTCTTGCGAGTTTATCTTAAAAGAAGGATACATGTTCGATGTGTTTTAGATAATTGAAAAAGAAATATTTTATTAATATTTTAGGGTAATAAATGCAACCGTTTTCGCAGCGCACGTAACGGAGACCCTATAATATTTTCACAGTTTTTTTTTACATTTCCCACAACCTTTTTTTTGCTCCCATTGCTTACAGCCTGATTCTTACCTTGAAGCCTTCCTTGATAAATAATCTATCAAACCCAAAATTATTTTTTTCTATTCGGACCAGTTGTTCCTGAAATTAGCGCGTCCAAACAAACTCATCAGCTTTATAATATTAGTATGTATATCGAAATTCTTAACTATCTATAATTGGTTAATTGTATTTTGGTGTGGTGACGTCACTTGCTCTAATTAATACAAAGCATTTAACCAGCTTTCATAAACTCTTAACGCAATGGGGTCACTTAGCCCATAAACTTAAGTAACATAAAATGCACTACTATACCAATGTCGTAATGTTATTTTATTTAATTCGATTTGACAGTAGTCATTCCGATTATAGTAATTATTTTTTTTTTTTAACAAGATTTATATTTCTGGCTAAAGTACACTTAACAATATATTAGTATTTAAATAAAACTTCTTTTAACGTTTTAAAACGGGAAATGTTTAAATTTATATTTATTTTATTGGTTTAACTTACCTAGTTTATTTATTTTGAAAGCAATAATGTCATTAATATATTACGAGTTTTAAACCGTTATTGAAAAAAGTGTGTTGTTGAAATATTTCCTACTTAATGTTTTATACTCGTCTCGATTTTAATGGACGCCTCAACGCAATCTTTAGTCTAGTGTTTAGCACTAGAGGTCCTAGGTTCAAATCCTGAGCGCTTTGGAGTCGTACAAACGTGTTCCCAGGGCTCAAAGCACGGTAGAGGGCTGGTGGTGTGTTTAGTGGTTCTAGTGGGCTATACGATTTACCACACTCCCCACGGGCTTGCATTAGGCATTCGCACGATCAGTTAAAAAAAAAGGTTCAAATCCTGAGTAAACGATTAAATGTTTGTTCGTAATGATACGTAGGCGCTTGATTAAAATCGATCAGTGAAAGATAGAATTGTGTTGGTCCCATACCCCACAAAAGGAAACGGGATTATACTATAACAAGAACAAGTATTATGAAATAATACAGCGAAACTCAGGCTAACTGTACCTACGATATTTGGCGCAAAAAATATACCGTCGCAGGCTAACTGTAATCATTTTTAAATATTTGTTAAGTAGCATATTTGCACAGACCTGTAAATATGCTACTTAACAAAATTTTCGAAAGAATTTTCGCACATATAATTTGAGTATCTTGAACCGTTTTCGCAGCATACGCAACGGAAATCCACAAAGATGATTAATTTTCCCCGTTTTCCTCACATTTCCCTTTGTTTCTTCGCTTCTATTAGTCGTAGCGCAATATTTTATAGCCTGTAACCTAACTCGAACGCAGAATTTTTCAATTCCACCAGTAGCTCCCGACATTAGCGCGTTCAACAAACAAACAATCTCTTCAGTATATTAGTATAGATACATTTGTATAAAAGTGAAAACTCCAATGGAATACCACGAGTTTTCATTCACTTAGCAAATACGTAATAATCGTATGGCAGGTATTTCCCAACAGAATAATAATTCGTTGACGAAATAAATGACAGTCGCACGCCATGCCATTTTAAATGTTTGCGTATTCTAAAGACGTCACGCGATCAAATTATACGAAATTATAATGTTATGATCGACATTACGAGAATATTCGCATATTTTTTTATAGAAGACGTCGTTAAGATTAGAATTAAATTTATTAAAGCTAACAGAAAAACAGGTTGTTTTACAGGGTTTTTTTTAACTCGACCCGTACGGAATTTATTTATTTGGGTTAATTTGGTAGACACTTAATTTAGATGACAATACAATATAATAAAATCGAAAACATTATAAATACCAGATGGCCGCTGATACAAAAAGGCGGATTACATATTTTTCCTTAATGTGGCTACCCACATTCAAATGAAAGGGCTACACTAGTAAAACGCAATGATAATGTCAAAATTTTTTTTTTGTGGTTTTCAGTGCAAAAAAATAAAACTGTTTAACTTAAAAGTTTTGTTAAGCTGTGGAGTACATAGTCTTAAGTAAATGGTTATCTTTCATGCTAAAGGAATTGTATTTAGTTTTAAAGTTTTGACTAACCTAACTCTCTTTCACCTTGTGCTCGTTGCTATTAGTATAGGGTTCTAATGACAAGAGCAGGTATGCAAGTAAAAAAGAAATAACAAGGCAATTGATTTATGGAAGTTTTAGAGAAGCTTTAACTTTAAAATAAGTTTGCCTTAAGCAAAGTGTCGTTTTATTTTTAGTGAAGTATACGTTTATCTTATATTAGGACAGACAAGCAGCTTAGCTTAATTAATGGAAGATGAAATGTCCCAGCCATATAAAATTTTAACAAAATGCTGTCAACTATTTTTGTTTTGGATATCTGGGAATCCACAGATTTAAACCGGAACGCGATTAATCTTCACAGCTTGATCGGTGGATCGTGACCCGGATGGAATTTTAATATAAAATTATAGAATAGGTAAATAATATAAAAACTTGTCTCTCTTGTCTTGTATTTTCGTTATAGATTTAACAAGATGTGATGTTTCAAAACTTGAATATTTTTCTTATGTTGGCACTTGATGGCAGTATATAAATTAAAAATCAATTTAAAATTGCATACATTTTTGAGCAATAGAGCTACTGTGTCCTACAATTGGATAGAGCAACAGTACGGAATGCTGTGGATGTCTTATTTCAATAATTAATTCAATCTACAATTGGTTTAAATAAAACACTACGGTTTTAAACGCGATCTGTATTAATTGAAATAATTTTCAGTTCAAACCGTTAAAAATCACATTCTAGGGACAGAAACTAAAATTGATTTTTAGGTGTTTTGTCATAAGATTCCCTTTTCCTTTCTCATTAATGTTCGAGAAAGTTGTTTACCTTGGAGTACCAATAAAAAATAATAATTATGTCTCCCAGACAGCTGTTGCAATGTAATGAATAGGTGCCTCCCGGAATTATTAATTTTGGAGGTCAGACGAAAACGTCATTATAATTTACGTCATATCTGTATTGAGTTCGGTTAACTTAACACTTTGTTAAACACTAAACCTTTTGTTTATCAAAGTCACCATTATCTAAAATGGGACGTATATAATTTTTATTATTGGTTCTATTTTATGACGAAATTATATTTTACGAAATTATATAAGTTTTAGAAGAATGGTGAATATTCAAAGGCCCAAAATAGGTTTATTTTATCTCCTGTCCTCCTCTACCATATAAAAATAATAATAAAAAAAGGAGAGATTATCCCCCAAATAAATTACAACTTATAAAAGATTATGTAAAAAGTTGTTTCCCACATTAAGAAGTAAGCGTGGGCCATAACTTTGTTTCTGTATCTTTGATCTATTATACACTTTATAAGACTACTGTACAGAAACTATTTAAGA